AGAGTTGCTTTGGAGGAATGTCGTGTCTGTCGAAAAATGTATGTCGAGATATGTCGAAGCTCTGGGTCACGTCACGTCTACCTCAAGCCGTCAGTTCCCTTACTTTCCCTCGGCAACAGACTTAAAACGGATATGCGTCAGGCTTGAGCGTGTTTTAGCCAGGTTGGGGTTTACTCCATGATGGAGATGGGGTCAGGCAAGGCGATGGAAGCTCACAAACTCCGCCAAGGACCACCGGCCGCTTAACCTAAACCCTAAATCCTAAACCCTAAACCCCACCACTCCCTTAATAGTCTTTATAACTGTAGTACATAGGCTCAAGGAGTAGTGTAGCAACAGGAATATCCTGAAGGTGTAAACGTGGGGCGCGCGAGCGACACGACACGAGCATGCTAGAGGCACTTGGTGGCCATCCGTGAAACAAGCATGCAAGGACAAAGCTCTGTGCACCAGACCCACGAAGACTGCGAACACCTTCTGCAGCTTCTGCACAGGATGCTTGGGAAGACTAGCCAGCGGTCTGGTCACACAGCAGCCAGCTATCCACACAGCACTACCATTTACAGGCAGCCAGATGTGGGCCTGTCTCGCGGGAGAACCCCACGCGAAGCAATCTCTCACACTACGTGAGGATGTAAGCACCCTTGTAGCTCAGTAACAAAGTAGCAAAGGACGGTCAAGCCCTAAACCCTAAACCCTAAACCCTAAACCCTAAACCCTAAACCCTAAACCCTAAACCCTAAACCCTAAACCACATCAACTGTCCTCAGGGCCGAGGCAAGGACCGACGAGGGCCCCATCTGTGCGCACGGGCGCTCCCACGATGCATGAATTCCAGCGGCCAGTCTTTGTCAGGGAAGCCAGGGCCCACGCTGGCCAGGATCCAGTAGTTCGAGTTAATGTTTAGGGTTTAGGGTTTAGGGTTTAGGGTTTAGGGTTTAGGGTTTAGGGTTTGGATCGTCCCCTCATACCCCAAAGCTGTTCAAATCCATCCCTGCGCGTGCATGTCTTGCTATGTCAGGGGTATGGTGTGTACGAAGTGCTGGCCAGGCGCAGCCCTCACCCTGCGATTGGGCTGCTGGGCTGATGGGCTCTGCTCCTCTTTTAGGAGTGCGCCCCCATTCAAGCGAGAGTTTAAACTGTAGATTGGGGGTGGGGTTGGGGGAGGGGGGGCTCGTCGACTCCATCTCTAAACCCCTGCATACGAGACCTAGAGGCCAGGTGATGGGTCTCATGGGGCTGAGGGCTAAGTTTGGCGTTTCGGGCCAGACGCCACAATTGGCGCTGCCTGCCTGCTCATCTGAAAAAGGAATTGGAGGGGCACCTGCCAGAACAGCGGCGAACAAGCACACGGGTGCTGCTTCCCTTGGGGACCACATGAACCCTAAAATTGGGGTCATATACCCTGTACTATCATAGTTCCGATTAAGGTATATGAACCATAAACCCTTTTTGGGTTCATTTGGTCCTCATGGTATACGCCAGCCCAAACCCTAAACCCTAAACCCTAAACTCGAAACCCTACACCCTAAACCCTAAACCCCAAACCCTAAACGAGCATCAGCTTCGGAAGGTGCATGTGGAATGGCCTGTTCGGGCTTTATTGCCGGGAGGCCTGGGATGAAGAGTTAACCTGGCTGGACCCAGCTAACCTATACTAACTAACTAACTAGCTAGCTAACTTACTAACCAGCACACGCAAACAAAACACAAACAAACAAAAACAAAAACAAACAAGCAAGCAAGCAAGCAAACAAACAATCAAACAAACACGCAAACAAACAAGCAAACACGCAAACAAACAAGCAAACACACACACACACACACACACACACCCACACCCACACACCCACACACCCACACACACACACACACACACACACACTCACTCACTCACTCACTCTCTCTCTCTCTCACTCACTCACTCACTCACTCTTACACTTACACTTACACTTACACTTACACTTACACTTACACTTACACTTACACTTACACTTACACTTACACTTACACTTACACTTACACTTACACTTACACTTACACTTACACTTACACACACACACACACTTACACTTGGAACATTGACCAGCCCGAAGCGGCCACCCTACAACCCAAGGCTGCCCAACATTGAAAGCCGCAACGTGGCCCAAAAGGCTTAGGGTAGAGGGTTTTAGGGTTGTAGGGTTCGGGTTTTGAGGGTTTTGAGGGTTTGAGGGAGCCGCAAGCTGGCCATCATACCGAATTACCCACCACCCAACCTGCCTTTTCCTACAGGTTCTGCTGGACGACGCCCTTGATATACTCCGCTCCGACGACCTGCAAGAATCTGGGATATCCTACAGGGTGCTGGAAGTAAGGTCGGGAGTTGACCCTCTACTACTTGCTTAAGAACCCCCGAACAATAAAAAAAAATGCTTCCTTATAAGGGTAAGAAAGGGGTTATTGATTTTTATTCTTTTGGGGTTCTTAAGCAAATAATAGATCTTAGGGTCAAGGAGTATCACGCGGCATGTTGTTTCGAACGACATGTCCACGTGCCAAGACAAGATGTCAAGCGGAACAACGGCCGACACACCCTGCACTGTCAGCATCCTCGCCATTGTTTGGCCATAGTGCCAAGCTCTGAATCAGACACTCTTGATCATCAAACCCTAAACCCTAAACCCTAAACCCTAAACCCTAAACCCTAAACCCTAAACCCTAGGGTTCAGGGTTCAGGGTTTAGGGTTGTCTGAACTTGCTGCTGGGCCACCGTGTCGTCGGCTTCCATGGGGTTCTCCGGCATCTCGGTCTCGCGGCCGCAAAGGTCGGCCTGAAGATTCCCAGATCTTCCAAAACCCCGTTTAGGGTTTAGGGTTTGGGGTTTGGGGTTTGGGGTTTAGGGTTTAGGGTTTAGGGGCCTGAATTAAGGAATATACCCTAATTTATACTAAGGATCCTTATTAGGAATTAAGGTATATACCTTAATTAAGGGGTTTTGGAAGATCTGGGATTGCCAACGAGGCAGGAAAAGGTTTCTGGCTGAAGACTCTGAGTGATACAAGGAGGGGGGCCCCCTTACCATACTAACTATAGCTAAGGGACTTCTGTAACCTATTTTAGGATCCTTATAACCCAAATTCCCTAAACCCTAAACCCTAAACCCTAAACCCTAAACCCTAAACCCTAAACCCTAAACCCAACTTAAGGCACTCATAACTCTACTTCTAACTAGGGGGGGCCCCTCCTTGTAGGATGCAGGCTTTTTTGTTCCTGCTCTCCGTGCTGCCCTTGTCAGAATAAAACCGCAAGACCAACACTAGGGTTTAGGGTTTAGGGTTTAGGTGCAAGACCAACACTGATTAACAGTGGATTAAGTCTGCAGCTGCTCGTCTCATACTAGCACCGACATCTTTCATTTTTCGTCCTAGACTTCTTGCGATTTGGGACTTGAAAGATTCTGTGTGCCAGTGGCCTTGAGTTTAGGCTGTCGCTCATCCCTCACCCAGATCCATGCCATACACCTGCGGGGCACCCCCCAAGTAAAAAAAAAGCCAGCATCTGGAGCTGCCATACCGTACAGTACAATGGGCTTTGTCTTTTTTTTAACAACCCTGTGCACCTTCCGTACAATGGGTTTAGGCCTTCTGTGTCCCGACAAGGACGTCAATTTCCTCAGACAAATGTCGCTAAGTCGATTTTATTCCATTCCCATACGAGGATATGCCTGCGCATGGCTCTGCCACAAACGGAGCTTGGTCCAGCTGGCTGGCGCAGTGACTCAGCTTGCACGGGGCCCCCAAATTGCAGGATTCCCTTATAAGAAGGAGCCCGAATAAAGGAAACCCTAAACCCTAAACCCTAAACCCAAAACCCTATTCATTTCGCACACCGCCACATGGCTTCCTGCCTTCTTCGGTGTCGGTGTGCTTGATGCACTCCATAGCCTCAAGGGGTGCGTTTGGCTTGCCAGCGATGCACGTAGAATGCACAAAATAGCACAAGGGATCGCTTTGCATGCTTATGAAGGAAGGTCAGACGGAGCTGGAATATAATTGTTTAGGGATGTTTGCTTTCAGGCGCACTTGCTGGCTTAGAGCTGCTTCTTTGGTGTGAATACGTAAGTCTGGTTCTGTCCGGCTCGGTGGCTTTCCTGAGGCGGGGCTGAACTCGCACTCTCCTCTCGGCCCCTCTTGGTCTACGCGGCTTTGAGCCTGGCCCAGTCAGTTAACAGCCAAGGCTTGCGACGCTTCCTGAGCCAAGTGATGTGCCTCATCGCACTCTCGCCCCAAACGCGAAGTACTGGGGCTTTGATGCTTCGGAACAACCTAGAAAAGCACCTAAGCGACAAGAGTAACACGATCAACAACAGGTACAAACGCAGCAGATCAAGCACAAGCAAGGCCAGGGTTAAGCAAACAAGAGAAAGCAAACAAGAAGAAGGCAGACTGCAGATAGTAGCCGTCAGCAAAAGGCAAAAACAAACACAACATGTGAGAGTGACAAACAGAGAGCGTGCGGCACGCAATTAAATTCAAAACACACAAGCAAGGCTAACAAACAGGCGGCACACGGCACAGGGCAACCCATGCAGAAACCGAGTCCCAATTGTGGGAAGATCCTCTAACAAAACATTCTTCCCCCAAGATCTCAAGTATGGTCCCAGGGGCAAGAGCGTCGAAAGCACCACCAGCCAAAGAGCCCAGAAACCGTAGAAGAGCCCCTCAGATCCTCGGCAAGGGTTCAGGGGCATAAGGGGGGTCCCTAGAAGGGACCTTAAATCTTATTCCCCTATAAATAACCCATAGAAACCTTATGCAGACCCTATATACCTAAGCAGCCCCTAATAACCCCAAAATAACCCCTAAGCTCCCGTATTTTCAGAGCCCCTCAGATCCTCAGCCAGTGGCAGCCCCATGCGCGGACCGTTTAGTCAGCTTAGGCTCGCACTTTGCTCTAGCCTCCGTTTCCTGGCGCCCTAAACCCTAAACCCTAAACCCGAAACCGTCGGATCGGCAGGTTCATCGGATCTCCGAAGCGGCAAGATCCCAACGTCCCGGCCCTTCCTGCACTCCATTGCCTCTCAAGGCACCGATCTGTAAGGAGACGATCAGGGTCGTGAGAACGGTCAGCAGGCATACCTCAGGTTATTGACTTGAAGGTTCGAACGGCTCAATGCTGTCGCGCCGAGTGTGCCCCTAGAGCAATGTCAACAGACATCCTTCAATGCTGAACACTCTTTCAGATTACTGTCGTTGGGTAGGTGCAGATTTGGGCGGAAGGTGTGGCGTCGCGGCAAAGGATTTGGTTTTCAAGCAAACTATGACTTCCATAACCTGCAGGCAAAATCAGGCAAGTGGCCACCAAAAGGTACGTTGGCCTGGCGCATCCGATCGCTTGTTCTGAGCATCTACTGTCCTCAAAATCCTGGTTTGTCAATCGGGTTCGCCACCCCCGAGGCATGTCGTTTTTGCATGTACGCTTGAGGCCTCTGACACTGTAGTTTTCTTGCCGTCTTAAGCCCCTAAACCCTAAACCTTTTTGCAACTGGCACTTGGTGACTGCCAGAAAGGAACCCCCACTTCACACGCCCGCAAACCCTAAACCCTAAACCCTAAACCCTAAACCCTGAACCCTGAACCCTGTCTCGAGGCTCCTTCACGTTAGATGCGCAGCCCTGGGTTGAGTCCCGTGTTGTTTGCAGCTGAAGCTGCTGATGCCGCCCCGCATCTTCACGCGTTTCAACACCACCGACAGTGTAGAGTGTAAAGGGCTATGAGGTGGAGACCTCAAGGATCCGGGTTTAGGGTTTAGGGTTTAGGGTTTAGGGTTTAGGGTTTAGGGTTTAGGGTTTAGGATGCGCAATCCAAAAGGTCGGCGGCCTTTGCGACGGTTGCCGCTGACGCCGTTTATGGCCGTGCACGTCTTTGTGTCTTCACGCGAAGACTCAGGCACGATTCCAATACGTTGTAAGAGCTCAGGCATACACTGGCATCATCTTGCATGATTCTCCTAGGTCCGCACCGTGGTCACTTTGAAGGCCTAATTAGCAATTAAGGGTGCGATGCTTCAAAATTCATGTCTCGGAGCACCCCCCCCCCCCCCCCCCGACGAGACGAAGGAATTCATGAGCGCTGTAGGAGCTCCTTCAGCCGGATTTGCCACCTCTCAAAGTGAACTCTCTGCCGCCGGGTTCGGGAAATAATCGCCTCCATCTCATCAGATCCACGACAGCCTTGTCGGTGCGCTGCACCTCAACAAGGAGGAGGTTGCCACTGCAACCCTGAGCCCTAAACCCTAAACCCTAAACCCTAAACCCTAAACCCTAAACCCTAAACCCTAAACCCTAAACCCTAAACCCTAAACCCTAAACCCTAAACCCTGAGCCCAAGCCCCCATCCCCAACTGCGAGACCCAAACACTTGATTCAGGTGCTGTTCTGTCAGCAGCGAATGCTTTGAGAAAAAGGGGGTGTCTAAGTGTCGGCTTGAACATACCTCAAGCAGTTGCTGTTCGGTTGGGGCCGGGTCTCAATGAAGATGAGGCCTCGTAGTGCCAACACGGCGAGACCGCCGCGCCATGAGCACCGAAGCCAGCAAAAAAAAACAGATTGCGGTATCGGCTGCCCCTGAAAGCTGAACACTACGTCACGGAAAACAAAGGCAACCCTCGTCATCCATCCCTGTGTTTTTTCGGCCAAGGCACATAAGAAATAGGCCGTCCGATTCGGCCGCACATCCGCCTTTGGCGAGGTGGTCTCTTTAGGGTTTAGGGTTTGTTTAAACTCGGGCTTGCCGGGCTTGCGAGAGAACTCTTTTTTTGTGTCGCTTTTGGTCCCGCACTCATGTTCAGGGTCAAGGTGTTTGGGACTCCAGGCTTAGGGATCAAGCGGGTTCAAGGCGGTTCAGCTCACTGGCTCACCGGCTCAACATACCTGCAAGGCACTTTCCGTGCCTACAACAGGCTGGATGTGGATAGGCTCGGGAATACTGAGTATGGGCGATTGTCAGCATGGCAGGCTTGAGTTCTCCAGAAGGCTTGAGCAGCCCCCGCGACCATGACATAGTTGCTTAGAAGGCTTTGCATCTTTCGTTGAGGCCGCACAGTTCGCCGGGTCCCTGCGAGAAACTACCTCACAGGCAAGCCGCCTCAGGCAAGGAATGTAGGTGGCGATCAGGACCTGACGATTCACGCTCATAGACTCTCTTGCAATGTTCTTTCACAAGCCTTGTTTTCCCTCCACGCTCAAGGAAATCACAGACACATAGTCTGTGCGGTTACACGCAGCACTCACATTTCGGCAGACTGCACAGTTCTGGTAGGAATCCTTAGGGTGCACCCTAAAACCTAAACCCTAAACCCTAAACCCTAAACCCTAAACCCACAGACACTGCATACAGACTCCGCCATCCAAAGTCTAAACTGACTCAGCTGACTTGCTCCCAAACCCTAAACCCTAAACCCTAAACCCTAAACCCTAAACCCGCGCAATGCAGAGGAGGGGCAGAGCTTACGGCCAGCACAAAAGCCACGAAGTAGACCTGGGCTTGCTAACCCTAAACCCTAAACCCTAGACCCTAAACCCTAAACACTAAACCCTAAGCCCTAAACCCTAAACCCTGTAAAGACCGGCCATCCACAGGTGTCCCAAGGCCAAGCTAGGGGCGTGGAAGAAGTGGAGGATCGGCTCCGGCACCTCGGTTTTTGAGATCAAGCCTGGTGGCTTGGAGAAGGTTTCGACTCTCACAACTTGGAGGTTTAGGGGTTAGGGTTTAGGGTTTAGGGTTTAGAGTTTAGGGTTAGGGTTTAGGGTTTCGGCTCTTACACTCGCACAAGGCCGTGTTTCGGTTTGGGGTTTAGGGTTTAGGGAGGGGAGTCTAAAGCGTATTTACATGGTCCCTCAGTATGGGCCCTTAAATGGGCACCCCTTATATACCCTTATACAACCCAAGGGCCCAAATGACTACCCTTGGGGAGAAGAGCTTTGAAGCTGAGCGTTTGGTTTGGTCACTGAGGGTTCTGTTTTGGACTGGCTTCTCGATCCCTGCTCTGTGTGGTAGATAGGATTAGGGTTTAGGGTTTAGGGTTTAGGCTTTAGGGTCAGTAATAAACCTTGGGGCATACGAAGCCCCTCTTAGAGGCTAGAAGTTGTTACGGCAACTCTTGGGCGAGTACAGGCTACAAGGGCTCAAGGGCTGTGGAGTCTTTGGGGCTTTAGGGGTGTCGCACAAGGGCTTAGTGGATCTAGGAGCTTGATGACCTTGACGGTTTTGGGCCAGAGAATGCTAGGGTTCGAGTCTACAAGCTTGCCGCCGGCAGCCTCGGACGGGCTGCATGCAACTCCAGATGCCGCATCTTTAGACAGCGCCACGACATCCAGTTCGGTAGAGTCATCATAAACAGTGAGACTCGTGGCCGCGAAAGGATTAGGATATTACTACTTATTGTAGTCCACTCATCCCTCTGCTCCCCTCTTTGTGTCAAGGGACGAACTGGCCCGCTGCTATGGCCACAACGCCCACAGCGAAGCCGACCTTTGCAGCAAAGGCGTCCTTGGATGGCGGCCCGCATAGGCTTCATCTTAAGCGGAGCACGTCGAATCCTGGACACCCAGACCTTGGGCAAGCCACCTGACTCTCTTTAGGGTTTAGGGTTTAGGGTTTAGGGTTTCTGCAGCACCATCTCCAAAGAGCGAAGGGTTTAGGGTTTAGGGTTTAGGATTTAGGGTTTAGGGTTTAGGGTTTAGGCCTCTACAACGTTCTACGACTGTGCAACTGTAGAGTGCGCAGTGGCTGGCAGCGATGTGGCAATGCCGACGAAGAAGATGGAGACCAGCGGCAAGGAAAGGACCTGATGTATGATCAGGTCTTATCCCAATTTCTCCCAATCCAGCGAACAGCGGGCGAGCGAGAGTTGGCAGATCTTCAACCTCCTTACATCCTCTAAGCTGCACACAAGACACGTACTTCCGGGATTCCTCGAAACTTCTGGTGCTGGAGTAATCTACATACAAGTATAGAAAACGCAAATCCAACACGTTCTGATGTACTTTGCTGGGCGCTCTGTAGACGCTGCAGCCCAAACTAACAGAATACCTTCCACAGCCGAAGGGCGGTGTTCACATGCTGCTGGAAGGAGAAAATGCCATCCTCGTGGGCCGGCGTCTCTCTCTCTCTCTCCCCCTCGCGCTCCCTCTTCCTCCCTCTCCCTCGCCGCGGGAGCCTGAAGACCCAAACCCCAAGCCAAGCCTGTGACAGAATCCTGCATCCTCCTCAAGCTCGCTCTTCAAATTTGGCGCACTGTGTGTTTGTCACTAGCTTTGACAGATCCGGACGATCGCGACCTTACCTTAGAGGCTGCCTGGGTTGAGCAACTGGATATGGCTCCATGCCAGACATGAGTCATGCGGACGTGCGCGCTGCGGCGCATTCCCAGTGTTTAGTGGTCGTTTCCGTCTCACGCGTAGCTCGGGACTCTGACTGACCCATGAGTGATCGCGGCATATGTCGTAATTTCAACAGATGTGCACCCTAGGGTATAAACTGCCATTAACCACTCTTTGCTTAAGAACCTCCCCGAAAACAAAACGGAAGTTAAAACAATTCTTCCTTAAAAGGGCAGCAAAGGGATGATAATCCTTTACTTTTTTGGGAGCACACCATAACATCATCAACTCCCGAAGCGGTAACGCAACCCGGGTCAACAAACCTGTAAGGAAGCCCTGTAAGCGGTATAAGCCCTGAAAGCCCTAGAAGTCCTACAAGCCCTACCAAGCCCTTCATAAACCCGAACCGAATGCCCAAAACCTAGGTGGGGGAGGGGCTTAGTAGGCTTCGGGAGCTTACTGATTCATGGTTGGGAGAGTATTAAATTTCTAAATTTATCTTCCTTATTGGGTTTAAGTACCCTTAAAGATGTAAAAGGTTACCCTAACTATGACAAAGCTTAGGGGGCTTAGGGGGAGGGGCTCCCTAAACCCTAAACCCTAAACCCTAAACCCTAAACCCTAAGCCCCAAACCCTTCGTAGGCTTGGGGAGCTTAAGGGGCTTAGGGGAAAGGGAGTTGGATGTTTAAGCTCAGGTCGGGCGTCGATCTTCTCAAAGAGAGGTGCGATGACAAAAGAAGCCAGGGTCATCCCGCCACCGAACCTGAGTTGCCGTCAGTATAGGGTTTAGGGTTTAGGGTTTAGGGTTTAGGGTTTAGGGTTTAGGGTTTAGGGTTTAGGGTTTCAGGGTTCGGGTTCAGGGTTTCGGGTTTCGGGTTTAGTTAGGGTTTAGGGTTTAGGGTTGGGTGACCTGGGGATGTGAGGGGCTACGGAATTGGGGATTGGAGGGACTGTGTATGTGTGTGCAGGCATGACGGCTGCTCACAAACTGCCCGGAAGCATGGTCGACACGAAGACGACGCGCTTGTCAGTGGCATCCTTGTTGATGTAAACCTTGTAGATCTCAAGGCCGAAGAGGGTTGCGGCCTGAGGAGACATTTCGAAAGGATTTTCAATGTTACCCTAAACCCTAAACCCTAAACCCTAAACCCTAAACCCTAATCCCTAAACCTCCCGGAATCCTGGGGTCTTGGGGGTGGGCTTCTTGCATGGGTTTGCAGTTTGGGGTTTTCCGTTGTGGATACTTCAGATGTTTTAACCGGAAAGAATGCCAAAGATGTGCACCCACACAAACAAGGCAAAGTCTAAGAGAACGCGACAAGTCTAGGCAGTATCACTATTCTGCACAAAAAAAGGAATGCTGGGCTTGAGATTCTGCTTCAACGCATTCTTTGTTTCAAGGCCACTGAGGCTTTTAATGTGAATCGTGATTTGTCATGTTTGACATAAAAACGATCAGAGCGTCGTAAAGTACTTTAACGAGCTGACCTCCAATCATGTTAACCAAATTCGCTAAGTGACGAAGTGTTTTGCAGCTTGATGTTTCCGCGAATTCATAAAATCGAAAAGTAGTCTTCTTCGCTTCCGTCTGTTATGTTAAATCAATGATCAACTTGTTTTGTCGAGCTAGAGGCCGTTGGTGTTTTTGAAAAAAAACACAACATACGCAAAGCGATATTTCAATCGCATGGTTAAACTCACGAAGCCATCGCCGGCTCTTCAATTTTTCCAACTTAGTTTTTACAAAGGGACTGGTCCTTTCTTCTTCTCGGGGGTAGTTATACTACTCAGCGCAAAAACACAACGAATGGCTTTTAAAGTATAGCTTATTCTCCTTTGCTACATGAACAGAACCGAGTACACTGTGGAATTTGACATGAGTTCCTGTCACTTAAAAATTGTAGATAGCTTGATTCATGTGATTGACGAAGCTGGAGCAGGTCTTTTGCATAAAGAAACTGTGCTTCCTAAATAGCGGTCGTGGGAATCGAAAGGGGATGTAGGGCAGCTGTGGGGACAGGCCAAATCAGCTTCGGTGCTCGAGACACGGAGCCGAGAACCCGCTTTCATTCACAGTGCGTTCAAACAGCCGTTGGGTTGTGGCTTTAAACTAGACGGCCGGTTCAATCCAATTCGTGAATTGGTTTGCAGTTTAAACTCGGGAACTAATATAGTCAATTATTCACAGCACAGGTTCTATTTATTTGGTTCATGAAAACACTGTAAGTTGGGGCCCAAGTACATATCTAGCGTCTGATTATAAGAACCAAGTTGAGGTAAGGTGTGAATCACCTTTTGCGAAAGGAGATTCTTTCAGATACTTGACCCCTTGCTACGTATAATAAACCTGTGTCTCCCGCCCATGCACAAAAAAGGGATGTCCAGAAGTTGGGTTTTTCCAAAATGAAGCAATACTACTTACTTGTCCACGATTCAAAATTGGGGCCATCCACGAAGCACATTTTCACTGGATCGAAGCCGCAAACGGTGGATCAATCGGGGGGGGGGGGGGAGCTATATGGTACCCTAAACCCTAAACCCTAAACCCTAAACCCTAAACGCTAAACCCTAACTCCAAGAGCCGAATTCGCAAGGCCTGCGCCGCGAGCAATAGTGCAATCTGAACAAACCAAACCCCAACCTTCCACCCTGATCCCTTTCCCCTTCAACCTTGAAAAGTCCATAGGTATCCAAAAATCAAGTGCTGCAGCCGAATGTCAGAGTTGAGTGCTGAGTTGAAGCTGGAGAGAACACTGCCGACCAACACCTCGCTTCTTGGAGATCTTGGGCGCCAAGGGCCGAAAGCTCACTGTTTAGGGGATGTAAGGTTGATTGGGTTTATAGGGTTTACAGGGTTTATAGGGTTTATAGGGTTTATAAGGTTTAGGGTTAAAGAACTTTGTGGCTATCAAGGAGCTTGAGGACTCATGCTTGGGTGGAGGAGTACAGGCCGAGCACTGGCAGTCTGATGCTCTGCTTGCGCCACACTTCTGCATGTAGGGTTTAGGGTTTAGGGTTTAGGGTTTAGGGTTTAGGGTTTAGGGTTTAGGGTTTAGGGTTTAGGGTTTAGGGTGAGAAGTGCCTCTGCCCAAGACTCGCGTCGAACAAGTGGCTTCATCTGCAGTCAAGGAACAGCCGCAAAGAAGCCCAAAGACCACAAAGGCATCACCGCTTTCCTCGAGAGAAACTGAGTGTCAGCTTGAAACTATACTCACCAGAGGGCTCAGGAACTGAACCTCCGCCAGTAGCCCTCAATCCAAAATCGCCCAAGGCCTAAACCCTAAACCCTAAACCCTAAACCCTAAACCCTAAACCCTAAACCCGAAACCTAAACCCTAAACCTAAACATGGATTGAACCCTTGAGCCCAAGCTGAAGCGACACTGCCCGAATCTGAATCTCTTCCGATTGCCAGGCGGCACCAGTTCTGGATAGACCTGGTCTGGTATTTCGTTGGACGCTTCGGAACTGTAGCTTTCCGATTCATGCGATCTAGAATGTAGCTCAGCTGAAACGTCAAAAGCAAGTATATGATCTTAAGCCCCAAGTCCCAGTTTCCAGCTGCAAGCACCCCAAACATGCTCAGCTCAGCAACCTTGAAAACAAGACCTCCAAACCCTAAACCCTAAACCCTAAACCCTAAACCCTAAACCCTAAACCCTAAACCCTAAACCCTAAACCTCGAACCGGCACTTCCAATCTCTGCGTGTTGTAGCCACCTCATCGTCGTGGGGGACGGTAAACACCTGCTGGGGTCCAAGCTGCGGGCAGATGTTGTGGGCACAGGTATTAAATCATTGTGGGGTTTTCCGAAACTAGGGGCACCTTGCTGGGGTCCGTACTCTGATAAGAGAAGCCTACCATTTGGGGGTCTATTAGGGGTTCCCTATGTTCGCACACCCCCCCATATACTGTCTGATGTGATGAAAAAGGTTTGAGTTGGGCCTTGAAAGCTTTGAATGTGCTGAGGGCCTTGCCTTGCACACAAATCCAAACTCGAGTTTCCAGCTTCCCTGCCTTGCTCCACTCTGAACTCGGTTTAGGGTTTAGGGTTCAGGGTTCAGGGTTCAGGGTTTAGGGTTTAGGGTTCAAGGTTCAAGGTTGTGGGCATTCGCCGGGTGTTGCACTTTGCACTGGATCATCTGGATACCAGGAGCTGTCGCTTCTCGGCAAAACACGTCACGCGTGAACCGATCTCAAAACCTCACACCACAAGCCTACCGCAAGCCTACAGCAATAGCTCCCACCAGAACTGTCTCACCAATACCAGCCTGCAACCGCCTTAAGCTCAAGCTGGACAGCCTCCCGCTAACGTGACTTGCACAAATGTGCCAAATGGCCCTAAACCCTAAACCCTAAACCCTAAACCCTAAACCCTAAACCCTAAACCCTAAACCCCCTTACTCCAGCTGCAGCCGGAACTTGCACCTTGCCGCCAATTGTTGCACCCTGCCGAACGAGCGCCAGGCCAATGACTCCTGCAGGCTAGGACCAAAAACTTAAACAAAGGATGGGTAAAAACAATCATAATACATCATACTAAAAATAGTCCATAATTATAATACATAATAAAAATACATAATAATAATAATCATAAAAATAATAATAATCATCACAGTAATAAGAATAGTAAAGGTGCCAATCGCGAGATGCCAAGGCTGCAAGCTACAGCGGTCCTCTGCAGGGACAGACTGCTAGGGCTTACGGGATCGAGTTTGGACTCTTCAATCTGGCTTCGTATGGTCGCAATCCCTCATGGAGCCATCATACGAACTGCGGGATTCCCATCTGCCTGTCAAACCTTGGGGAACACATGAACCCTTTTAGGGTCCAAGGCTCATAGACCTTAATAGGCATTGCAGTAGTGTCGGGTATAGGATCCCCCAATTTAAGGGTTCAATTTCGTCCTTAAGGCATATGCCCACAGCACCCCTCCCACCTGGCAAGCACAGGAAGACAAAACCGACCACCTTCCAGGGGATGAACAGGGAGAGAGCAGTGGGCCCAAGTGAATGTTAACATCAGGCCTTGGGATGTCCCTCTAAAACAAACATGTCCTCAAGAGGGATTGATAGTCCCCCCCCTGCCATCATCCCTATTCAGGATGGTAAGTATAATGGGGGGATGCTTGAAAGCACAGGATTCCTCGGCTCCGGTCAAATAAGCCAAGGACAGCCTTCATCGACGCAGCAAAGAGCACGCCCTTCTGTCCTGTCCGGGGTGCACACACAAGGTCTTGGAGAGGGGGGGGGGGCCTTTAAGTGAGCAAAAACTCTCTCTAAAGCTTCAGCTCTTGTATTGGGGTATCTATCGGAAGCAAGGCCATCCCTGACTGAAGCGGAAACCCACAAAGTTCCAAAAGTCCCAAGTCCATATACTCTATTGTACGTAGTATCCCCTAGTATGTGCCCCCACCGACTCTTTAAGCACTGTGCGGTCCGTCAGCGAGTGACTTGGCCGCAAGCGCCCTCTGCACAATAACCTCGCAACTTGGTTTACGCGCTCTGGCTGGCTAGTGCTGATCGTGGAGCCTAAGAGATGTTGCTACTATCTGCTTAAGAACCCCAAAAGAACAAAAAAATCATCCCTACATTACCCTTAAAGAGGAATGGTACTTTTATTTTTCCGGGCTTCTTAGGCAAGTAGTAGAATGTAGGTCCTCCTATGCAAACATGCTGCAACTTAAGAATCGCCTAAGCATCACACTGCGAGAAATGGGTGCTGTGCTGCCAGCTCTCCGCAGCCAGTAGGCTGTCTATCGAGCGCCGGCCAGAAACCCTAAACCCTAAACCCTAAACCCTAAACCCTAAACCCTGAACCCTAAACCCTAAACCCTAAACCCTAAAGGGTCGTTTAGAATTGGCTTGCGGCTCTCGAGGGCTTCATCCTTCGCATGGGTGCTCGCAAGCCACGAGTTCATTCGTGCATGGAGACGTCTAGGGTTTAGGGTTTAGGGTTTAGGGTTTAGGGTTTAGGGTTTAGGGTTTAGGGTTTAGGGTTGTCTTATCAAGACATGCAAGAAGGCCCATCGCTACTTTCGGGTTTAGGTAGAGGCAGTTTTTTGATGAGGCATTCACTTTCAGAGAGGCTGAACATTCTAAGATTAGGTGAAGGCTTACCTGGGTTCTGAGCACATGGCTTACGGCTCATGCTTTTGTAGTTTCGTGCTGCTTCTTTCCATGCCTCAGACACCTACGATCTGGGATTGGTCAAAGGCTGTGCGTCTGCTCGCCTGATTTGTCGACCAATAGTACACGTTCGTCAGGAAGAGCCCGGTGAAGTTTACATGCCTCAGCCGTGGGGTACTGCATGCGTGTGGGCTGAGGTAGTTCAATGGATAAGACAGCCTTTTGTGGGATTGCAATCTCCGACCCGAGGGCTTGAAACTCGATATTTTGGTACTGGTACTGTGATGTGTCCTGCTTACATGACCGATGACAGCAGGTCTACTTTCTGTTCTCAGAAAATTATAAAGCCCCAGCCCTACTTTCTGTGTTGACGGACATGATATTGCCCCAGCCTCAACTTAAATGCTGAGTTCCTAGAGTTCTGAAGATCACGGGTGGACTCCAACCACTCAAAACCCCTCAAACCTCTAAGGCTCTAAGTACCTAAGCCCTAAACTCTGAATCCTAAATCCTGAACGACCCCGAGAGCCAGGGCACCAGGGCGCCGAGATGCTGTGCTCCGCCAGCGGCTTCCTCCAAAGAATCAAGCTAGAAATGGGGACATATAGATAATAAATAAATAAATATATATAAAGATAGATATATTTTTATATTGATATGGGTATCCATATACAGAGTAGAATTGGATATGGCTAAGGCACGCCATGGGGCCTTGAGGCATTCTGGATTTCTGGGCTTCCGGCATTTCAGGGTTGAGGGAGCTCACAGTCCTTTAAGGTGTAGGGTGTATGCTGCTCGTGTCACAGCGAGCTCCTCAACTCCAACTCCGAAAACCCCAATGCAAGCAGGAGCTAGAACCCCGTTAAAAACCTGAGTCCAAAACCCTAACTCCCTCCAACCTTGAGACGAGCACGGTTTAGGGTTTAGGGTTTAGGGTTTAGGGTTTAGGGTTTAGGGTTTAGGGCTTAGGGCTTAGGGCTTAGGGTTTAGGGTTTAGGAGGGTTTCGGTGGATCCTGGGGACTTCAGCCCTTGAGGACTATGTGCGTCTTCGCAGCTTAGGGTGAAGAGTGAAGGGTGAGTTGGGTCCTAGGGTTCTTCTGGATTGTCAAGGCCAGGGTGGGAAGGAATCCTTAGGGCTTCTGTTCGACAACTACCACACAACTGTTTCTGTGAGAGCCAGCATGTGCAGGGTTTCGAACTTACGATTTTGGGCGTTGAAGGGTTTACAGACACACTGACTGTCTGGAGTCTGTCTCTGAGCCGCCGACAAGTAGTCTGGATGCGCAAAGAGCTCTGAAACCCCTGGCGGGGCAGTTCCACACTATCCGAGTTTGTGGCTGAAGGATCAAAAGCAAGAATTGAGGGCAAAGCTGAGGGCAACGAAAGCTAGCCTGGCTTCTAGGCGACATAAAGGCCGGCCTTAAATTTCATCTCCCTCCTCCCCCTTTTTTCTTCTTGACGATCCCACCCTCTCTTCTTCTTGCTTGCGATTTGTGACCTTGGAACCTTTTTCATGCTAAGAACCCAACAGGAAAGTTGGCGTTCGTAGAGATCGTCATCTAACCCCTCAGGAGCTAGCCAAAAAATGATTGAGAGAAGAAAGGCGCTGAACGAATTTGAGCAACCTAGCAGGCGCTTATGGAGACCGAGATCCAGGTCCGCGGAGCACGCGCCTGAGTAAGAAGACGTACGAACACGTGCTCGACGGACCGCGACCTATGGATCAAGATCCCTGCGCAGCAAACCCTCATAGAACCACGGTAGCAGCAGCTGTTGTCGCGAACTCACCTTCTTTTCTTTTCATTTCCGGATTGGGGTTGCAGCGGACCAGAAGTCCAGGGGATCGCAGAACAGGGGACAGGAGGACCAGCGGACTGGAGGACCAGGGGACCGTCTTGGAAGCATCATGTGCTTCTTGATCCTGATTTGGTTTTTACATCCTCACGTCTTATTCTGATCCTTCCTCATTTCCTTACGCCATGTCCTCACGCCCGATAACAAGGACTGAGGCTTCAACATCTCCCAGAACACCCAGAGACCTCAAGTCCACAGTTCCTTTCCCCCCCCCCCCCCCCCAACACTATGTAGAGGAGACCTTTCTCAATGGGGGTCTCCGAAAATGGGGGAGGGGGGGGGGGTACCCTTTTTGAGGGTTCCTTTAGGTGAGGATTAGAGCATTTGGGGGGTATATTTGGGTTGGGGACCTCTATTGGAGGAACTGCCCAAATAGGTCCCAGAGAGATTTTTGGTTTTTTAGGGCACTTCCCGAACCCGAGGACTCCTAAACCCTAAACCCTAAACCATAAGATTCTTCCATTCCTTACACATGTCGGCCTCCGAGCTGATACAAAGCAGCTGCCGGGACCCAAACCTCAGGAGAAGGCGGGTTTAGGGTTTAGGGTGTAGGGTTTAGGATGCCAGAGCTTGACAAACAAAAACAGCCCCTGATATGGAGATGTCCTGACATGTCCCGTTGGAACTGAACCAATGTCACGTGCTTAGGCAAACTCTGCAGCTGCCCCTGCGCTCCGGACCCTTATCATCCCCTTGTACACTCGAAGTGCGCAAGGCGGAGGTGGGAACCATACCTACAGGGTTTAGGGTTTAAGGTTTATAGGGTTTAGGGCTACACTCAGAGTGCACAAGGCGGAGGTGGGAACCATACCTGCAGGATTTACTAGTTCATGGTTGGTATAGTATTAAAATTTTAAATTTATATTCCTTATTGGGTTTAAGTACCCTTAAAAATGTAAAATGTTACCCAACTATGACAAAGTTTAGGGTTTAGGGTTTAGGGCTGCAACAGCAAACAGTGCCCTTGGCATGGATCCCGCCACGCAGCCCCGACGATGAGCAGCCCGATGCCGTTCAAGCAGTCTGACACCGCGACCTCGGCGGCTGCATGTCAACCTGCCTAAACCCTAAACCCTAAACCCTAAACCCTAAACCCTAAACCCTAAACCCTAAACCCCTAAACCCTAAACCCTCATCGTAGGGCAATTTACCGAACGCTCGGCACTCGCACTCCGTAGCCGGGTACCTCGCACCCGTTCTCGAACCCCTGCACGCTGACTTCTAACATCAATGAGGCCCTCCTTTTTCTTAGGGTTTAGGGTTTAGGGTTTAAGGTTTAGGGTTTATAATAGGGTTTAGGGTTTAGGGTTTAGGGACGGCAACTTTGTGTGGCGTCTGTCCAGTTTCTGCGTCCAGGCTTGTAGAGTTGCCGCTTCTTGGCACAAATGGGGTTTACGATATAAGGGGTACCTGATTGGAGTTCTTATTACGAGGGAACCGTACTATTTGGTGATCTATACTTGGGGTCCCTTATTTTGTCAAACCCCCCAACCTTTTGACAGTGGGGTCGCTGCCTGCATTTGGCCCTGCGCCTGCCTCGCCCAAAAATAGTGCAAATCCCTAGCAACCTCTCACCCCACCATTGTGAAGCCTACGTTTCATCTAATCCCTTACCCCAAGCCATGCAAGCCATACAAGCCCTAAAGCTGTTAGTCGCCTAAACCCAAACTCTTCCTTAGGAGGTGCAGCTCAGGGACAGCCTTAAGCCCGCCGCAGAGCGCATAGCAGGCCCCCAAAGAGCCAATCACAGCGCTGACCACCTCGGCTGAGAACCCCTATGCCACTAAGCAGCTTCAACTTGCTGCGTTCTTTTGACTGGGTGGGGCAGGTAACATTGCTGCGCCAGCAGGTGTCCGCACCGAGGCTTGCTCGCTCAGCCCGTGTCCCTCCCCCTACCGCGAACTGCCTGTCCTGAGTTTCAAAGCCCATCGCGCGGCACTGGATACAAAAGCCTACAAGGCCTACAAGCCTGCGAAGCAGCCTATCTCCCTGGATGATGCCGGCTAGCGAGTGTGCGTAGCTTCCACAAATGAGAAACAAGGCCTTTCGGCGAACTTGCTTGAGCTCTACTTTGTCACGCTTGTCGGCATGGGGTGTAGAAAAGGAAGGCTGGGGGTTGGAACTGGGATCTTTGCGAGTGTATTAGGTGTAAGGTTTTTCTGAGGCGTGAGATTGAACGCTTCTAGCCTTCTCAGCTCTTGAGAGCCAAGAAAAAACACACTACGCGTGGACATGAGATGCCCCCAAAGGCCTTGCAAGCTCGGCCAATGGGGCTTTGAATTGATGCCTTTCTAAACCGAGGCATGCAGGCAATGATTGGTAGAGTCCTTGCCTGACAAGAAATGAAGCCAGACATGTTCAGCAAAAGCGCCCTTGGGACACTCGAAGCGGGCACGGGGACTGTATCACCTCCCACAGTCCTACATCGAAGTCCCTCAAGCAAGTACAGTAGGAGCCAAATGGAACCAACCACCATGGAGGCAGACGGGAGACGGGAGACGGGAGAGGGGAGAGGGGAGAGGGGAGAGGGGAGAGGGAGATCCCGCTAGCCACGCAGAACCCCAAACCCTAAACCCTAAACCCCAAACCCTAAACCCTAAACCCTACTACCCAAAAACTCCTGGGACTCCTCGGCCCAGCGGCCCACAGGGGAATGCTATGGAGCTCGAAGATGTTGCCTCGAAGCCGGATGCGGGACGCCGGGTTCCCAGAATAGTGAAGGCTCCGGCTTCGGGCGCTGCACTCTAACAAGGCCCCAGAAAAGTTTAGGGTTTAGGGTTTAGGGTTTAGGGTTTAGGGTTTAGGGTTTCGGGTTTTGCAGGGTGCTTGCTCTGCCTCTTCCGCGCTGTCTAGACTTAGCTCAGCATGTCATCAAGAATGTCAAGGTCAACTCACCTCCTGCAAGCCCGACGTGTGTGTCAGAGACCTGAAGAGAACACCCTTGGAGCCAGAAAGATGAACCCTAACCTAACCAAAGGCATGCACCTCGCCAGACCTCCCGCCAAAAGGTTGCGGTTGCAGAGGTTTGCCGGGGCGCGCATTGCCAACGAGCCGGTATAGAGAGCAAAAGGGCACACCAGGAACCTTGGCAACTTGCTACTGTAGGAGCCTTAATTAATAATTCGAACAGGGTTTTTGGGGTGCATTTTGGTAAAAGCATAAAGGGGCCATAAGGGCATATTATTCGTAATTCAAACCGACACAGCAGCCAACCAGCTTTGATTGCAAGCGTGTGTACGTAGTTATACACCCAGAAGTCTCCCGGCTACTTCCATGCCGATGTGTGGCAGACGCTGTCCTATGGAAGATTTTCTTCTACGCAGACTAGGGGTTGCGCGACTGCGACATCTGTGAACCTCTGCGCTGGGACACCAGCAATCAGCAGTGGCAGAATGACCCAGCAGGCAGATCGGCAGTAGGTCAACAGCGACAGTTCCGGATTAGGGGTCTACGCTTCGTGAAGATGATCAGGAACGCTAGGTAAGAATGCGGATGAATGCTACCCTAGCACCAACGACCTGGTACCCTAAACTCTGAGCACATGTGTTGGGAGGTATGCAACAGGCACGGCCCTGAACTCAAAATCTGACAATTCCTACTCGACGAGTGCCATCCGCGTGCCGCAATGACCAGGCACCACAGCCGGAACCGACAAATTTCGCCTTCTGATCTTGACCCTCACTGACTGTTCTTCGTGTCTCTGCCTAGGAGCACGTAAAAGATGAGAAATAGGATGGATCCCATCCTCGGCATCAGCATTGTCAGCAGCGGCTGAATATCTTCTGTGTGTTCTTTCGTTTTTTTTGCAGGCAGGAAGCACAACGGACCTCTAGCAGCTCTAGCAACATCGTCAGGCGCGAGGTAAGCTGACATGGCATACCATCTGCTTACCCCAAGAACCAGAGGGTTTAGGGTTTTAGGGTTTAGGGTTTAGTGTTTAGGGCTTAGGGCCCATCATTCTAACACTCTGAAGTCGTCCAGCGTCGTGCGAGTGCAGAGATCGAAGCGCTCACCGAGGTAGGCCTCAAGTCATGGGGTTTGGGCCGCTGGCATCGCTTTCTTTCTCAATCCTGCGAGCTCAAGTATGGCCAGCCTAAACCCTAAACCCTAAACCCTAAACCCTAAACCCTAAACCCTAAACCCTAAATAAACCCTAAACCCTAAACCCTAAGCCCTAGACCTTTCAGGCGCCCCGAAGGGTTTCCCTGCAGTGTGGCTTGTCTGCTTTGGCTGGTGGCACCAAACACCGCATCACTCAACCTTGACAAATGGCGTCATGATCACTGCTTCCAAGAGTCTGAAGTGGTTGTGAGCCCTAACGCCATGTATCGTGGCCTTGCAGGCTCCATTTGCCATTGAGGGTTTGGGGGGCAGCTAACTAAGAGGCTGTTATTAAAGTCTCTTAAACCAATGTTGTCCAGACCTCTGCTCGACCCGAATGCTGAACCATTCAACCTACATGGCACAGCTGCGGGCTTCGGCAGGGCTGGGTTGCATGGTAGCGGGATGCGGGAAGCTCAAAAAAGCGGCACAGGTTTGCGCCATCCTTGCCCACGCATCGTGAAAGCTGCGACTCTGTTTGACTGGATGTGCCAAGGGGCAAGAAAACAGTCGCGGTAAGCACCATAGCAATCGCTGCGCCAGCCTGTTCAAGAAGTGGCAGAAGTCTGCGGGGTCAAACTTGCAGCCTGTTGCAAACGAACTCTTTGAGCATGTAAGTTTATACCTTATGCGCCAACCGCCCTGCAAACTCAGAACTTGGGATGTCCCTCCTTCTACTAACAGTCCTTATTAGGGATTATCATTATAATCCCGGCCTATTAAGGACTGTTAGGATAAGGGGGAACATGCCCTAAACCCTAAACCCTAAACCCTTTTTTGCAACCGGGCTCATTGCCCTAAACCCTTTTTTTGCATCCGGGCTATGATGTCCTGGCCGGAAAGTCTAAGCATTGCCGTAAACCCTAAACCCTAAACCCTAAACCCTCAACCCTAAACCCTAAACCCAACTCAGAGCCAAAATCCCTGAACCTCAGACTGCTGAATGGGCGAAGCCTCGAACCAAATCCCGGCCAGGTTCCTGTCCTTGTAGACCTTTGAGGGTTTTGGGTTTGGGGTTTGGGGTTTAGGGTTTTGGGCTTAGGCTTGTTTGGCAGTCAAGTAGGGGTGGCGCTTCAGATTGCAGACTCCGGATGGATGGCCAGCTTTTGCCGTTACATGTTGAAGCCAAAAGCCGTTTCGGTCAGAACTTCAACTCGCAAAGAAGCAGAAAACCATGACAAATCATGCGTCTTGCATCCGGAGTGCCACCCCCCGTCGCCTCCACCCCCCCCCCCCCCCAAAAAAAAAAAAAAAAACACTTCCCAATCACCACTACGCTCAACAACTGGAAGCAGCTTATGCATGTCTCTTCCGGATGTGACGAGCCCCAGGAAACCCAAGCCCGAAAACATCCGGAAACGTACCCTCCACCTGTAAGGGTTTGTAGAAAGCCTATTCCACCGGATGCCGGGCCACATTCCCGTTGAGGCCGACAAGCTGTTCTGTGGACAAGTTCGTGAGCATCAGCGAGCCTGCAACGACATACCTCGGGGCAAGCTTCGGGTTTTGTGGGTTTTCAGATTCGGTTTCGGGCTTATAAGATTATAGGGTTTTTTTTTTCACTCCTGCACAGCTGGGATTATTGGGTTAGGGTTGATTGACAAGTAGCTTTGCGTTAACAAGGAGGGCCACGCTGCTCAGTGCTGCTCAGTCTGTTCTGCTCAATGCTCGGCGCCGCTAGCGCGACGGATGCTGCAGCCGTTGGACCCTACTTTGCTGTTTCAACTGCAGGAAATTTGGTTTCGACAAGATCTGGAGACATCGTGCAACACCCACCACTAAGTATCTAAGATGAAGTCGGCAGACCTTGGAATCCTGCAAGCTTGAACGGACGACGGCGACGTCTCCTTAGTGTATGCGAGCATGATTTACTACCAGCCGGGGCTCCATTTCAATGATCGGCCGCCCGCGAAGAAATCATCGGCAGCGCCTGACATTCAGGGTTTGTCTTGAAGCCCCGAAATCGAAATCACGAAATCACGAATTCGCCTGTGTTCTTGCTCTCCGTCATCACGCGGGTGCAGAGGACCCATGTCGCCAAGCCGACCAGGCCAGTGGTAGCCCTAAGGCGGAGGAGCAACGATTTTAAGCTGGAACTGCATTATTTAGGATTGATGGGCTCTGACTCGACGGACTCTCAAGAAGCATGTGGCGGATCCAGGAGTTCAGGACGGCCCAAACGTCGGTAGCAACAGCTCTTGGACATGAGTGCCAAGGAAGGAACAAGCCAAGAAGCATTCCATCCTTCGCAGGTCTTTTCATGGACGATTTCTTATTCTCCCCCTAAATCCTAAACCCCAAACCCTAAACCAGCTTAAACCCTAAACCCGAAACCCTAAACCCAGCCAGCAAAGCCTCCGAGTTCTGCCGTCCGAGACGCAGGAAGGTGCAGATGTGAAGCGCCAGCTGTTCAGTGCCTTACCGAAAGAACCATGGGCATGTGACCCTTTTGAGCAACGGACTTTGGGGGCTGCCCTAAACCCTAAAAACATTAAACCCTAAACCCTAAACCCCAAACCCTAAACCCTCAACTTTACCGCTTGTTGCTCTTGCTCGGTGCTTTAGGGTGAAGATGAAAAAGCATGGTGGGACAACGGCTGTGCTGCTCGTGGCTGCCGCCTTGTCGCTAGAAGAGCGTGGCCAGGGGGTTTCGTCGGGCATGAGAGGGCGATACGGAGGTTCGTGCTGAACCAGAATACTCATGTATAGCCTTGACAGCGCCGAATAGCTTTACGACACCCTTAAAACCGGTACGGACCAGTGTCTTGGGCCCCTTAAAGCAATGTCAGCACAGAAAGATAAGAATCTTGGCTTCTGATACTGGCAAAGGAGGCTGCAATGTGCATCTTCGCGCAGGCCAAGACATGCCAAGACGCTTGAGACCATGACTGATGAGACCTGCTCAGCAGTGTCGAGAACTGCCGAAATTGCATCGTGTCTCCATGCACGCATGGCAAGGGATCGGCTCAGGTGGTTGGCTTGCTCTGCCAAACGAAAGGCATTGAGTAAGAGCTCGGCGTTCTACACAGCATCATGTATGCCAGGATCTGCAGCGTTCGGTTGCATCAATGATCGTTTGGCGTTGCTTTTCAACATCAACCTTGGGATGTTCCCTCTTCTACTAACTGTCCTTAATAGGGATTATCATAAAGGGGGTACTATATAGTCCCTAGGTCAGGACGGTTAGCATAAGGGGGAAGATCCCAAGCCTTCGCATTTGCAAGAGAGGATTTCCCTCGGTTGCTTAGTAAGACCGTGTCTCCTGAGGATGGTAACCCTAAACCCTAAACCCTAAACCCTAAACCCTAAACCCTAAACCCCTAAACCCTAAACCCTAAACCCTAAACCCTAAACCCTAAACCGTAGGGGCATCCTGAGCAGCTTGCCAACAATAGCCCACAATTTGCTTAAGCGTAAGGATCCTCCCCCCCCCCCCCCGAAAAAAACACATGCATATATATATATATACAATATATATGCATATCTGTATGTATACATGTTTTTTCTCCTCCATATCAGGGTGATTATATGGGATCATTGTCTTTGCTCTTCTTTTAGGGCGTTGTGAAGCAAATAGTAGGGACTGTTTGCTGTGTGTTGGGACGCGGCATTGTGCACAGCTTGGAACCTTGGAACATGACACGCTTCTACTCCCCGAAACAGGATTAGTAAGTCGTTTAGGGTTTAGGGTTTAGGGTCTTTGGTTTAGGGTTTAGGGTCTTTGGTTTGGGGTTTAGGGTTTAGGGTTGCCCGACCAGTCTGGCCTCTCAGCGCAGTTCGACAGCACCGGCGGGCAGCCCAATCCCAGAAATCGGGATCCTAAAGTTCAAGCCTAAGCCCGATCCTGGTACCTGGGCGCTAAACGACCTTCAGTAGGCCAACTACTGGCATCGTACTTCTTGCTACACGACATGTAGGAATAAGGAGTGAACTCGATTCTGTGTGCCTGGATGCCATGACTTGCGATGACTTGGCTGAAAAACTGAGGGGCCATGAATGCGTCAAGGGGCATGGAAAAAGTGCGGACTTCGGCGGACTTGGGACTTCCCCCAGGCTGTCGTGGTCTAACCTACGGAGGGTTTAGGGTTTAGGGTTTAGGGTTTAGGGTTTAGGGTTTAGGGTTTAGGGTTTAGGGTTTAGGGTTTAGGGTGGTACAGGTTACGAGGGACAAGCATGGCTGCCAGTTGAAGATCCATTTCAAGACAAAGGCCATTTCCGACTTGACTTATAAGGAGACTTTCTTCCGGCTGCTAGCTGTATGCCTGACATCTGGAACCTCGCTGCTTGGTGCTTTGCAAGCCTTCGGCTTCCAAATCGAAAAAAGACCCCAAACCTAGCAACTCGGAAACCCAGACCGGGTAAGATCCTCAGCAGCTGAATGGAAAGGCACCCGCCGCAAGGGTCTCTAGCAGCTGCAAGAGTCATGGACCACGGCTGTAGAAGGGCGGGAAGAGAACCCCCGAGTTATTGAAACTTGAACGACCCTTCAAATAGCAAGAAACCGTCTTTAAACAAAATCGGTTTAAACAAAATCCAGCCCAAGGCCCCCCAAGGCCTGAAGGTCTTATCCAGGAGTAGAACTCGCCACTCTGGAGGCCTCCGACACAAAGGCTCGTCTGCAGTTTTGAGGGTTGAGCGGCGGGTTTCGGTATGGTAAAGTTCTTTGTTTTCGAAGAGTAGACTGCCCTACCCCCTCAGCTGGTTCTGCAGCTGTAGGGCCCCACTCTGGGAGTGCGAAGAGGTCAGATCGTCTAGGGTGCGGCCCAATGACCAGGTCAAGAAAGAGTTAGCTTGGCCACAGGGAGGCCAACATCTTCGCACAATCGCTATGGAAAGTCCCGTGTGGCGCCAGGCTACGGCGACGGTGAGGCAAGAAAGCGCTGGTATGCAAGGAGCTGCTGCAGCGAAGGTCTGCGTTTTGGTGCCGACAGCGCGCCCTTGCGGGGGTGAACCTCTTCTACGACACGAACCACCAACAACAACAAGGACAAGGTTGTTTCGTTTGAATTTCGAGCTTGCAGCTTGGGGGAGGGTTCGTTGGGATGATGTAGGTGCCTAATTCTTCAGAGAGCACCAGCTTTGGCCTGAAGCTCCCGCGTTCTGACCGCGTTGCTGACTCCCTTAAAAAACCAAATGTACCCTAAAAGGGTTTATGGTTCATATACCCTAGTAAGGATTATAGTAGTATAGGGCAAATGGTCCCGATTATAGGGTTCATGTGGCTCCCAAGGTCTGAGCCAGCAATGTACCATGGCTAGAGGCGAAAGGTCACTACGTCAATGATGCAGCCGCTGCTGGAGGCATATCAGCTATTGGCGATCATCCCAGCAGGAGTACTCTACTCTGAATGCACATCTCGAACCGTGTGGCGCAATTTTCGAGTGACTACTCCCAAGACAACGCACCCTGTTAAACAAAAAGTTGCCGCCAGACAAGGTGAGTCCAGAGGGAACTGAGCCTCAAAACACCCTCCGGCAAGGCATCTCTTCGTAAACTTATTCTTTCCAGCTATAAGAACTGGACAAGCGCTGCACCCCGAAACCATGAATTTACATGCCCTCCTTCCCCAAACCCTAAACCCTAAACCCTAAACCCTAAACCCTAAACCCTAAACCCTAAACCCCAAACCCTAAACCCTAAACCCTAAACCCTAAACCCTAAACCCTAAACCCTAAACCCAACCAGCTCTTTCGAAAGTCTGCGCTTCGAGGAGGGTGCCTTGACATCTGTGGCTCTGCGTGCCATCGAACCTGTCAGGTTTAGGGTTCAGGGTTCAGGGTTGAGGGTTTGGGGTTTAGGTTTTGACCCCCCAATAAAAGTTTAACTCTTAGCTCCCTTAAATTCCCTTAACATGAAATTTCAGGAACGCGCAAAACTTATAAAGTGATACAGTTGTAGCAAAGTCCCACCTAGAAGGGAGAAGCTTCAGCCCTCTAAGCCCCGCAAAAGCCTTGAAACCTTGACTTCTGCAATCGTGTCTCGACACCTGTGGGGACGAAAGGAACCCTAAAATTGGGGTCATATACGCTACTAGAATTCCTATGAAGGTATGTGGACCATAAACCCTTTTAGGGTTCATGTGGTCCCCAAGACAGGCAGCGGGGGATTTACGAGTCTTGGCGAGCTAAAACTCCCTCGGTGCCATCCAGTGCTGGTACCGGGAGGGACAAGCCTTGAGAACCAAATGAACCCTAAAAGGGTTTATGATTCATGTACCCGAATAAGGATTATAGTAGTGGGGGGGGGAGTTCGAGTCTCGCGACAGGAGATGATGTATGTTTTCACCGAACCACTCCGGGCCATGTATATCCATCTGGGATGGCCACAACATGTCCAAACAACTCTGAAACTGCAGATGCAAAACAAATCACAAGTGTTTGTGGCTAGGCGGTGTGTGGCGGTGGTGGGGGGGGGGGCACGTGCCCTCTTTCAACTCAAGCGCATCGGGTTTTGGGTTTGGGGTGATTCGTCCCCCACCCCTTGCCCCGGGATTGTGACTGGGTCGTCTCCCATCTTGCTTCCGGAAAAGAATGCAAGTAGATGATCATCCCGAATGGAACTGAAACACGTACGCTCCAACCACTCAGCTTGGGGCCTTTGGGCGGGGGGGGGGGGGGGGGGGGGCTCATGAGTTTCGACGCTTCTGCCCGGGGTTACGAGGGTGGATCGCAGAAGAAGTTGCAGGTTTTTGTTGGTAACAACCCTGTGCACCTTTTCTAGTGTAGGCCACTGGCCAGGGTTTCGGGCTTAGGGTTTAGGATATCAAACGGGGCCTCCTATAGGGCCTATAGCTGTCATCTCGGAGGCATCGCCCGACTGAGACAGGCCGACAGACAGATACAGGAGAGAGAGGTTCAAAAGGGTTTGCAGCTGAGCCACCTACGATATGTAGTTTGAAAGACCTATGCAATCAGTCACACACACACTCTCCCTCTCTGTGTCTCTCTGTGTCTCTGTGTGTCTCTGTGTGCCTCTGTGTCTCTCTGTGTCTCTGTGTCTCTGTGTGTCCTCTGTGTCTCTGTGTGTCTCTGTGTGTCTCTGTGTGTCTCTGTGTGTCTCTGTGTCTCTCTCTCTCTCACAGGCAAGGCAGCTCCAAGCTCCGTCTCGCAGAGACGCCTTCGGTGGCCACTGTAAGGCACACTGTGGCAAACACACGGAAGCGGGATACAGTTGCTGACTTCCAAATCGCGATTTCCCGCGACCTGGGGACGAAGATGTTCTGACAAGAATGCGCTCTTCCGCCGAAGCGGGAATTTCAAGCACTCACCTCCAACCACCTCTGCAGCAATGCCTCCCATCGCCGGCGGTCCTGTGCGACTGTCTTCCAGTCTTCCTTCAACTCCTGGGTGACAAAGGCATCCAAGACGCGGTCCACCCCTGTGGGCGGAAAACGGCCCGGGTGCTTGGTGGTGTGACGGTGTTCCCTCCACCACTGGATGTCGCGGGTGTACAAAAGGTTGGCCGCAACGTTGCATCTCACATCCGCTCTTGCCAGGTGTCCAGCATAGCGCCAGTACCGTCTGAGATACGTGACTCCCCACATCTCTCGGCCGTGCTCCAGCAAGATGCACTTGACAGCCTGTCTAGTGCGAATCTCGTACTCTAGCCACGCCTCTCCAGAGTGCCGTCCAAGGCCCAGCACTCGCCGAGCCATCGTTACATGGAAAGCGTTCAGTCTGGCTACTGTGTGTCTCTGTGTGTCTCTGTGTGTCTCTGTGCATCTCTGTGCGTCTCTGTGTGTCTGCGTGTCTGCGTCTGTGTCTCTGTGTGTCTGTGTGTATGTGTGTCTGCGTGTGTGTTGGGAGTTTTGTGTGTTGTGAGTTTTGTGTGTTGTGAGCTGTGTGTGTTGTGTGTTCTATGTTGTGTGTTTTGTGAGATTTGTGTGTGCGCTGCGTGTGCTGTGTGATTTGTTACTACTTGTTTATTTGTGGTTTTTGTGTTTTGTGTGTGTTTGTGTTGCGTTGTTGTTTGCTTGCTTTCGTTGTTGTTGTGCATGCAATTGAAAACACTGGAAGGCTATCTGAATCTGACATCAAAGCCGTCGCTAGACCCGGCCTTTTCGCCGTAGCGGGTGTGGTCAATAGGCAGTGGGGCGCTCGACCGTGCGGTGCGTGTTGGGGCAGGCCTTCGGTCATTGGCTTGGGATTTAGGGTCTGTAGGGTTTCTAGGGTTTGTAGGGTTTACAGGTGCTTCGACACCGTGGAATTTGTTGGGTGAACGTGGCTACCCGCATCGTGCATCTGGAAAAATGAAGCTGCAGGGTTGTGCGAGGACGCTCGCGCGCACAAGCACTTGGCCTGAATTACGACCAGCCGCAAGTTTGCAAACAACGCAACCATGTGGCATGTTGATTGAAAGGATGTGACGCCTGCACGAAATCCTTTAAAACATGTTCTGCGGAAAGCACATCAAAAGTCATGAATGCCAACTCCCAACTGCGAGCTCTTCCCTTTACACAACCCTCGACCCTGGACCAGAATTCTGAGGCCGCAGCGCAAGCGCAGGCGCTGCACCACGGGCCTCTGCTTTTCACAGAAAGGATTGTGGCTCTGTGGCAAAGGCGGGGATGAACAGGGAGGATGAGTCGGATGAATCTTGGCTGCACTTAGGAGGGTAGCAAAAAACAAACTTTTAGCTGCCTTATGAAGAAACCCAATAAACCCAAAAAGGCTAAAGATGTAAAGTTACAGTAAAGCACCACAAAGGAATGATGTAGCGCCCGAGGCTTTGAACGACAGGGCTTTGGGGTATGATGTCCTGGCCGGAAAGTCTTAGCACTCTTCAGCCCTAAACCCTAAACCCTAAACCCTAAACCCTAAACCCTAAGTGACCTGCGACCTCAAAAACCCTTGACTTCCATGCTGTAAGAGATCCCACTGACTCTGACCCCCCAAAACGACAGAGGCCGTGGCCACAAGAGCTCCCCGCAGGGAGGTCTGAGCCGCAGGGCCCGAAACCTTCGCTGGTTAGGGCTTAGGGCTTAGGGCTTAGGGCTTAGGGCGTGGGGCTTAGGGTTTTGAGGTGGGATCACTAAGGAGCAGATCCGGAGTAGCACTTTTTGGGCTGCTAAGGCGACACGGGCCCCAAGGCCTGCGGGGTACAACTATGTCAAACAAAGGCTCCCTATTTTACGGGCTTGGGACTAAGTCCATCTACAAAGAGAAACACGAAAAGGGAGGTGTGACCTGGGTTTAGGGTTCAGGGTTTAGGGATGGAAACGAAAAGACCACTGCGCAAGGACTTGCGGGCTCATCCTCGACGTTCATATGCAAGGAAAGGCTCTGACATGCCTATATTATACTCCCCATAACTACTATTTGCTTAAGAACCCCAAAAGAATGAAAAACAATGATCCCGATATCACCCTGAATAAGGAAGAATGCACTTCAATTTTTGCGGGGTCTTAAGCAATTAAAAGATGTTCAACTCGATAAAGGGCCTTTTTAAGGTGCTGTGGGGTATAATAATAGCCCACCCTGGCATTTCTGAATTTGTCAGGGCCGATGAACCGTGCTTTGTGCTAAGAGGCTTGTACGGTGGCGTCCGACACGCGGACTTGCAGCAACAAGTCCCCTACAAGCGGCTGGTGTAAACAAAAATCAAAAGCATGACCAATCGCTAGGATGTTCCACTAATACTAACAGTCCTTCATAGGGATTATGGTACCCCCCCGCCCCCCCCAAATATAATCGCTATTAAGGACTGCTAGTATAAGGGGGAACATCCCAAGCAATCGCAGAAACCATCGAGCTTGGAGTCAACTGTGGCTCGGGCAAAGAGTCGCGCTGCGCCCAATAGCGAGGCAAAAACGAGGAAAGAGCCAATCACGGCCTTGTGACGGTTTTCATGGACCCGGGGACTTTTTTTTGCTTCTGTGGCAACACAGCCATACATGGATGCATCTGCTCATCTCATTCATCTAGAGATACAACCCAAAAACAACATGGCACCTCTCCACCGGAGGGGGTGTGCGAAGGGTCCAAATCAATTGCCGCTTGAGCTTTCAAAGCACTCAGCCCGCAACAACCACGTGCGACAGGCTCCGCCCAGTAGCAAACCTGGCATTGATGGAGGAGGTGCCTCTTGCGCTAAGAGGCCGCGTGGCCAAGCTTGGGCAGGCATCATTGTGTGGCACGTAAGACCTCTCACTGCCAGAAACGCTGATTGGGTTTACACGGTTGAGAGAGATCCGAAATCTGCAGGGCTAAGGGAAGCTGCTGTGAAGGTCCGAAGCTCGGATGACGTACAGAACAGCCAAGATCCTTCTCCGAGGCTTTTGCGTGTGGACCACCGACACAACTGTCACCGCAAGCTCGACGTTAGCTAGCCACGACAACGCACCTCGATCTGCCTCTGCCAGACATGGCTCCTGCAGGCGTCACCTTGCAGCGTATGGAAGCAGAAAGCTGGAGTAGAAACGTCCTTGCTAAAGTTTTTGCATGAACCCAACCTGAACCCAACCTGAACCCAACCTGAACTTGAGTCTATGTCTGAGAGGGACTCAGAGATTCACGGTGTCTGCTGACCTAGGTTGAGGCCAATGATAGCTCCGGAGAAGTAGTTCAGGACTCTAGGCAGCATCTGTAGGGGTGGACTCAGAATTCACCCTAAACCCTAAACCCTAAACCCTAAACCCTAAACCCTAAACCCGAAATCCCGGGCCTCACCAACACAACCCAAAGCTTATGGTTGGGGTTTGGGGGAACAAGCCAGCGACCAGTCCAGGCTTCCCAAGTACGGGCCCTGAATATGGATTCCTTGCTACATATAACCCTTACAATGCACTAATATAGAGTAAGGGCCCCATACTTCTCCCTTTTAAAATTAAACGCAAGGGACCATACTCAAGGCCCCTGGTTCCAACCCTAAACCCTAAACCCTAAACCCAAAACCCTAAACCCTAAACCCAACCCTAGAACCATGTCGAGGCCGCGTTTCTGAAGTCAGTTGCGAGACCTCTCTCGGTGGCCGGAACTATCTGAGCCAAAAGAGCCGGCAAGAGATGTGACATGGGGGGTATAGGGGTTTAGGGTTTAGGGTTTAGGGGCCGGCCGGGCTCCTTGCAGGTTGAGATCCAGATGCAGGGTTTGGGGTTTGGGGTTTGGAGTTTAGGGTTTGGGGTTTGCGGTTTGGGCTTTAGTGTTTAGGGTTTAGGGTGCGGCCCCAGAGGATCCCGATACCCATGCTCGGGGTAGAGTGCGCAGTGCAGTGGGGCGTCTGAGGAGGCAGCTCAAAAGGAGGCACCAAATGACGCCAGATTCAGATGACACCATGATATAACTTGGGATGTTGCCCCTGAAACTACCCGTCCTTAAGAGGGATTATAGTACCCCCCCCCCCCTATTACAATCCTTATTAAGGACGGTTAGCAGTCCTTCAGAGGGATTATAGTACCCCCTATTACAATCCTTATTAAGGACGGTTAGCATAAGGGGGAACATCCCAACAGAGAACCTTCGGAAACATCGACTCGTGCGGACTTTTCCTTGGGGGCAGCGCGGAGAGCTCCTACTCTCGGCACCTAATCTACTGTTTGCTTAAGAACCCCCCCCCGCCCCCCCCCCCCCCCCCCCCCCCCAAAAAAAAAAAAAAAAATAATAATAATAATAATAATAACAAATATCGATATATACATATATATATATATATTCCCCCCTAAGGAAGATCATCTTTATTTCTTAGGGGTTCTTAAGCAATTAGAAGTAGTGAAAGCGGCCCCAAGCACCTGTGCTTTCGTGGTGAAACTTTCTCGGGCTTCGCACGCCGGGTCTTTCGACGCATGACAACTTGGTGGGGCCCTCGGGGTTTGTTGCGGGCTTTAGGGTTTAGGGTTTAGGTTTAGGGTTTAGGGTTTCTCAGAGTCCTGCAGGTTGCAGGCTTTAGGGCTTATTTCAGAATTGAGGCTTAGGTTCTTCGGGCGTTAAGGGCTCAGAGTCCTGCAGGTTTTTGGAGTTGTTCTTCGTGTTCCTAGCGTCTTTAGGGCTTTTACGTTTTTAAGGTTTCGCGTTGAGGGTTTTGAGGGGCTTTAGGATTTTTAAAGGTTTGTCAAGGCTTGAGAGTTGTAATTGTTACTCTTTTAGGGGCCGTTCGGGGTTGGACTTGCTGTCTAGGGTTTGGTGTCTTTAGGTCTGTTGGGAAGGGTTAAGGGCAGTTTAGGGTCTACGGCTTAAGGTCGGGCATTGACAATTGAGTTTCGGTTTGTGTTTGACAGTATTGTTTTCTTTCGGGTTAGAAGGTTCCAAGGTTTTCTGGGTGCTGGGGTTTTGGGGGGGCGTTAGGGTTTTTGGGGTTTTTGAGCTTTTCGGCGATTTTCAAGGGGCTTCAAGGCTTTGTTGATAATCGATAGGTGCGCGGCCCTAACAATGAAATCCTCATGGCGATGCCCAAGGTAAATAAACGAGCGAGGACGAATGCGCTACGCCCTCAGTCCATCTTGTCCACACTCCTCATGGCGGTATGGGATCAGAAGTTTCTGATCTAGGAGAGGGCTGCGGACTTTGTTCCCGAATACGTAGCAGAAGGGTTCCCCCCTTTTAACCTCAGGGGGTTTGTGGGGGAGGGGGGTCGTGTTTACGTGAAGGTGCTGTGACCTCCATTTTTCCCACGCCCGCCCGGTGGGGGAAAGCTTCAGTGCTCAAGACCCAATCGTTTTTAGACTTGCGAGCAGCGAGCATGAAGCGAGGATCCACGACGCGACCCGACACATCCGGAACTCTGTTTTTGGTGGCCCAGTAACCATTTTATCAAATGTGGGCACCCTTTTTGTGGGTTAATTAGCTTTATAAGGGTACCTTGAACCAACCAAAGGCAGAGCCCCTTCCGCAGAAACAGCAGGCACTCCTCATGATGGAGATGATGTTTCCTTGGCTTGCCATTGGGACAGATCCAATGCTACGATGTCTAGGCTTCCAAAGGCGAGGCCATGTCGATGACCTGGGTCTGGGTTTAGGGTTTCGGGTTTAGGGTTTAGGGTTGAGGGTTTGAGGGTCTGAGGGTTTCACGCCACATACTAGTTTCATACTAGAGCCGAAGCACCCGAACAACTTTCCACTCTCCATGGCTGCCTGGGGTCGGGTGGAGGTCTCGGAGACTTCTCCGGCAAGAAGAAGTTCGTCCAGGATGCGATAGACCTGACGATTTCAGCCGCTCTGTTCTATTCACCCCCAGCATCTGAGGTTCGAACTACAGGCTCAAGCAGAATTCGCATGTCAAGAACGACCCTACTGGCTTAGGGCAAAGGGTTTGAGGCAGCCTTGAAAAGTGCCTGTGTGTGCGTCTATCTTCTCTTCATGGCTGGGAGAAACGGATAGCCGAAGGCTGCCCTATCAACTTTTGCCGAACATCCTGGAATCCACGATGAGCCCCTGCATTTCGAAACGATTTGACAACCATTCTGCAAGAGGAGCCCTCCCCCAAAGCGCTCCCGGACCTCTCAGAAGCCAGATCTTCCAAAAACCCTTAATTAGGCAATATACCCTAATTTTACTAAGGATCCTGATTAGGAATTAGGGTATATAACTTAATAAAGGGGTGTTGGAAGATCTGGGAAGCCTCCTCGAGTATCCCCCACGCTGCGGGCCACACCTTGTCGAAGTGAAATACGAGGTCGAGCTCGCAGACGTTGCCAAAGTACCTTTTTGGTTTACCTAGGATCTAGAAGAAAAGAAAATAACACTGAACCCTTTTTGCTAGTTTGCTAGACCCTTTTGACTCCGCGCGCTCTGACGGGTCCGTGGCTGCCTGACCCTAAACCCTAAACCAGTTTGGGGGCGGGGCGAGGGTTCTGGCAAGTCCTTCGGACATTGCGCTTTCAGGTTCGTGTGTGTGGGTCCCGTGGTGCATGAACCCACCCTAAACCCCCTAATCAAGGCATATACCCTATTTCACAATAAGGATTCTTAGTATAAATGAGGGTATATTCCTTAATTAAGGGGTTTTGGAAGATCTGGGAATCAAACCTTTCCAAGTGTTACGGCGAAGCTGGCGCGGAGTCACCCTTCGTCCAGTACACACTGGTGGGTTTTGATATGGCTGAGGAACCCTAAACCCTGAATCCTGAACCCTAAACCCCAAACCCTAAAACCTAATCCGCAAGAGGGTGTGCGGAGTTTTGGGAATGGCTAGGTCTCAGACCCGTCCAACACTTCCACGAAGAGATGGATGAGCTCCTGCACAGCAGCTTGAGGGGAGCAAGGTTTTGCTTGGGTTTGTTGTTGGATTTTTTGGGGGAATTGTTTTTTCTTGGTTTCATAGGTCCTCTAGGGGAGCAACTTGAGTTCTGGCCCTACACTCCCAGAGACTCCAATATCCCTTACCTCAGGAATATTCCATATAAACCACACAAGGAACCCTCGTACATTCTAAGGTTTAGGGTTTAGGGCTTAGGGTATTGGAGTCCCTGGGTTCGCTTCAGCCAGAAAAAAGCTACGGGAAGCCTCAGCAGTACCTACAACACAGCAACAGAAACTTTCACTGAGATGGCACACTGTGCTTGAGAAGCCCACCTGGTGTTCTTATTGCAGACCTCTGAAGGCCCATATGACTTCGGAGCGATTTGTCGGAATGTAGGGTTTTTGGAGGTTAGGGTTTAGGCCCCGTCCAGCATTCCCATCTCGTTGTCGTTCATGTCAACGCCTTGGGTGTCAAGGGCCCTCTGAGTTCTTCACTGCTTGGACAAACAGCTGTTCTTTCACGATGTCGGCTGTTCTTGCGTGCAAACCTCAGAAAAAGTCGACAGATGGACCAACTTCTGCGCAGTTCAAAATCGAGTGGCATGGGAGGGTGTTGCAAACCCTGGTCTATTCATTTGAAGTTAGAGGTATAATACGATGTAAACAGATTTAATACTAAATAAAAATAAATCATAGTATACTTATATATACATATAGATTTGTGTCATCCTATTTCAACATATATTGGTATGTACAACGACAGGATTCAGAGAACTTCTGGGATTGTTCACCCGGTGACTGAGATCACGAGGCCAACGTACGACCAGAGCGCAAACGCGTCGCCCACTGGTTGAAGTTGGTGTTGGCTATAACATCTGCAAAGTCTACATCAAGGGCACTTGCACAAGCCCTGCATGCGAGACAAGGACCATAGGGAACGCTCCAATGCGCTTTTAACCGCTTCATAAACCTGCGACCACGCACGACGATGGGAGGAGCCGCGGCGCAGTTTCAAACCCCGCAACCTTGAACAACACGAGCAACTAAAGAAGTCGGAGCACCAGAAGAACATAAACCTCTGAAAGCCCTCACTAAACGAAACCTTGACCACCACCCTCTCACCCAGACAGAAAAAAGCAACGAAAACCGCCATGGTGCAGAAGATAAAGAACATCCCTGCGTACCGCCTGCGTGCAATGCCGGGCAAGTGGTGTAGTGCATGTTCAAGCTTTGGTAGGCTAGGGCTCCTTTGTCTGGTTTAAGGGTCTTAGCTGGGACAAAGATCAGCTTCTCAGCTGGCTCAGGATCGTGAGACACCAACTCCTTGTTGCTAAAGTTCGGGGCACAGGTGTTTCTGTGCCGACTGCTAACAAGCGCAAGCTCCAAAAGAGATCTACACATCTACACCTATGGACTTCGAGATCTGCGAGATGGTATTCAACAGACGACTGCCTCAAACTGATCTCTATAGTGATCCCCAGCTGCAGGTACGCCAAGCCATTGGCAAAAAATTGAAGTTCCGAGTCCAGAGCTGTCAAGTTCGGCCATGGCATGCGGTTTAGGGTTTAGGGTTTAGGGTTTAGGGTTTAGGGTTTAGGGTTTAGGGTTTAGGGTTTAGGGTTTAGGGTTTAGGGCGACTGCAGAACGATTGCCTCTTGACCATCAGGACCTAAGGCAGCCAGGAACCCCTACAAAGGTGTGATCCATCTAAGGCCTTGAAGTTGCCAATTTAGGGTTTAGGGTTTAGGGTTTAGGGTTTAGGGTTCAGATTCAATCTGCCATTTTGCAGGGCGCCTGTAGATGATCTTGTAACTCCTGTACTCCAAGAAGTTGGTGTTCCTGCAACTTCGTAGCATTTTTGTTGCTTGCATGTTCTCGCCTGGGGTTGGGCGTTGTCTCTGAACGTAGCAGTTCAGGGTCCATGGTTCCATGACCCACGTAAGACCTGAGCTCTAATTGTTGATATGCAGAACCATTTAGGATTTAGGGTCTAGGGCTTAGGAGTTCAAATTTGGGGTTTAGGGTTTAGGATTTAGGGTTGCTCATACTTCGGGTTGCAGGACTCCGTGCGTCGTCACCGGCGCTGAGGCTTACTGCGCACCCATCACGACTAGACATCAGATCGGGAAGCCCACGAAAAGCCAAAGGTACCTTAGGGTTTAGGGTTTAGGGTTTAGGGTTTAGAGTTTAGGGGTCTTGAAGATAAGATGTGTGGGAGTTATAGGGGTTTTGGGCTTAGAAGCTGAGGGCTTCAGGGATTCCAGCACCAGTCACAGGCATCCTAATCACCTCGAAGCCTGCAATCGGGAGAAAGCGCGAACGAAAAGCGAGGCCCCCGCAAATTGACAATGATCATGCTAAGCGCTGTTCGATGAAACCCTAAACCCTAAACCCTAAACCCTAAACCCTAAACCCTAAACCCTAAACCCTAAACCCTAAACCCTAAACCCTAAAACCCTAAACCGCCCCAAAACCTCACCAAGGGATGTAGCAGAAAGCGACTGGCTGGCCTGGGATCCCGAGCGACCACAGCTCGGTGGATTTCCGACTCAATCCTCAGGCGGCAGGGTCGTGGCAAGCCCCGCGTCTTGCTTGCTTTTAGGGTTTAGGGCCTTTAGGGCCTTGAGGGTTTCGGGTTTAGGGTTTACGGTTTTTGAAAGTGACCTGGAGTAGCAATTTGAGGGTTTCACCCGCCCGCTATCCATCTGTCTTGTTTCGCCAGACAAACGGCACAAGCATGCAGCCCCGCATCTGTCATGGTAGGGGTTTGGGATGTTCCCCCTTTTACTAGCAGTCCTGAATAGGGATTATGCCCTAAACCCTAAACCCTAAACCCTAAACCCTAAACCCCAAACCCCCTATTGCAATCCCCGATTACGGACTCATAGTTTTAAGGGGAACATCCCAAGGTAGGGCTGTCTAAGCGTGGTTTTATGAGGACTATTGAAAGCCTCGGGTGGCCCATAAACCCCGATGAAAAAGACTCCTAAACATGATCCTCTCAAACCCTAAACCCTAAACCCTAAACCCTAAAAATGATCCTCTTAAACCCAGGGAAAGCATAAAATACACCAAGGGCCTGCCTAGAAACACACCACTACAATTCTGGCCACTCAGGGTCCACAACCCGAGTTCCCGCAACAACCACGCAACAAACACCTACTCGACAGCAACCCCACCCAAAGTAGCTACTTCATGGGGCAGGACCAATACCTGTAAAGCCGGAAGGTACAGTACACTTCTCAGTTTGGCTATCAAGGAGCTTGGAAGAGTTTGGAAGCTCGTGGAAGTATGTGGGCAGCCGTGTGTCCAGAAGCATGCGCCGCTCAGTGCTCAAACCATCTTGGTGGTTTATAAGTATTTGTGCTCTCTGGGTGTTGCCTCGCAGTGTTGCAGCACGATGAGTTTCGCCCTTGCAGCAGCAGCTTTGGGGGCTTTAGCACCATGGTGCGCAACACAGCTCCACATCATCTGCAACTGCTAACTCTAACCCCTAAACCCTAAACTCTAGACCCTAAATGCTGTCCCGGGCTCTTGAACTTCTCCTTTGCATTGAAAGGCACGTACCTACACAGGGACAAGCACGCAGGTTCCCACAGGCAGACTGACAAATCCGGAGGGGAAACCCAAATTTTCGGAGCTAGGCTTTGAGGGTGCGGGGCTTTCGGGGTTTGGGCTTTTTCGCGTTGACATGTGGCTTTGAAGGTTTGGGTTTTCTTGAGTTGTCATGGTTTTAAGGTTTTTTTTGAGATTAACCCAAAACCCTGAACCCTGAACCCTAAAACCTGAGTGTTTGGGGCTCTTGGGGCTCTTGGGGCTCTTGGGGCGTTTAGGGTGTTGAGGGCGAGGTGTGCAGCAGTGCGACCAGAAAAGAAGGGACGTCCGGGGTGCCCGTTGAGGTTGAACCGTCACAAAAAATCTGCCAAACACTGAGTTGCTGAGCTCATCAGCCCCCAAAACAGTGTAGGTGATGATAATATCCCAAAAAGTCCAGACATTGTAAAAGTGTACTCCTTCAGCTTCTAAGAACACTGTTCCCAGATCGAGGCACCATTTCGACAACCGGGTTTTGCCTGGCGGACAGAGGTTCTCGCGGGCTACCCTCAGCCACTCAGCCCCCTAGGTCCCTAGGTTTAGGGTTTAGGGTTTAGGGCTTAGGGTTTAGGGCTTAGGGTCTAGGGTTTAGGGTTTACGGCTTAGGGTTTAGTTTTTTTTTTTTTTACTCGCTTCTTTGAGCTTTAGTCTTGAGGCTTCGAGGGATTTCCGAATGTACAAGTGAAGAACTGCCATTTTGGTGTGATACTGATACTTGACATGGCGGTATTGAGTCAATGTTGGTGCTATCCATGTTGGGTCAATGTGCACGCCGATGACAGGAACACGGGAACGAGACTCCACGATGTACAAAAGATCAGACAAACTCATAGGGTTATGAGAGGTGGACACATCAAGCTTGTCATGAATGACCCAAGGAGGGTCTCACATGAGCAAGTCAGCATGAAGATAACTGAACACCTCTTTTGTTGACCACTTGGGGATCCACATGCATCGTCCTGACTTGATTCCTTTTGCATGACCTCGGGTGTTTTGCCACCAGCACACTGGCGGCGGAATTACTTGAGCCTACCAGCCGGCAGGAGGGCCACCGCCCCGCGGCGGCGAGCGCGATGTGCATGAAGAGGGAGCCCATGGCACGACCCATTCTTGCAGCAGAGAACGAGCTTGGAACGATTGTTCGACCTCTGGCCTTGCGCCAGAGGTGATCCAAGGGTGAAGAGGGTTGAGGGTTTGTATGCCAGAGGTGATCCAAGGGCGATATCCCAACCTACAAGGCCACGACCGTTAGATGTGTGGAAACAATATCAGGATAACAGCGCCCCACCAACTTGGCAAAGTCTTTTGGCAGTGGACCTGAGATGATGACATCAAATCTCTCACGCAAGACCTTGCGCATATGCTGCTTGCCCAAAAAGTAGTGACAATGAATGGTCTGAGGCATATGTAATTCAAACAGCTTGGTAGCCAAGTCGAATGACACTTGCGTTTTAGCTCTTCGTAGAGCATCAAACACACACAACAAATTATGCTCAAGAAGAACCGGAAAAGCGTGTCTTCGGAAGTGAGAAAGATTCCCTGTGAAAGCTCCGCTTTTGCTCATCCATCGAGGATCTCTCAGCTTTTTCATGTTGCGGGCATACGTGGCCAATCTCAAACGGGGTATCAAGGAAACTTTCCTCTGAGCTGAAACCATGTTGAGAATAACCTGTTAAACTCCAGCAGCATTCAGTGGGGAATGCACTTTGATGTGATACTGCGCTTTTGCTGGAGAAGCTCCAGGACACCCATCACCAACCATTTGAGAAGGAAGTTCGGAAAACACATTGATCCCATCACCATTCACACCTCAAGGAACAACGCACTTGTTTGTGCCCCAGGACCTGAAAAGAAGCTCCAATACTTCCTCAAGGCCTCCTTTTGCTTGGGATGCTCACACACCAAGAAGAACTCATATCCTGCAGGATCAGAAGAGGGGACTTTGGTAGCAACGACACGATCAAAGACCAACATGCAAACACCCACTTGAGCCTTCAACACTTCATTGCCTCCAAAGAATGACTTGACGACTGCAGAACATTTCATACTTCCCTTCTTGCATACTAGGTGTAGCACAGCTCTGATGTGTGCTTCGGAAAAGGATCCACCAATTTCTGCATCCATAGAAAAGAACGAACAATCAGTTAAACATGAAGCAATGCGACCCAAAACACTCCTTGGATGCTATGTTGGTATTCCCCATCATGGTCGTTTTGAATTCTTTGACTCGATCTTCGCAAACCCATCCTTTAGTGCTTGGAACAGAAAACTCTCCCCAGAGATGCTCAGGTACTTCCTCAACTGGTGGCAAATCATTGAAAATTCCTGTGACACGCCTGCTGTGTGAAAGCAAAGTGAACAAATACTACCCAGCTCCTTCAGCCCAGCAACATACCTCTGATAACTCTGAAAAGTTGAGGAGGAATGTCACCTTGAATGGAATTTCAGCTGAGGTGAATCTTGCCGAAACATGGCCATCAATGCAGGAATCTCCTTGAGAGCGGGTGTACGGGTGGTTCAACAGTGGGTCCGTGCAAAAAGATGGCATCCTCAGCATGCAGAGGTGAGCTCAAGGATGTGGTCGGAGTGGGAGACGAAAGAGCTTTGATGGTGACCTTGAGAAGAGCAGTTGCCATCGGAATGCGAGTTTTTCTTCTTTGAGCGTGATAGCGAGGCTCGAATTTTCAGATGTCTTGGCCATCCGAGAAATAACTTTGGCTCTTCTAGATAAGAGAGGTCCCATCATGAATGACAAAACGCTCCCTGGCAAGTTGATCAATGACTTCAGAGCAGCAATCTCCCACTTGTTCAGAATTAGAGATACACGTTGCTGAGAAGGACAATCAAGCAGTGGGGAAATCTGCAGATTCCAACTGCTGTTTGAAAAGCTGGCTGGTCACATATGCTGTCGGGGCCAAAACCTTCGAACTTTGCCTGCTGTAGATCATGGGGTGAGCTTCTCTGTGGTACAGGAGATCTGACGCAATGGTCTCAAAAGGTCTTGAACAGGGATCTGTGCCATTTGAATAGCATTGACCAGGCTAGGAGCGGACTCAATAATCAGATACCGGTAGAAGTACTTTAAGCAACTCAATACGCCGATTCTTCTGTAATCAACCACTCTGAGGGCCTCCATGACTTTGCGTTCTAAATTTTTGTACCCTAACAGTGAGTAACGAGGAAGCCATCATCAACCATCCTGCTGCAGCTTTGCGAATGAGAGACCGACGTCTGTCTCTGCCACCTTCGCATATCTTCTGCATCCCCGATAGAGCCGGCTGATCTGGCTGTATGGAAATCTGATCTTCTATAGTAACATAGTAACTTCTTCTGGACTGGTAGAAGGTTCGATTACGGAAGACTTGTCAAAGCAATATCGCAACTGTAGAAGCCAGCAATCACCATTCTGGATGATCCCAGAAAGTTCCAAATGAGCGACAGCTTGAAGCAACATAGCCCCTGCCATGTAATTGATGACTCGATTCAAACCGCCGCCGAATTTGCCTTTTAGATTGGTGCTGATTACACCTCGTGAGAGCACACCTGATCGAATAACAGATTGAACAGCACGGACCAAGAATGCAGATTGAGCTCGATGCACAGGATCTCCTGACAACCATTGTCTAGACCTAGTCCTAAGAACATCAACTAGCTCATCAAAAAATGCTGACTCTGTATCTTTCAGTAAGGTCAAAGCTGTACCATTTTGGCAATCTGCTGAGAAGCTGAGTCAGATTTGGGTATCATCAAAGATGCAGGGCTCACATGCGCTTGAGACTTCACTCCTATCAACAATTCGTGAATCCCTCCCTGGTCTGACCCATTTCTACACATCTTGCAAGGTCCACCAAGAAAAGTACAGCCCCAGCATCAGGACGAGAGTCAAAATCTTTGTGTTGGGTTTACCACTATCTCCATGGCCCCAACAGGATGGCTAGGGAAAGGCTCCAGGCTAGAAGAAACTTCTTGCTCATGAGTTGTCAAGAAACTCTTCATAACTTCATGATGCGCAGCAAAAGTTGATCATGCAGTCACGGGCCTTACGGGCACGTTGGAGACTACGTCACAAATATCATGGAGTAGACCGAAATAAGTAGCTTCTGCTTTACAAATCTGTTCATCCAACTTGGTCCCTCCTCGAATAGTGAGGCTTCTCATGGTTCTGGTCTGGTCTCTGCTCCTACAATGCCGAATGCCATAGGCAAACTGAACTCAGTCACCAGCTTCATGATGGTCGGTTTCAAAGGCCGTTTTTCTCCTAGCCTAGAAGCCAGTTCTTTCAAAGCTTCTCGAGACCCCATGGTGAGAGCTTCATGTACAAGTTGGTTGCCAGATGTCTATCCAGCGATCTCTCAAAGCGTCAGCCAAAATCAACTCAGGTGTAGGAGCGGATTTACATCTTGTGGCATCTGTGGTCCGGAGCAGAGAGGAATAACCTCCAGCAAAAGCTGGAGGAGAACGAGCCCTGCAATAATTGTACAACTGAGCGTAAAAGTTATCAACCTTGGGCAACATCTTTAGCTCAGTGTACATCTCCGTGAGAGCATAGTCAGGACTCCTCACAAAGTAACATAACCATGCTGCATGTGAGCAACCTCCCTCAGATCTCAACAAAGCCACGCCAACCCTCAACAACTCCCATGTAGGCAATTCAGCACCTTCTGAAGTACGGAGAGGACCTTTGAGCAATGGTGAATTGACCCTGTGAAAATCCATTGTCATGTGCATTTTCGCATACACTGTAGCCACGACAGGTGTATGATCATGAACTCCCAAAGCTGCACTGATGCCAGTTGAAGATAGTTGACCCAAGCAATGAACCCAAGGTTGGGTAACCATCAGAAACTGTCCTGAACATGCGACTGATTTGCTTGAAATGGCGTACCAACATGCATCCTTCTTTGATGTGCCTCAGTTTAGGGTTTAGGGTTTAGGGTTTAGGGCTGCTTTTGAGCGTTTGGAGCCCATGCTTGGGCCTTAGCTTGGAGGCAGGTCGACATGGTTTCGAATTCCACAAGAGCCTTCTGCACCCCGACTTTCTGACCCTCTGGTTCTTAGTGGGAATGAGGGAGTGAGGGCCATATATATGTATATATATATATATATATAGATATAGATACATCTATAACATCTATATCTATAGGTACCCTTTAAGGGATCAGATAGGGCCCTAAGTCCCGCATTCCCCGCTAAGAACCAAAATCTCAAGGAGGCTGGGGGCTTTCCATGGGAGGGGTGAGGCCTGTCTACGGTGTGTGCTTGTAGCACGGAAACCCCAAAGAAACAAATACCTACACTCCTGCAACCTCAACAGCGCTCCAAGCGACCCTTGCGTTCCCTTTCCAAGGCAGATATGACCCCCTGGTTCTTGGTAGGGCATTCGGGAATGAGGGCCCTACATATGTATATATAGCACATATATATATATATATATGTATGCTATATGCATATATCGGGAGTATATGGCGCCCTCATTCGCTCATTCCCTACTACAGATAGGAACATGCCTCGCACCCCTCGCGTATTCTGGAGTTCATGCCCTGCGTGAAGCCCCAAAATGATTGACCCAAAACCCTTCGAAATCTGCGCGCTCCAAACTCGGAAAAGAGAGTCCGCAGAATCCAAGATGTAGTATGTGCGAGGGAAGAAGTCCAGTTTGGACCCTGAACAGAGGATTTCTGGGTTTAAACCGAGGGAGGGCTCAAAGCGGCTTCTTTGATGACGAGGCAGTCACATTCAGAACCTTGCAAACTGGGTCATACAGGGGCCTGAATCACTAGAATAGGGTTTTGGGGGGTTATTATAGTATAGTTTACAAAGGGACCAGAAGGGAATATTATTTGTAATTATTCCGACCCCTGCAGTAAGCTCTGCCAGGCTCACCCTGGCGGTTCTGGAGCAGGATGAACCGGATCATCCCTGCCGGCGGCGGCTCTCTGCTTTTCATATTCAGGAAGTTCGGAAGCTTGGGGTTTAGGGTTTAGGGTTTAGGCCTATGGGACACAAAGATGCGGATTCAGCTTCGCGGTTTGACAACCTGGCTACACAACACCCCTAGGGATTCCTAAACTAAGGCCATATGAGTACACCCCAGAAAAGTCCTCCAGACTCCTGCTGAAACCCAAATCCCAAACTCTGTGCTTTCAAGGCACCTGCTCCGGTGCAGAAGCGACCCCACGCACCGGGGAGCTCTTTGAGAGAGGCGGGCGGTTGAGGATCAACTGGCCTGCTGGTCCGGAGATCCAGCCCGAACTCGGCAACAAGAGCTGACAAGCCCCTCGCATGCTGAGCAAGCTGTTCCCCGCAGCTGGGCATGTGTTTGCAGACCGACAGTTGCCCACGAAGAGCCAACTCAGTACACCCCCGGCAGTCCAAGTTGAGTCTATAAGCCTGAATATTAGTTCTAATACTAGTCATATTCTGATGATTCCTGATCCTATCATGATATCTGAAGGAAATGTCCCGCTTAAAGACTTCCGGTCTCACATCTGGGGCTGGGGGCTCAAGACTCTAAATTGATTTTTTTAGGGTTTAGGGTTTAGGGTTTAGCTGCAGAGAGCTCGGCCTTGCTATCTTTTTGTGCCGACAGCCGCCTGTCGTTTGCTCATTCGAGCTGGGCACTGCTGACAGGCTTGCAGATTATCCTTCACGCGTCATGAACCCAAAGAGCCCAATACCCCTTAATTAAGGAATATACCTTAATCTATATAGGGATCCTTAATATGATTTAAGGTATATATTCACTAATTAAGGGGTATTGGGCTCTTTGGGAAATCTCAGCCCTGGAGTTTGGAAGCGCTCAGATGCTGCTAGATGCCTGAAGAGTTTAAGAGGTTCCCGCCATCTTGGCCAAGAAAATATCTGGAGGTTCGAAGCGGCAAGCTGCGGCACTGGGAACAGCTGATGTTGAAGGTTAAGAAACCCTAAACCCTAAACCCTAAACCCTAAAGTGTAGAGCCTACGGTCAGCCTGGGACTCTTGCCGTGAAGCAACCTTGCGAACCAAATGAACCCTAATAATTGGGACTAGATGCCCTTGGTACTACTATAATCCTTATTCGGGTACATGAATCATAAACCCTTTTAGGGTTCATTTGGTTCTCAAGGAAGTCAGGCTATGAGTCGAATTGCAGCAATTGCTTGCAAGTCTGGCTGCAATGCCCAGCTAAGTGAATGCTGCACACAGGGTACCCCCCCATCCCCGTCCCACTCCCTCGCTCCGCCCCCTCCCCGACCCTCCGGACCCCGAATTATCAGTGTCACAACGAACCACCCTAAACCCTAAACCCTAAACCCTAAACCCTAAACCCTAAACCCTCAGTTTTTCTCAGGCACATAAGAACCACTTGATATCGTGAACTGCATTGACGACCAAGCCCTTGCCATCTTCTTCCTCTCACTGCGCCGAGCCGGGGTCAACCTGTCATTGGCCGTGTTCCTAGGGGAGCAGTAGCCCTAAACCCTAAACCCTAAACCCTAAACCCTAAACCCTAAACCCTAAACCCTATAAGCCGTAAACCTGTGGAAGAGACTTAAGCTAAACTGAAGTTGCCCTGCTGGGAGTTGGGTAAGGGCCCTAAGGTCGTCTGGAAGCACGGAGACACGGAGACCCTAACAACTCAAACTAGGCTTCGGTCGGATGCCACATCGAACGGCCCCTAAACCCTAAACCCTAAACCGGATGTTTTCAAGCCAGACTGACAGTTGCACTGTTGGCACCTGTAGAAAAGCTTTGCAGCTCGAATTACCAGTGCTCCTGCTGCTTAGCCGGGCCTGTGAAACGGTTCGACACGAGGATTCCTTGCTCAGAGGCTCAGAAGCGGGGGGGGGGGAGGGTTGAGCAACTCCGCCATGCTGTCATCTTCAACATGTGGCCTCTTGTCTCACTGTGAAAAACTCTCCTCGCTGCTAGAGGGCCTACTGTTGCCATGAAGGCGGGGTCCGCAAAGGCATCGGAGGCAGGACAGCGCGCTGCTCTTCTCCTGAAAATCCAGGGTGATGTAGTCACTCTCTATATGGTGTGGCCTTTTGGGGGTTCCTATAATAAGGATGCCAGGATGATCGTATTTTGGGGTATATTCAGGTAGCCCTATTTTCGGAAATCACCATATGGGGATGGGAAAAAACTGAGCAGCGAATCGAGAACATGTAAAAGTGCTTGATTCGGTGTCTGTTGAGCGCTGCGTGTCCGAGGTTTGGCGGCATCGCGCGCGCTTAGTTGTACGGCGCTACCGGAATGCCGAGATTCGAGCGCCCCAAGCCGCCATACTGAGTTTCTGAAGTGGGTGCTGTGTTGCGGCTGAAGCCCAGCCCTACAGTAAACTTCAGTAAGCCGTCCAAGTGGCCAGGCTGTTGTAGACATGGTCCGCAGCCATCTGCTGAAGCGCAAAACCTCAGTGGCCACAATCGTCAAGAACGCATGATGCTTGGCGCAAGGTTGCTAAAACCCCACCCCTCACCCCCTCCCCCCCCTCACACCCCAGTACGAGCAGACGCGCCAACAAACTGAACAGACGGACCTCAATATACTACACTTTAACCCGTTTTGGGCCCAGACTAAGTGAGCTCCTGACGTGAGAGGAACATAGCCAAACACGAACCTCCCAAACCCCAAGAGCCTGAAACCTGACAAGACCGGGGCCTGAATGCCAAACCCCAAACTGGTTCTTTATTCGGTCTCCTTGCCATTGCACATTTGGGATCGCTGAAGGCTTGCGCTGGAAGTCTGGCGGAGACTTTGTGCACCTCTGCACGTCTATCCAAGACTCCAAAAACCACAAAAACAACCCTAGCCCGCAGCCCTAAACCCTAAACCCGAAACCCTAAACCCCTGGACAGAGACCGAAACGCTCTCTCGAGGGTTGGAGCTGCAGCTGCTTTTCGTAAAATGTTCAGAACAACACTTGGCTGCACTTAAGAGGGTAGCTATGAATTAGTTTTTTGCTGCCTTGTTAGGAAACCCAATAAACCCAAAAAGGCTAAGGATCTAAAGTTACGGTAAAGCACCACAAAGAACAGCCCGGAGCAAAGTGTGAGTCTCTGCCCGCTTTAACGGAGCACGCTCGGACAAGCTAGGGCGAGGCACACACTCTTGCCGGTTTAGGGTTTAGGGTTTTTTTTCAGGGTTTTGGGTTTAGGGTTAGGGTTTCGGGTTTAGGGTTTCGGGTTTAGGGTGCCCTCAGTGCAGGCCAGGCAGCTCATGGCAGGGTAGGAGTGGATGCAGGTGGAGATTGCACGCAACGTGAGCCTGCTGCGTTGGGCCGCCGGCTACTCGAGGTGCACTTCTTGCACTCTGGGGGTCTCGGAATGTGAGAGGTTGCTACTGGTGCAGTTCAAGGCCAGGTTGTCCTTCCTTGGGGGCCATATGAACCCTAAAAAGGTTTATGGTTCATCAACCTCAATGGGAATTATAGTAGTATAGGGAATAGAACCCCAATTTTGAGGGTTCATTGGGCCCCCAGGGTTGAGCCACCGGGCATTACAAATTCCTTCTCCCTCTCTCCCCCGCTCTCGCGATGGCCGGGTTGCCCGTTTTTCCGTGGCACACTAGTTGGGCTCCCCACCTGCAAACGCACCTGACATGGCAGCGCAGCTCCCTTCCAGGCTTGGCGTGGGGGGTGCCTAAGAAACCTCTCTCCTCTTTTTTGTTATTATTGTTTTTTTTTGTTTCTCTCGCTCTCTCTCTCTCTCTCTCTCTCAGTGTGCGACGCTGTGGCCAGCTGTGGTGCTGCACTTGCCAAGCTGCTGAGCTGCTGCAGCTTGCCAGCGGAGAATGCGAGAACTATCATAGCTTGTCGGGCTTCACGAGTAGGAGTCCCTTATAACAAACAACCCTAAACCCTAAACCCTAAACCCTAAACCCTAGAAGGTACAAAAACATCTCGGAAGCCGCCATAGGCTTGCAGGTGCTTGCCTCTGTGCGACAGCCAGGCCGAGCTCCTGCGCCACGTCGCCCGCCGCTGGCGCTACCACCGTGGCGCCTGCCAGAACTGCCCGGAGCTTCAGATGCGTTTAGGGTTTAGGGTTTAGGGTTTAGGGTTTAGGGTTTAGGGTTTAGGGTTTAGGGTTTAGGGTTTAGGGACTACCTTGAGAACCAAAATAAAATGCCCTGTACTACTATAATCCTTATTAGGGTATATGAACCCTCTGTCTAATTAACGCTGTTCTTCCTCTTCTTCGTACTGTGTACGGGTACAACCTTCACTCAATGGTCCGCTGTTCTTCCTCTTCTTCGTACTGTGTGCGGGTACAACCTTCAGTAAATAGAATCACTGGGCCTATTGAATCGCCGTAAAGCAGGTACGAGTATGTCGAGTACAAGCACTCTCATCAACCACGGAATTTGTACTAGAGGTCCAGGCTGCCTGCATGTGAGTGGCTAGACTTCCACGGTATGTTCTGGCCACTCTGATTCTGGAATAGACCGCAGGGTGTGGACGAAGTAGTTGCACGCTTGCAGTCACATGATGCCCAAACACACCTTCAGTCCACCACTGTCGAATTGTGTTAATCGCCCAACGTCTTGAAGTTGAAATTGAGCCCGAAACTCCATCCCCAACTGCTGAGTTGCAAAACATGCTCAAACCGCCCAGCGCATGTTTCCAGGCACGGGGGCCCAACAAGTGCTGCTGATCCATATGCTCACGTGCCTGTATCGGCGTATCTCAAGATTTCACAGTCAAAACTCGAGACAGCCAAGCAAGCAACAAGGTCAAGCCGGAACCGGAAAACCCAACCGGGCAACCGCCGGGAACCCTGACCTAAGGCCTTAGGATGACTTCAACAGCTTGGTCCTACCAGGTGCCCTGTGTCCCTGAACATTGGCCTGACAGCAAGTTGAGTGGAAACGAAGCACTACACGAGCACCCAACCCGAGATGGGTTTTCCAGAAAAATCGAGGTTGTGATTCAGTGATTCCGCAGCAGCGAGCGACATACCTGCAACCATCTACAAACTTCCCCTCCATTTTTTTCATGCGCCGTCCACAGACTCAAGGTTGGCTAGTAGTGGTGAGGGAATGAAGTACCCAAAACCCCCCCACAAAAAAAAAAAAATGAAAAAAACAAAAATATATATTTATGTATGTATGTAAAAAATATATATGCGCTTAAATTCTATGGGGTACCTCATTCCCCTCATTCCCTAGTAACCAACAGCAAGCAGAGAGGTGCTCCAGTGCAGCCCGGCCACCAAGAATCTTGCCTCCGCTGTCCACCACGATCTTGATGAAGCCTTCCGTCTCCCCTTCACCTCGGAGGATGCTACTCGCAGGGGAAGGAGGGGGTTTAGGGTTTAGGGTTTAGGGTTTGGGGTTTAGGGTTTAGGGTTTAGGGTTTGGGGTTTGGGGTTTGGGGTTTGGGGTTTAGGGTTTTGGGGGGGGGGGGGGGGGGGAGGGGTGAACCATGCGGAAGAGGGTTCAAGGGCACTTGTGCAGATACCTGACCAGCTCAAAGCTTAAAGACTTGCAAGTCTTGCGAGAGCGCACAGGGCAAAAAAAACCAATCACGCCAACAGAAATCAATCTGAGAGTTCAAAATCCACTACATATGGCGAACGACGAACCCTGATGCTTAGGCACTGTGCACGACTCTGCAGTACACGGCAAGCGAACCCCCACGGAGGGGAAAAGGGCCGCTCCAAACCCTAAACTCGTCTAAACCCTAAACCCTGAACCCTCAACCCTAAGCCATAAACCCTAAACTCTAAACCCTAAACCCTCAACCCTAAACCCTAAGCCCCAAGCCCTAAACCCTGTAAACCTGTTGCGCCATGTGGTGCTCGAAGGCCCGCCTGGACAACTTCTCCCGAGAACCGACTGGTTGGTCTTCGAATCTCTAGATCTGCACGGTTCCACATGCCTATAGCCCAAAGCCATAATCATGCCACAATACAATAACGTAGTAAATAATTGTTAATAATAGCAATAATAGTAGTAAAAGCAGAGTAGCATAATATTCTTATAAAGTACAAGAATGGAATTTAAAACTCTTATAAAGAAAAATACTGGAACATAATTAATCTTGATAGATTGTACATATAAAACCTGACCCCGACCATATGACCACGCGGGATGTGGATGTCCGATGGACGAAATCCGCGGCCGGGACCAGTTTCGAGAAGGCCAAAGCAGGGTTTAGGGTTTAGGGTTTAGGGTTTACGTCATGGAATACACTGGATTTCTCTTGCGTTGCATCCGCTGATGCTTTTGCTGCTTGGGTCCCACGCAAAAGTCCTGCTCCCAAATGGAAGACCCCATTTTTGTGGGCACCCCAATCGATGATGCCCCCATTGTGGACAGTCTGTCGACTGAAAGCTTGGATCAGCGACAGATCCTTTCTGGCGCACCAAAACTCATGGTGGACGCCCAAATTCTTACATCTACGCAGGGCGATGAAAGTTCACATGCCCCCCACCCCCAATAGGAAAGATCATTGCCAAGTTGTTCGCCTGTTTTCCACACACACACACACCCCACATGTTCCGGAAGTTAGAACAACTAGTTCTCGGATGTGGAGACGAGCAGCAGACCGCGCGGTCAACGTGAGACAGCATGCGCATCTTTGCCTCGGTCTGGCAGCATGAAGTCACATCTTGGGATGTTCCCCCTTATGCTAAGAGTCCTTAATGCGGATGATACTACCCCCTATTATAATCCCCATTAAGGACTGTTAGTATAAGGGGCTACATCCCACGTCACATCAGTCAGTATCAATCCTAGTGGTTCTACCTTTTCACGACCCTTCACTCTGCGTGGAATCGGGCTGTTGCCCCCAAGACCTTAAGCCCTCATTCCCGAACCATACATCCGAAGACACGGGGCCAGCGGCTAGCGGCTAGCACAAATAACTCTCGTGAGGTGTTCCTACGCACACATGCCCTCCACGAGCTTCGGGAAGCATCAAGTGAGACCATGGACACTGGTACACTTTTACAATCTCCGCCTACCCTCTGCATAGTCAAGAGTGTCAGCAGTCTCCCACAAAAAATCTTCTTCGGTTTTAGAGGTTGCTGCTTCAGGAAGGCGTCGCATCATTCACTGGACGCGAGTTCCCAGCTGCAGAACCTACTACCGCGTCTGGTCCAAGAAGCTCATTGTTGAGTACGGGGAGATGCTTGCATTTAGGGTTTTTAACGTTTAAAAACCCTAACTTAGGGTATCTTAGGGTTTTTAGCGTTCAAAAACCCTAAGTGATCCAAGACGCTCATTTTGAGTACGGAAAGATGTTGGCACGTTGCATCCAAAACCCATCCCAGGATGGCCCCTAATAACCTGAAAAATACTCCGAAAAAAATGGTCCTCCTAAAGCCAATAAGGGAAACTAACAAAAATGTCCCAAGGGCCTACCTCGCATCCTGTGTGGTGCTGGCCCCCCCAAACCCTAAACCCTAAACCCTAAACCCTAAACCCTAAACCCTAAACCCTAAAGAGAGTCAGGGGAAGCAACGAAGATCTGAAGCCGAGCTGAGCACTTGGCCGAGACTTTGTCCATCCCGTACGCGTCTGCCGCCTGGTCTTCTGTAGCATAGGGGCCTGAAGAATTAGAATACTAGGCTGCCCAGTAACCTAGGCTTAAAAAGGGTGCCCTTTTTGGCTTAAAGGGGTTTATAAGGGAACCTAACCCCCCCCCAAAAAGGGAATAAGGGTACTACTGGGCAGCCTAGAATAGGGCTACTATCGTGTAGTTAAACAAGGCCTAATATAAGAGAGGAAAAGGCCTAATAGAGGGGCCTGAAGAATTAGAACAGGGTTACTATCGTATAGTTAAACAAGGCCTAATATAAGAGAGGAAAAGGCCTAATAGAGGGGGCCGAAGAATTAGAATAGGGTTACTATCGTATAGTTAAACAAGGCCTAACATAAGAGAGGAAAAGGCCTAATAGAGGGGCCTGAAGAATTAGAATAGGGTTACTATCGTATAGTTAAACAAGGCCTAATCTAAGAGAGGAAAAGGCCCAATAGAGGGGCCTGAATAATTAGATAGGGTTATTAGAGTATCGTTACAAAGGAAAAAGCCTAATACAGAATGATTAGAAGAAGGTTAGTATAGTATAGTTACAAAGGAAAAGGCCTAATATAGGGGCCTGAATGATTCGAATAGGGTTTTTGGGGATTATTATAGTAGAATTACAAAGCGGCCATAAGCAAATATACTTAGTAATTATTCCGACCCCCCCCCCCCCCCCCATTTTAGCTCTGTGCTTGCTGGGGGCTGGCCGGATGTTCGTTCTTCCAGCTGATCAACCGCGAGGTGCTGCCACGCACACAGAAGGAGGCATTATTGTTCCTCTCCTGATTCCCAAATCGCAGGTTCCAGCTCAACAAGCTGCAAGTCGCTACAGCCCACTGCAATTTCGCTGCAATAACGGGTGCCTCCTAAACCGTAAACCCTATAAACCCTTATAAACCCTAAACCCTAAACATTAAACCCTAAACCCTAGACCCTAAACCCTAGACCCCAAACCCTAAATCCTAAACCCATAACAGGTGCCTCCTTCATGGTCAGCCCCACGGTCGCCACCTCCGGATGGGTGAAGGTGCAGCGCGGAACTGCCTCAAAGGCCAAGGGTTCAGCGATTCCGAGGGTTTAGGGTTTAGGGGAGAATCTGATGCAACACAGGTTCTCTCCTGACTGACTACCAACCCATCCCACCCTCAACTTCATCGGTGTCCTTCTATCAACAGCCTGCGCCCCCGTCCCCGGAGATGTTCTCCTTACGTGGCCTGCAGGTCTTACCCGTCATCGCTGCTTAGATTCAGATTCGGCGCTCATCCCTCCATCACAGGCATCCTAAACCCTAAGCCACAAACGATAAAAGAATCGTAGCCCTCGAGTACAAACTCCAGACCCTACAGAGTCATCTGCGAAATGTCGGGCAAACAAACACGGACAAATCTCGATCTTCGAGCTTGCAGTTTCGCCATCGACTCTCTTCAACGAACCCTCCTGCTCAGACAAGCTGTCGCCAGCTAAAACACTTGGCTCTTGTCATGTAAAACAAGAGCACATGGGGTACCCCTAACACGCCTATCCTAACCGCAGTCTGCAGCCACGGGCGCCGCATTTCCAGGTCCAGCTAGAGACACCGGCTGCACAGCGTTGAAGGCCGCCAGAGCACCCTGCGAGTTTCGAGCAGCTGCACGTAATTTTCTTTAATTGGTGCAAGGGTGATGCGTGGCAGAGTGCTCAGAAGTTAGGGTCAACAACGCGCAGAAACACGCCAAGCTTTGGCGATTCCAGAACTGCATACCGGACTGCTTTTCGTGCCGGAAGGGGGGTCAAGGCAAGTAGACCGCCACATTTTCAGCTGCGGAGCAGGCATAAGTAAACAGATGGATGAAGAAAAACCATATGAAGCTAGTTCGTGATGGCGTAATGACTAGGTGTTGCTGAGGGCGAGTTGTACGCACAAAAGCAGCCAAGAAGTCAAGAGCACTTGTGCTGGCGCCAGCACCAATCGCAACAGAACTCTAATTGCTTCAGTTTAATAGCCAGCAGAAGCATCATGATCACCAATCACCATGTTGCTACCGCCATGCTACTGCCATGCCGATGTCCTGGTACCCAGCCAGGTGGGTGAACTGAAGGCCGCCCAAGCAGTCCCCAACCTCCACAAGCACTTAAACAGCCAGAGACTGGCATCAACTGACATCTGTGGAGATCGTTTCCCAAACCCTGCGATTCGCAATTACCATTCGTAGTTCCTGCTATTCGTTCAGGAACGTTTGGGGGTTAGGAGTCATGCTGAAATGCCCATTGAGATCACTTCCGTCCGGTGTCTGCAGGCCCCTGCCTGCCCTAGACCCAGGTAGATGCTACCCATCGGAAATTTGTGCATTCGGCGCATTCGGCTGGTTCGGTGCAGGATGTTCGCTCAGCAGTGCGGGCAAGTGGCCGCATAGATGTGCTTTGCTGACGTCCGCAACTTCGCCTACAAGATCTCACATTTGATGGAAGTTCTGCGTGAGGCCTTGCGCTTATCTGGAGACTGAATCCGACAGGGTATTGCTGGCGGCACTATGATTTTTAGTGCGGCCAGAGGTGCATCCACGGAGATGCCATCTTTGGTGCATTTAACACCTGGCAGCCGCCAACACCGAAGCCAGTTTGAAGTCTTAGCTCAGCAGGCCGAAACATGATGAGCTGTGTGCAGCATGCAACGCGTGACTGGCAAACACTTCTCAAATTTCCTGCCGAGCGAGGTAGGCTGACACTTGAGGAGAAGCTGATGTTCGGCCCACATGGCCAGTTCGGCCCATACCGCGTTTTGGCCACATAACTTAAAGATCAAACAGATTCCAAATGGTAGAGTCTGGCCCTTGTGGCTGGCCACCAGAAAGCCACGGACCCTTCTCACGACAACGCATGGACCCAGATCTTCCAAAACCCCTTAATTAAGGTATATACCTTAATTCCTAATAAGGATCCTTAGTATAAATTAGGGTATATTCCTTAATTAAGGGGTTTTGGAAGATCTGGGGAATTGGTCGCCCCCTGGCCCACGGGCCTGCGCGCTCCAAGCTCATGGCATCCAGACCTGACACAGAAGCGACGTGCCCAGGGTTGGCCTGAGGTCTGCAACTTCCTTGACATTGTTTACATATACATATATATATACATTATATACATATACATATACATGTCTATCGAATGTATGACCTCAATGTTGGGGTTCATTTGGTCCCCAGCTTTCTTTTCCTTGACATCATCGCCGCGACGTAGAGCTGTCAGTGGCCGTCAGCTTTAGGGTTTAGGGTTTAGGGATCTAGATGTTCACCTCCCTCAAGGCGAGCAGTTCATTGCCGGTGTTACAGGCACGTCGCGCCCCGAACTCACCTGAAACTTGCCTAACCCGTGCTCAGATGTGACCGGCAATGACCCTCAAACTGCCCACAGCTGCCCCAAGCCAGTGAAACTCCAAATCAACACCGGTCAGTTGGGATGTTCCCCTTATACGAACATGTACGAACAGTTCTTAATCGGCATCATCAAAAGGGGGGGCGTACTATAGTCCCCATTAAGGACTGTTAGTATCCGGGGGAACATCCCAACCGGTCAGATTTGAAACCCTAAACCCTAAACCCTAAACCCTAAACCCTAAACCCAGGCGGCCTTTTGGCCTGCGGCCCACAGCGACCAGGAGACCGGCGCATGGCCTGGGCGTCAGCTGATGACATGCCTGGACACCAAATGAACCCCAAAATTGGGGGTTTAGGGTTTAGGGTTTAGGGTTTAGGGTTTAGGGTTGTCATAGACCCTATACTACTATCATTCCTATCAATGTAGGCATAGAAACATACATTTGGGGTCATCTAACCTGTACTACCATAATTCCGATTAAGGCACATGAGCCATAACCCTTTTTCTCGCAAGCCTCGGTCCGGACCCGTATGGCCCGGCTCGGATCCCACCCGGAACGACAGCGCTGACCCTCAGCACCCCTGGAATCCCAAATCGATAACCACACGTGCTGCAGAAACTCTCAGTCGCGTGTGCAAAACCTGGCTGATTGAAAAGAGCCGGAAAAAACTCAAACTCACTGAGGACAACACCCCGGCACAGGAAATAGCGTTGAAGAGTTTGGTCTCTTGGGCCTTATTCTCGCTATCATGATCCAAACCTCCCATCCCCAAGGAAGAGAAGATGCCTTTGGAACCCAATCTTGGTTGACCCAGGGGCAGGGATCTGCCACCAGCATGAAGGGTCAAACCTCTGGCTTTGCGAGTCCGGGCTGGATTTTGGGGTACTGCAGCGTGCCTTCAATACTTGGCCCCTTCCCAATTCCGCAATCATGGGAACAAGCAGTTTGCCCTGGGATGTTCCGCCTTATGCAGTCCTTCATGGGGGGGAAACAAATCCCTTTTAAAGGACTGTTAGTATCAGGGGGAATGTCCCAAAGTTTACCCTCAATTCCCCCCCAGGCCATCACACAAAAAGACGGGTGGTCGGAGGTCGAGATGAAACTGAGTATAATATAGGGCCCTATAAAGTCCCTTAAAGGGTATATATATATATATACATACATATATATATATAAACAGGGTACCGGATGTACCGGAAAAGGGTACCTCATTCCCTCATTCCCTACTAACCAAGAGTAAGTTTAGCAACCACAACCAGCCTTGCGGACCAAATGAACCCTAAAACGGGTTTAGGGTTCATATACCTTGATGGGAATTATACTATGGTTGTATGACCCCAATTTTGGGGTTCATGTACCTTCATAGGAATTTTGTAGTAGTATACGGTATATGACCCCAATTTTAGGGTTCATCTGGTCCCCAGAGGGTTCCCACCAATGGAGAGCACCCTTAAAAAAAACATAGGCATGGACATGGCAGCTGCCAGGAGCCATGCCGCCGGAGTCATCCCACGAGGTATTTCTTCTGTGCCAAACAGAACGGTTTAGGGTTTAGGGTTTAGGGTTTAGGGTTTAGGGTTTAGGGTTTAGGGTTTAGGGTTTAGGGTTTAGGGTTTAGGGTTTAGGGTTTAGGGTTTAGGGTTTAGGGTTTAGGATTTAGGATTTAGGGTTTAGGGGGAGTTTCCGACAATGGGGGGTACCCTTTTGGGGGGGGGGGGGGGGGTTCCCATGAAGTTCATCAACTCGATCTTGCTCCGCTTCCCAAGACGTAGTACTACTCTAGGCCCCAAAGCTCTGTAGTTGAGTCCTAGACCTCAACTCGATCTCACTCCTTTGCTGCTCCTCTTCTGCTCATCAGTTACGGTCTTCACCATGGGGCCAGTCGCGGACGGCTCCACAGATTCGGCCCGACCTTCGACTACCACCAGGCCGTCCTCCAAAATTCCCAGAGTGGTGCATGGAAGAGTGCGAGCACTCGGGCTAAGTGCTTTGAAGAATCGGAGAAGGTTTAGGGTTTAGGGTTTGGGGTTTAGGAGCTTCTTCCGCATCGCTTGCAGATATTTTAAGGGGCTTTATTAGCCCGAACACCCGGTCAAGATTCAGCTCCTGACCAGCACCCCCCAAGATCAGAAACCGCCACCAATGCGAGCGAAAAAGGTTCATGGTTCATACACCTTCATAAGACCTATAGTATAGTATAGGGTATATGATCCCAATTTTAGGGTTGTTAGTCTGTGAACCTGCAACAGCCCATTAATCCGCAAATCGTTGTTCGACCCTGAAACGTTGGTCAAGAGGGTTTTGAGATTAGGGTTTACTAGTTCATGGTTTGGATAATATTAAACATTTGATTTGTTATTCCTTATAGGGTTTAAGTACCCTTAAAGATGTAAAATCGTACCCAACTATGACAAAGTTTAGGGTGAAAGGTTGTTCAGGAGGGCGCATCCTTCTCGAAGACTTGCGACATGACGCGGCGCCTGCACAACACATCCACGGCTTCAGAAAGACATACAAGGACGACCTTACCATAGATTCTTTTTCTGGGGACCAAATGAACCCTAAAATTGGGGTCATATACCCTATACTACAGTCATTTATGGTATATGAACCATAAACCTTTTTAGGGTTCATACGGTCCCCAAGGTTCTAGGTTGCACAGCCAGCCAAAGCAAAGCGACTACTCGTAGAAACAGCAATGGCTTTGGCAAATCCATCACAGACATACCTTAGGGACCAAATGAACCCTAAAAGGGTTTATGGCTCCACTACCTTAATAGGAATTATAGTAGCATCAGGTTTCTGACCCCAATTTTAGGGTTCGTTTCGTCCTTAAGGCCAAGCCTCTGGGGCTGATCGCTAGACGCCCACCCTCGAGCAGGGATTGGTTTAGGGTTTCTGCAGCACCGTCTCCGAAGAGCGAATATCGGGCGCCAGCGTGAAACACGACACTGCACCGCAAGCCCAGGACACCAAACCCCATTGGTTTAGGGTTTAGGGTTTAGGGGAAGCTGGTCTCAGTAGCCTTTCTTGTCAACTTTTGCTCAGACAGCCGAAGCCCTTAACCGGCTGTGTCAACTGATTCCGCCTGGAGCTTACATCTTCTGCAGTCCCTCAACTCTGCTCCGAGGGCCCTGCACATCATCATCTTCCCGGGGCATCATCTTCCCCACCAATGTCACCTGCACAGCGCACAGAAAGTTGGGTGCTGCCCTGTTTCTGAGCTTGATCGCGAAGCTTTCGCAAAACTCAATTCCCGCAGAAACCAAGGCGATCCACAAATCGCTGGATGAATTGAATGAGCGAGTCTCCGCATGAAGCCCGCATATGCCCGCATCACAACACCAACAAACAAGAAACAGCAAACAACAAGCAATAAACACCCAACAAGCGCGTGCGCGCACCCACCCACACACAAGACACTACACACTTCACACTACACACTACCCGCCACCCACTACACGCTACACAAACAAACGCAGCAACAGTAGCAGTGACGACGGCGGCGGCGGCGGCAATAGTAGCGGCAGTAGCGGCAGCATGCACATGCATGTTTCAAGGCCACACGAGCACTTACCCCGAAGCTCTCTACAAGTGACAGTAGTCACGAGCAGGGCTCCTTCTCGTCAGGGAAGAAGCTGGGCGCTCTGGTAGCCTCTACTTTGCCTTCTTGTTTGCCAACGAATTTTAAGGATTCAGGGAGTATAGGGTTTACGGCCAAACAGAAGGGCCGTCAGGATCACCAACACCCGATAGGCTCTGCCTGGCTGGACGCTCGAAACCCTAAGCGAAGCTCCCAACAAATCACCACAAAGCTTGAGATGCGACCCTAAACCCTGTACAAAGGATGGTCAAGGACGCACGCGAAAGCTTGTGAACACAAACGCCCGGACCTACCTTGCCAGACAGTCCTGGAGATTACGGGCGGGAGGGAGGGCGGGAGGACAGGGTCATTTTTTTTGCCACCCACCTAGCTGACTGACAGTCGCATTGACAGGCACAACACACGATACTGTTTCAGGAGGAGAGCAGCGGCATCCGCCCTCGTTGGTTCCTCTTTGGAGGAGGGTCTAGGGTTTAGGGTTTAGGGTTTAGGGTTTAGGGTTTAGGACCCTTGGGCCTTGGATCCCAGGCGCGCAAAGGCCTGGGCCAACTCAGAGCCGATCGGGCCTGTGCCGAGCAGAAGGAAGCCTTTCTATGTACTGCTTGTGTGTTTGCCTCAATTCCTTCTCTCTCCTCTCTTTCTTCCCGCAGGGTTGCGCACTTCACCTCGCGCGATTCGTGCAACTCTGTTTTTTGTTCTTCTTTTCTTCCGTTTCTTTGGGGCTTCCCCCCCCCTGCGCAGCACGTACCCCTACAGCACCCCCTGAGTCACTAAAGTGCCTAAACCCACAGTGGCATCCCCCTAGCTCCTCCCGCGCACTTCGGGCAGAGGGTTTTGAGCCCCCGTATCCACTTGACTCAAAAACAGCCGAAGGGATGTGCTGACACTGACGTCGAAGGGCCCTTAGGTCGAATTATAACGGTGTTGGGCTTGGCAAATTAAACCGAAAGCTGGATGAGGTATGGATGGCGCTGTCGCCAGAAGTAAACCCTAAACCCTAAACCCTAAACCCCTAAACCCCTAAACCCTAAACCCTAAACCCCAAACCCTAAACCTTAACTGCTGACAGCGCCCCCTTGGTCCCTGATGTTCACGGTTGTGTTTCGGCCACTTTCAGAAGAAGCCAAACCTCCAAGCCCCACCTTCCCCATGAAGAGCTACTCAGCCCTGGGGACCAAATGAACCCTAAAATTGGGAGTCCTACACCCTATACTACCTACTAGAATTCCTATCAAGGTATATGAACCATAAACCCTTTTAGAGTTCGTTTGGTCCCCAAGAAGTACGACTGGCCACTAGACTAAAATCGGGGTCATGTACCCTGTACAACTAGAATTCCTATTCAGGCATATGAACCCTAAACCCTTGCAGGGTTCACGTGGTCCAGAAGGTAGACCCGTATATGAAGCCTAAACCCTTGTGGGGTTCACGTGGTCCCCCAGGTAGACTTGCGGCCAGATCAACCCTAAACCCTAAACCCTAAACCCTAAACCCTAAACCCTAAACCCTAAACCCTAAACCCTTTTGAGCACGGACTGAGGAAGCTGCCGGCAACCTGATAGCAGAGCCTTCCCGCCATTCTATACAAGCAGGGGATGCAATCACAGGTGTGACTTAGGTAGAAGGGGTCTCCCTACGCTCCCTTCTTCTCTTCTCCCTGAATGCCTGTTTCTCAGCTAAGCGTTCATCCTTGAGGTAAGTCAATGCGCAATCAGGTGGTTTTGCTGGAGTTCTCAGCGAATCATCCGAACTTTGCATGCTGCCTGTCGACGACCGTAAAGCTAACCACGGCTCAGTGAGATGAGCTAGCAATGCTGCGGAAGTGACAGCCTCGAGAGCAGACGTGGACTCCGTGGAAGATCGCTGTAAACCTGATAGACTTCGCTGGAGATGATCGAGTTGCTCCTCCACCATCCGAAGGGCAGCCTGCGTCTCCTCTGTCACCCTCTCGGCAATGCTTTTGCATTCGTCTTCAGTGTACAATATGGAGGAAGTTTGGGTGCTAACATCACATCCTGAGCTGGGCGTGCCATCATGCACTTCAATCCCGAGGCTCTGCGCGAGTGAAATGATCTGTCCTCCTCGTACATCGCGTGAGCCAACCATAAGGTCTGCTGGCCTGTGCGTGGATGCTGAAGAGCTTGGCTCCCGAATCTTCAATGAATACATCGCGCTCCAGAGCTGCTCCACCGTTTCGCTGTAGTTGGCACGCTTAGTCAGGCGGATGCTGTAGGCGATGCATGCCATAATTTTCTTCTTCTCTGGAGCCATGCGATCAGACATGCGAGCGCCTAATTAAGGAACACGTGCACACCCGCTAGGGTCTCGTAGCCAAACCTTGAGCCAAATAAACCCTAAACCCTAAACCCTAAACCCTAAACCCTAAACCCTAAACCCTAAACCCTAAACCCTAGCCCAGCCTCCGCCAATCACAGCCAGGCTCGACGGAAGCTTTGGCATGTCAAAGATTGTCTCCTTGGGCGTACTAAGGGGTATAAGGAAGGACTATTCACCTCATGTGAATCCCTATATACCTGAGTAGCCCCCCAAATAAGCCCTAAATAACCCCAAAGGTCCCCAAAAAAGTTTCTTTTTTTTGAGTCCCTTGGGCTTAGGGAGCAACAGCTTTGAGTATCGAATGCCCACCTGCGTGTGATTTCTCGGCTCAAGGCCCAAAAATGACACCCTCAGTTCCTTCCCGCACCAAAAACCACGCAATTCATCACTTTCAATGACTACATGCTGCTGGCTTCATTTCTGAGACTCTACAAGACCCACAGTCGACATGCTGAAACGTTGGGCTAGATCTCCTGACAGCTGAAGCCTTGCGTCCTTGCCAGGGAGCGTAGGTAAAATATTCCACAGCGTCCAGGCCCCTGATCGGTGGGATCACCTAAGAGGTTTTGAGGAGCCTGGATTTTCGGAGGAACTGAGTAGGTCCAACTTGTACTCATTACTTTCCCACTCCCAGTAGCTCTTCAAAGCACAGGCTCGAAAACACAGGAAGGACATGCACTTCTCTTCAAGGTGATGCCTCAGCAGGAATCATTGGCGATGTGCTATAGACCAATATGTACCGAAGTGGACATCTCGTCATCGAGTTCTCGTCAAGCGCACGACCCATCTTGACAGCGAGCACGCACAAAGTCTGAGAAACTTGAGACGCCAATGTGCTTCAGGCGTTCTTGTGTGCACATGATGCAAGTCCAAGCGCTCGCAAGGTAAATACGAAAACGACTCTGAGGACCGAACGAAGTCCGAAATCACTGAACCCCCCCTCCCCCCCCCCCCCCCCCCGCCAAAAAAAAAAACCTAACTATTGGCTGAGGAAATCCTATCAGAATTCTCCTCACATCTCCTCTCTCAGCCACATCACTGGGCCAGCCCCCGTGGCGAGGATGAAATTGCTTGCAGTGATTAGCTCTGTGCCTGATGCCAATCCGCGGGGGGGGGGGGGGGGGGGGGGGGGGAAGGTGAAAAGAGCTTTTGGGGTTCTTTTTGCCTGCCCATGTGGATGCACTGCAAGATTAGCTGTCTGGCCACAAGAGGCGCAGTTTGCAAACAAAAGCATTGATGGTTCTGACATTGAGTTAACCCTAACCCTGAACCCTAAACCCTAAATCCTAAACCCTACAACCCGAACTATCAAGCAGAACCCTATAGGTTAGTTATGGTCGACAACACTCGCTGAGCAGGCTGAGCCCCTGAACCCCTTGGGGACCAAATGAACCCTGAAAGGGTTTATTTCATATGCCTTAATATGAAGTATTGTAGTATAGAATAGGGTATATATATATATATATATATCTATATACACGACCCCAATTTTAGGGTTCATTTGGTCCCCAGGGCCAATCTATACCCTTGGGACCCGAACTCTCAACATCACCTTCGGAAGCACGCCTCCCGGATTCGCATTCCCCACAGTCGCCAGCTGCAGTGTCTTGGCATCCACGAAGGAAGCCTCGTGACTGAGTCTGGCGTCGAGCGATCTGCTTCAACGTGCTACAGCAAGAGAGAGCAGCTTGAGTGCTCCCCAGGCTTTCAGATCCCAAACCCCTCATTCAAAGCCATAGGGTTTAGGGTTTAGGGTGTTTTCGGACAGCAAACCTCCACCCGACATACGGGCAACCGAATCCCCGAACTGAGCCTCTAAACGAACTCTAAACCCTAAACCCTAAACCCTAAACCCTAAACCCTAAACCCTAAACCCTAAACCCTAAACCCTAAACCCTAAACCCTATGCCTCCTATCTGCTGTCGTCCTTAGCCCCTGCGGCCCGGTGGCGTGCACACCCAGGCGAACCTCCACTCCGGCAGCTTCCAGTATTTCTGGGCTGTCATCCTGGCTTGACCGTCCAAGCCCAAAAAGCCCCTGCAGGGTTTAGGGTTTAGGGTTTAGGGCCAGGGTCCATGTACCTACATGGTAAAGGCTTACAAGCTTTGGAGTCTTACTCAGGGATGTAGCATGTTGCGAGTTTCACAGGGGTTTGGGATCAAGGGCCGCGCGTCTGGGCTAAACCCGAAACCCTTTAAACACGTTAAACGCTTTACACCCCCTAAAACCCCTAAAACCCCTAAAACCCTTAAAACCCTTAAAACCCTTAAAACCCTTAAAACCCTTAAAACCCTTAAAGCCCTTAAAACCCTTAAAGCCCCTTAAACCCTTTAAACCCGTTAAAACCTCTCTGGTCTCAGGGTCTCCCTTAAGATCCCACTCCACAGGGACTCCACGGGTGGAATCCAACAGCCCATTCTGGAATCTTTGGAAAAGCAAGGGCGCCAAATGCCCTTAAAACCCTTAAAACCCTTGAAACCCTTAAAGCCCTTAAAGCCCCTTAAACCCTTTAAACCCGTAACCCAAAGCATCCGAGCCGCCTGATTGTAGATGTGCTGCTGACCTCATCTTAGCTGTCTTGATGAAACACTTCGCAGGTCCAGGTTGTCAAGGACCGGATCAGCACACATGCGCCATGAAAGGCTAGCTGCGTAAATGTCGAAGCATGTGGGAACCAACCCTAAACCCGAGACCCTAAACGCCAAACGCTAAACGCCCCATTCGACAAGCTCGCACGAAGCCGGTGCCTTGCCTACTAAATGCTTAAGAACCCCGAAAAAACATTCTTCCTTACTAAGGGTAATATAGGGATTATAGTTCTTTCATTCTTTTGGGGTTCTTCGGCAAGTAGTAGTTGCTGTCAAGATGCAGGAACTGATATGCTCCTTGACCTTCCTAAGTCAGCGTGAGCGCGTGTGAGGGTTTTCGGCTTTCAGCCCGGCTTTCATGGGCTTTCAGGGCACATGCCTGTCACATACGCGTGCCAAAAGCAGCCAATGTTTTCTGATGCTCCTTGCAACTGTTCTTCTTTCACTCCCTGCAAGTTTCTCAAGTTGACGTGTGCCTTAGCAGCGTAGTCCTGCACTTTCCTCGAGCACGTCCCCGAAGCCTTGGGGACCACATGAACCCTGAAAGGGTCTATGGTCCATAGACCTTAGTAGGAATTAGATTTGTATGTAGGGTATCCAACCCGCATTTTAGGACTCATTTCGTCCCCAAGGAGTTGATAGCAACTCCCAAGCGCCACTGTAAGATCAGCAAGGCTTCGGCCAATCGCAGGTCAGCGCATCAGGGTTCACACCTTGCCCAGATCTTTCAAACCCCCTTCATTAAGGTAGAGACCCTGATTCATAATCAGGATCCTTAGTATAAATTAGGGTATATTCCTTAATTAAGGGGTTTGGAAGATCTGGGTGGGGTACCAATACGAAGGTTTCAAGCACAGGCGCGGCATTTGCCTTGATTTGCATTTTGCAACCTCCGTGGGGTCCTGTGCCACCTTTGGCTTGGAGCAAATTGTTTGAAGGCTGGGCGTATAGTGACAGGAACTTCAAGGTTGCTGGTGCAGAGGTGCATCCTTACTCGGCATTTGGGAACATAGAAACCGGGCCATTTTGCCGGTTTAGGGTTTAGGGTTTAGGGTTTAGGGTTTAGGGTTTAGTTCACGCAAATATCCCGCCTGCAACGCCAAAACGGGCGCCGTGGCAAGCTTCATGCATCGCGTGCGCGCAGCGGATGAGGGCCTGGACGAGGACGCAGTGAGACGTGCACGGCTTTATTTTAGCCAGAGCTCAGCCCTCACTGCTCTGATGCAAAGCTCGGAGATAGATCCTTCTGAGGTCATCTCATCCATTCACTCTGCGCACGTGGCCAAGCTAGATCATGCCTGATCTGGACACTTGCAAGCCCCAACAGCCACAGCAAGTTAAACGGACAAGCTAGAGCCTTGCTCGAGCTGCTATTCTCACCCTAGTCTTGAAGCACAATGAATGTCGGTCTCAATGCACCCTCTTCGATTGAGGAGGGGCTGCAGTGCACATGTCTTCACGTGTCAATGCACCCTCCACATCCCGTGCTTTCCTTCCGCCGGCCGCTACCAAGCAAATGTACTACTGATTCTAACCCTAAACCCGAAACCCGAAACCCGAAACCCTAGCCCTAAACCCTAAACCCTTGAGAGCCCAGGAGCCTTGGAGGGAACGCAGCCATGCCTGGGGTCGGGGGTTGAGTCGTTGTGAATTTGTCACGCCAAAGCCCTAAACCCTAAACCCTAAACCCTAAACCCTAAACCCTAGAGCCGAAGCTAAAGGGATCCTAATGGACACCCCAAGCATGGACCTGTCGGACCACATGAACCCCAAAAGGGTTTATGGTTCATATACCTTGACAGGCATTATCGTAGTATAGGGTCTATGACCTCAAGTTTAGGGCTCATATTTGGTGTTTGCAGGGAAAGGGAATATGAGGACCCTGGTACGTAGGTATATTCTAAAACCCAAACCCCAAACCCCAAACCCTAAACCCTAAACCCTAAACCCTATTACTATATTCTTCGGGTTCCCTGTTTGGGGTTCCACTAAAGCCCCTGTGTCAGATGTCAACAAATCAAGAGACTAAGATGGCCCATAAAGCCCTCTGAAAAAGATTCCTAAAAAATGATCCTCCTAAACCCTAAACCCTAAACCCTAAACCCTAACCCTAAACCCTAAACACAAGAAAGGGAAAATGCAAAAATGAAACAATGAGCTGAGTGGAGCTGCGCAGACCTTGGCTCTTGAACGGTCAGGCCACTACCGGGTTTGAGCAACTTTGAGGACACTTGCAACCCTGAACCCTAGACCCGAGACCCTAAACCCTAAACCCTAAACCCTACACCCTAAACCCTAAACCCCGCACTGCCTGGAGACTTGAAGGACCCAGCGGCACAAACCATGGAGGACCAGGATGGACCACGATACCCTGCCCCTTTAGAGGGTCGACTATGGGATTATAAGGCCTATCATAGCCCATCCTGGGACGTAAAGGGGAGGAATCGCGCAGAACAACCCTAAACCCTAAACCCTAAACCCTAAACCCTAAACCCTAAACAAACGCTGGCACTTGCAAGCCCAGCTGCCATGTGCAGTCGCCGCCCAGGCGCGGGAGCCGCTCTACAAGCAGAGTCCGCGCTCCGAACCGAGCCTAGGGGAGTGATCTGTAGGGTTTAGGGTTTAGGGTTTAGGTTTAGGGTTTAGGGTTTAGGGTTTAGGGTTTAGGGTTTAGGGTTTAGGGTTTAGGGTGTAGGGTTTAGGGTTTTGGTCTAGGGTTTAGGGTTTACGGTTTAGGGTCTAGGGTTTAGGGTTTAGGGTTTGGGGTTTGGGGTTTAGGGTTTACATTGTTGGTAAGTAGGGAAAGAAGGAATGAGGCACCCTACATTGTCCTTTGAGTTAATTAAAGGGTATATATATAGGGAAATATAGGGCACCTCATTCCCTCATTCCCTACTAACCAACAGTAGTTTAGGGTTTAGGGTTTAGGGTTTAGGGTTTAGGGTTTAGGGTTTAGGGTTTAGGGTTCATATACCTTGAAAGGACTTGTACGGTCCAATTGACGATACGAGGCTTTCTATAAGCCACAGTTGGATTGCAAAGGCTTCATGTTTGGTGAACCCAAGAAATCCTGCTAAACAACTGACAAAAGTCTGAACGCCCAATGTCCTTCCCCTAAGGCTCGAAAGAGCCCAAATAGGTACATTTCCAGATTTCAGGCCCCAATGCAGGAACCCTAAACCCTAAACCCTAAACCCTAAACCCTAATTTTTGGTACACTTGGAGCCCTGAGGTTCCCAGCGCCCTGCTCACCCTCAGATGCGGCCGGCTCGCTGCCGTGCGCGCTGCAGTGAGACCGCCAGACCCGGCGCCAATGACGGCGACATCGAAGTGCCCCACCTTGGGTTGAAAAAGGACAACTCCCGAGGGTTGGAACATCATTCTCCTAATTACCTCAAGAGGGTTACTAAAGGGAATCCCAGCACGAATCGTGCTTAAACCATGATGGAGTTTACTGTGGAGGGCTTTAGAAGTCAGAGGGTGTGAAATGTGAGGGGGTTTTAGGACGTAGGAATAGACCCGCGCGGAATTCCTGAGTCCAACACAGGTCTTAAGGCAGATTGCGCGCTTTAAGCTTAATGTGCTCTTGGGAAAGGCACCAGGGGTTTAGGGTTTAGGGTTTAGGGTGTGTATGGACAAGAATGACCCACACCCTCAGAAACTTCAAGCCCGAAACCCGAAGCATTGGGGAAGAAATGTCTCTGTGGGTCACAACAAAATGGCCTCAAGAATTCTCGGACACTCTGGGTTTAGGGTTTAGGGTTTGGGGTGGCCTCTGTTTGCTACGAGCTTGACAACATGGCAACACACAGAGCTTGTCCATTTGAACTCGGCACCTTTCTTTTCTCACAGCGCCAAATGTCTATGAGCTTCTTTTCCCCTGTGGGAAGTTTCGGCAGGTGGCTTACCACGACCCTGCCAGCCGAAGGACAACCTTCAAGCCGAAAGCAAACCTTCAGCAGGCAGTTGGGCCTTTCGGCCTCGCCCCGTCATGAATCAGCAAGCAGCAAACCCCCCACCGCTAGATCAGCCCGAAAGGCCGCCTAACTTCCAAACCCTAAACCCTAAACCCTAAACCCTAAACCCTAAACCCTAAACCCTAAACCCTAAACCGCAGGATCCAAGCTTCCCGAGCCCGAGCTTCGGTGCTTTGAATCCGCCGGGGCGCGGTGGGGCCACTACCGGATGAGGATGAACTCTTGCGTGGTTTTTTTTGCCCACCCGCCTAGCAGACCCCCCTCTAAAAACGCGAGGGGATCGCGAGGGGGTTTAGGGTTTAGGGTTTAGGGTGTTGCTTGTTCTCGGGTCAAAATACATGTCTAGCAATACCGTATGCCCTGTTCACACGGCACCGCCAAACTCAGAGCCTCAGGGATGTTTAGCTTCAAGCTAGAAGCAATGCAACTCAGGTCTTGAATCGCTTTCACGGCCATTCGCCTTCAGACGAATGTCCCTGCAGCGCCAAATGGTCACACTATGGCCGATGGTAGCCTGAAGCTCCAGACCACCACCACAAAGCTTCCCAACAGCTGAATCCAAAGCCCTGCTTGCCGTGATCCAGCACCCCTACTGCCTTCTTTGCTGCACTGAGCCCCGGACTACCAACCGCGTGCCAATCATCTGTCCCTGGGCCCTGACCCGTCACACGAACTGCAGCCTCAAAGCTGAAAGACCTCTGAACCCCCTATGCCTGTGCTCCGAGCCTCACTGAACGTAGTATCAGATTGTGAAGGCCCTGCCAGTTCGCCGGGTAACTTGAAGCCCTCTGATGCGTGCAATCTGGCAGCCAAACCAAGGGAAAATTGCCAGACTATGACTTTTTGAGGTACCAGGAAATTTGGCTCCCGCTGCGTGCCTCACAATGCTAATGTCTAACCTCACTAGCTGCATGTACATCTAAGACATCTTTCCTGGTACCTATAGATGCCATCTAGCTATGCTTGCCGGTGGCCCGGGTGGTGCATAGCCGCACTCAATCGCAGGTTGGGGCGGCTTTCGATCTGTCTTTGCCACTGTGTCGAGGAACTCCCTGACAAGCCTGAATTCCCGACAAGCAGACAGCACTCTAACAAATCGATGCCAAGAGTCGTGACTCCACAGGAGTGCTTGCCCCCTTTATCTTTCCAGCTTCGAAAGGATCTTCTGGTGTGTTCGAGATAAACCCTAAAGTGGGGGTTGATATACCCTATACTAACATAATTCCTAGTAAGTTATTAAGGTTTATGGACCATAAACCCTTTTAGGATTCATGTGGTCCCCAAGGATGCAAGGTACTGCTTCGCGGAATCGAAGTCTTCGCTTCTTCGCACCAAGATGTTTTGCTGCAGAACCCTGCCCTGAACCCCCCATACGCCGCCCAGCGTCTTGTCGGCCGCTGCGCCACTGCTTCCGCCACAGGTGTGGCCGAGTACTGTAGGATTCTGGGTCCTTGTTGGGGTTGTATGAAAAATTATCATTTGTTTAAAGCCCTTATTGGGTTTTTATGAGAACAGAAATTTAAAATCACTTAAAATCCTTATTCGGATTTTATGAAAAAATCAAAATTAAGGCTAAGACGACTCAGGATTCACGACCACATCGGGTGCCTCCAGGGTCCCAGACGGGTCTTGCTCAGTGGCCCTGTCCGCCGCAGGCCTTCTTGGGCTCGGAGCGCTTGGAGATTTTCGGAGGGTTTAGGGTTTAGGGTTCAGGGTTTAGGGTTTAGGGTTTGGAACGCCTGGGGATTTTTGGGTTGGGGTTTTGGGTGTTTGCCGCTTCGGTCGCTGTGGCCTGGGCATACTTGAGGTTGATTAGTGCACTGACCACAGCAGGAACCTGAACCCATACTTCGGATCACACATCCCCTATCTCTGCAAAGTCCTGAGCGCCGACATCTGTCCTACATCGGCTCAGCGGCTTTGTAATCCAGACGATGTTCTGAGGGATTGAGTTTGGGTGTAGCAAGCAAGCCGACAAGCAACCTTCGATCTTCGTACCACCTTCAGAAAAAACGAACTAGGAACACTCGACGCATGATGCACCCTGAACTGGAAATGGCATGATCCAGATGCAGCTCAGTTGCGGCAGACAGCCCTCAACTGAATGTGCTCGACGCTTCTCTGGAGTCTGGGCAAGGAAATGCATCAAAAAGGAAGAGGAGAGCATAAAGCTGAGAGCCTTCCTGCGTGAGTGAGGCAGCTCCAAAAACCCCTAAACCCTAAACCCTAAACCCTAAACCCTAAACCCTAACCCCTAAACCGCCTAAGCTTTAAACTGCCCAACTCCCCAACCAGAGCTAGCCTGCCCACTCCACTCCAGCAACTCCTAGGATGGCCCTTAAAACCCTCTGAACAATCTTCCTGAATGCGATCCTCTTAAACCCAATAAGGGGAAATGCAAAAAAACATGTCCCACCCTAAACCCTAAACCTTAAACCCTAAATTCAAGGGCCTACCTAGCTGACAGGGAGCCGTCGGCTTCAGCGACATGAGCACAGCTTTGGCCAACACGGCCTTGCCCTGATTCTGGATGCAAAATCCTCGGCCAATTAGGGTTCAGGGTTGAGGGTTTAGGGGTTAGGGTTTTTTTTTCGCTCCCGCATAGCTGGCCGAACCGCAGGCAGGGTTAGGGTTTAGGGTTCACTCCTTCTTATTCCCAGCAGGGTGTGGAGTTGTTAGATTTGCAACTAAACTCTTCTCCTCGCCCGGTCTCCTCCTCCCCCATCACCCGTATCCCTGCCCCCAGAGAGATTTTCTGGGGTGCCCAACCCAGAATATCCGCGCAGAGTCCCTGCGGTGCCCACCCCCCCAAAGAGTCCCTGAAGTGCCCGAAGTTTCAGAGAGTCCCTGAAGTTAGGGTTTAGGGTTTAGGGTTTAGGGTTTAGGGTTTAGGATTTAGGGTTTAGGGTCCAACCCCAGAGTGAATTTTTCAGAGAAGCCATGGGAGTGCCCCTGGGAGTGCCCAACCCCCGATTTCCCCAGAGAATCCCCAGTGTGTCCCTGCAGCGCCCAACCCCAGAGTGAGCTCGCAAATTCCCTTCCTGCAGGGGTTTAGGGTTTAGGGTTTAGGGTTTAGGGTTTAGGGTTTAGGGTTTAGGGTTTAGGGTTTAGGGTTTAGGGTTTAGGGACTGCAGGGTGGGGATGTTTGAACTGAAATACTATACTGCTTGTTTGAATGAGTCACAGAAACTTCGGCTCTCGCGAAAGGACTTCCTGAAGCTTCCACGCACTGCACAGGATTTGCGAAGACGAAGACGTTATATAAGTTATAGGTCGAGAATGGTTGAGAGGGGGCTAGAAGTGAAGTGTCGCGGAAGACGCTGGAAAATCAGGGGCGAACCAGACCTTGGAGGCACTCAGACCATGCTTGGAGTGGATCAAGGAAACAACTTTGGCAAGTCCGCATCCTGAATGCGCCCATGAGCGTTCGCAATGCGCCTTCGCTTTCAAACGCGTCTTCGCAATGCGTCTTCTCTTTTGAAGGCGTCTTCGCTTCCAGACGTGTCATCACAGTCGCCTTCGCGTGCGAACTGATGCACATATGCACATGTGAGTTGCTTTGTCACTCACAATGTTTACGAACAAACAACCTACGCGAAGGTTAAGGGCCGAGGGTGAACAATGGAGGGCTTATTTAATGTCGGAGACTTTGTTTGGCACAATGTGGAAAGTTTCTACAGCTTCAAACGTTCCAAACATGTTCAGGTTCAACTTGCGGAAGGCGGAGGGGTGCAGATCCTTGAGAACTTGCATGCTTTTGGGATACAAGCCTAGGCCCCACTCCGTGGCTAGCACAGATCGCAGATGCATCTGTCTCAAGCCCTAAACCCTAAACCCTAAACCCTAACCCTAAACCCTGAACCAGAAGCAAAAATCGAAGTTGAAGCCTATCTCCACACTCCCCACGCTGATCAGACGGGGTGCGCCACTTTGCCTGTTCGCGACGAGCAGGTGAGGGCGCCAGGGGCTTTGTGATTGGAGGGTTTAGGGCTCTGTAAACCCTAAACCCTAAACCCTAAACCCTAGAAGTTCGACCGGCAGAAGCTTGTTTCCCCGCGCAACAAACTGTTCTCGGAGTCCAGTCACAGTCTAGTTTCCTAGTCCTAGATCTCCACTACTTCTCTTTGATGCATTTTGTGTGGCCCTAACTAACAGCTACAATCAACAAGAACCTTCTACCTGCTAAGCTGCTAAATGCCTGCCACACTCGGACACAAAGGCGGCCTTTCCATGGCACTTGCAGCCCATGTTCATGCGCAGTCGCATCTCGAAGTTCTGTGACGTTCCCTGGGTCTGGGTCGCGCTGCTCATTGCAAGATTGAGAGCTTCGACTGTCGCACTCCTACGATTGAGGGTTCGCGAGCTATATTCGCTGCAAGTGCTGGACGAAAAACACCGTTCAGGCCTCAGCACAAAACGACATGCCGACTGAAGACTGCCCAATGACTATGACTACATGTTAGGAAACATTCTAAATGGAAAACGTGCTCTAGTATTCTTAAGCCTCAACCCTAAACCCTAAAGCCTAAACCAGAACCTGTAAACCCTGTAAACCCTGTAAACCCTGTAAAGCCTGTAAAGCCTGTAAAGCCTGTAAAGCCTGTAAAGCCTGTAAAGCCTGTATAGCCTGTAAAGCCTGTAAACCCTGTAAACCCTGTAAACCCTGTAAACCCTAAACCCCATAAACCCTAAACCCAAACCCTAAACCCAAGTCATCCTTTTTGTTGCACCTCACTAGCACAAGCCGCCCAGCTGCACACTGCTCTGCAAAGCTTACGTTGGGGTAAACTTTCGGATGTATAGGGAACCTAGAGAACCAAATACACACTGGGTTTAGGGTTTAGGGTTTAGGGTTTATGGTTCATAGACCCCAATAAGGATTAGAGTAGTACAGGGTATGAAGTCCCAATTCTAGGGTTCATGTGGCTCCCAAGGAATTGGCATGTGACACCGTCTTGCCCAAGCGACAGCTAGAGAATTAACATCTTACGGACATGGGCTGAACAAAAACGAAACTCTGGCCCAGCTTCTTCATGGGCTGCTTTGGTCACGTAGGAGAACAGCTGGAAGAGAAAAGCTGCTTCATCTTTCCTTGCAAGCGCTTGGGGTGCACGTGGGTCTCAGGCGGCTGCTCGACAAGGAGACACAGAGACACAGAGACGGACACTTGCGCACACTCCTTGCGCACACGCACGCACGCATGCACACAAGCAGGCACCCAGGCGCCGCCCACCTGCACGCACGCCCACCTGCCCGACCGCATACACGCGGGCACGCCCGTGCCCCAGCGCGCAAATGCACGAACCTGCATTGCGCAGAACCTTTTGCATCCAGTCTCACGCCGGGCATCACCAGATTCACTGAAGAGGCGAAACTTGTGTTCACCCCCCAGAAACCCCAAAGGTCCGGTATCTGGATGCAAGATGGTGAACAGCAGTGTCAGGGTCCGCGCGTAAATGGTGCATGTGGGCCTGCAAGAATTGCAGCAGGCAGCAGCGATCAGCAGTGTGGAAAGCAGTGTGTCTAACAGAATCGGTACGCACATCACTCGCACGCACGCACTCAGGCACGCGGATAGTCAAACAGAGAGGCAAGCCTCTCTCAACACTCGAGCAGTGGGACGGACACGAAACGAGACCTTCTCACGGTGAGTGAGCAGCTCTGGTTAATCTTTCTTGGGCCCGAGAGCCCACGAGGCCATCTGAAAGCAACGACTAGAGTGACTGTGTATAGTGGCTCGTGCACAGATGCACTATGCAGCTCCATGGCATCTCCATTGATACAACCGCCTTTATCCCGACAGCCCTATAAACCCTAAACCCTAAACCCTAAACCCTGGTGCACCCGAGCCGCTGAGCCACGAAGTCGCGAAAGGTGGCGCCATCCGACTGGGCCGGGGAGCCCCGGAGAGCGTTAAAGGTTGGGATGTGTCCCTAGGGTTTAGGGTTTAGGGTTTAGGGTTCCAGGCCGCTGCTCCAACCCCCCCCCCCTCCCCCCCCTTATAATAACAGTCCTTCGTCCTTGATATGGGTGGTTGTCAAAATGATGATCCTTTTTGGGGTACCTTAAATATTAGGTGCCGTGTTTTCATAGGGACCAAAATTTTGCCAACCTCCCATATAAGGGATTTATAATGGGTGGTACTCTTATCCCTATTAACAGTCCTTGATCAGTAACAGGGGGGGACAAGGGCAGGGTTAGGTTCTCACAATGGCCTGTTTATCGGCCAGGCTTCGATTGCACTGCCTCGCGAGCAGAAAGCCTCGCGCGCGCAGCGCAATCCTGCGATCGTTGAATCCTGACAACCGCTGAAACACCTCGCCACTTTTCAACTGCGGACTTCCTTACTTTAACCGTACAGGCTGCTAAGTGGCCAATCGAATTCCGGTCTTCTCCATCAAGCGCTTCGAGGCACCCATAATCTCCAGCCTTAGAGTACAGGTTGTGGGCTTTCCATGTTCTTTCCCACACAGACTAGAGGCTTCCCAGACCCAGAAACATCTGCTTTTTGCAGTTGGGGGTGGCCCCAACGACCACCCAGGATAGCATGTGTTCAATGTGTTCCTCTTGGCACCCATGCTAGGATGGGGAGGTCAGCGGTTTGCCTGCCTGAAGGACGAAACGAACCCTAAAATTGGGGTCATCTACCCCATACTACTATGATTCCTATTCAGGTATGTGAGCCATGAACCCTTTATATGAAAGTTGGGAGGTCAGTCTGGTACAATTACACTAAGCTTTTTCAGCCCAGGGGTTGTCGGATTGCAGGTTCCCTGACAGCACAGGCACTCATCCCCTATGCTGCTGCAAGAAGGTCCCCCTCTCATATAACTATCTCAGACTGGATATAAGAGTCTCTTCGCTGGCCTCTGGCATGTATGTCATGGGGTGGCAGTGGGACTTGCTTCGCCGGGGTTTGGGAAGAGAGCTTTCGGCTCGCAGCGTCCACACATTCCTCGGAGCTGTCGGGTTTACGGGGAACGCGCTGGCCGCCCCAAACCCGTAAACCCTACACCCTAAAACCGCCTGCAAGGAGCTCCACGCAATCAAACAAGAGGAACGCCTCCTCGTTTCCGGAGTTGCCTGTGCCAGGCTCTCACACGAAATCTGGCCTGAGATCCGAACCTCCCTAAACCCTAAACCCTAAACCCTAAACCCAAAGTCCTATGGAACCCATGGAACGTCAGCCCTATACACATAGACATGGGAAGTGGGGCAGCCTTCAGCCTCGCAAGTCTTCGAGGGCTCGAAACTCTCTTTTTAATCGTCTGCGTGCGAGGTTTTCCCAGGGTTTAGGGTTTAGGGCTTGGGTTTAGGGGTGGTTTCCCAACTTGGGCTCCCTTCTCGGGCAACCATTATGAGGCGGCACCCTTTAAACAGGGATCCCGAAAAGGGACCCTAATTTAGAGAACCACCCATGGGGAATTTTGGAACAGCGAATACGTAAACATTCCGCTTGGCACGTACACGAAGCCCGGATCCTGGACCCTAAACCCTAAACCCTAGCCCTAAACCCTAAACCCTAAACCCTAAACCCTGAACCCGCCTTCCTCTGAGCTGGTGGCGGAGCTGACCGTGCGCGACGTGGCATCCTTTTTTGGTACGCGATCTGCGCAAAGGGAAGGGCAAAGGGACGCAACTTAGAGGGTTTAGGGTTTAGGGTTTAGGGTTTATAGGGTTTAGGGTTTAGGGTTTAGGGTTTAGGGTTTAGGGTTTAGGGTTTAGGGGTTTTGGGTTTAGGGTTTGGGCTTCCGTATACCTTGAGGACCAAATGAACACTACAAGGGTCTAGGGTTCATATACCCTAATAAGGATTAGAGTAGTGTAGGGTATATGGTCCTAATTTTAGGGTTCATTTGGTTCCCCAGGTGGTGATGGCTTTGGGGTTTAGAGGATGTATGGGCTTTAGGGGCTTAGAGGCCAGGTGGTCATGCTTCTATTCACGGACTGGGGAACCTGATGGCCATGTCGGAAATGTCTCATGTTCCCTACGGCTTAGGTTTCAATGGAAGGGCCACAAACGAAAGTGAATCCAGGTTTGTGCATGCCCGAAGGTTTGAGCACCTTAGCGCCTTCTTGAGAGAGCCTGCTCCAGGAACGCCAATTCTTCAGCCAACATCCCAAAGAGCCCAATACCCCTTAATTAAGGAATATACCTTAATCTATATAGGGATCCTTAATATGATTTAAGGTATATTCCTTAATTAAGGGGTATTGGGCTCTTTGGGATCTGGAACATGAGAAGACGCCTCTAAAGCCGGATCTTTCTGAGGTGCCAGGCCAAGGAGCAACCACCCGTGCAGCGGAAACTCCAGCAAAGTTCAAGAGACACGGGTGGGACCCACTCACCGTCACGAACCCATCAAAAGGAATCTGAGTGAAGCTATCAGCTTCTGAGAAGCATCATCATGACATCATCCGTTCCCGCAGCAGTTGCAAAGACCGGAAACGCCAACAAACGCAACGTCAACCTAAACCCTAAACCCTAACCCCCAATTAAAACCTAATGTCCATTCGGTCCGTAGTTCCACGCTCCAATGTAGATCCAAGCGGCACTAAGTTCCTGTCTCACGCCTGACCAAAATAGGGTTTAGGCTTCAGGGTTCAGGGTTCAAGGTTGGCTGCGCTTAGGAGGGTAGTAACAAAAATTAAACTTTTAGCTGCCTTACTAAGAAACCCAATAAACCCCCAAAGGCTAAGGATGTAAAGTTACAGTAAAGCACCACAAAGCAAGGCCCTAAACCCTAAACCCTAAACCCTAAACCTTAAACCCTAAACCCTAAACCCTTTTTTTGGGGGTTTAGGGTCCAGGGGTTATCAAGGCAGGGACAGTTGCCGCTGCTGCGACGTCTGCCCAGATCTTCAACAAAAAACCCTGAATTAAGGAAGGTACCCTAATCTTATACTAAGGATCCTCATTATGAATTAGGGTGTATACCTTAAGTAAGGGGTTTTGGAAGATCTGGGTGGATCGTTTTTTGGTGTTCCGTGTGTATGTACTTCTCTTTTCGTACTTCCCAGTCATCTTGGCAGGACCTGTTTCATTGGCTTCAACATTCCTTCGGTGTCTCGTCCTGCAGATCCCCAAGCCATCACCCAAAATACGATTGCATGCAACCACCTAGCTCCCAGCAAAAAAAAACTTTTCTAGTTTCTTTGCCTTACCGGGGCCTCACATCAAGCCGATCATACTTTGTCACCTCATTTGCGTAGCCTTCCCCTATTGAGTCCCGAATGTCCAAGCGCACACGCAATGGTGACCAGAAGTCCCAAATGCAGGGCCTCGCACCTTGCGGGGTGCCCGGATGCAAGCTACAGGGGACATGCTCAACGGCATCCGTCTCAATTCCTGCCGTTTTTCGGGGAAAGGATTCCAACTTACCATTAAGCCCTAAGCCCTAAATCCTAAAAGAACCGACAGGCATCTGGGCCTAGGTGTGGTGCTGCATCCTGGCCTGGGCCGCTTGTGAGGGCTTGCATTAGGGTTTAGGGTTCAGGGCTTAGGGGTTCAGGGTCTAGGGCTTGCATTAGGGTTTAGGGTTTATTTTTAGGGTTTAGGGTTTCGACTCTCACACTGGCGCACTCGCTGGCAAGGCTCCGGTAGTCTCCAGTCATGAGGGTTTAGGGTTCAGGGCTTAGGCGGTTTAGGGTTTAGGGTTTAGGGAATCTCGCGTCCGAGGCCTCTTGCAAGGCTTTCGGTTCGTTGGGGGTTGTCAACCCCATGCCTAGCCTAGCTGACTCAGGACACCGAATTTTCTCACCCGGGCAGAAACTGTGAAGTGTGGTCTCCCTGGTTTCTCTCTCTCTCTCTCTCTCTCTTGAAGGAGTCATTTGGGTGGTTGTCAACATTATGATGGTACCCTGAATATGAGGTGTCGTATTATAACAGGAATCCACAAAGGGACCAGTATTTCGACAACCACCCATTTAGGTAAGCCTTTGAAAAAACGGGCGGACCTACGGAGGCTCCGTATAGCTGCCTCTGACCACTTTGTGGCATGGGCACAGTTTAGGGTTTAGGGTTTAGGGTTTAGGGTCAACGCGACATGCCGAAGACCTTTGAAAGTTGTAGGCCGTGGGTCTAGTCTAGTTTTACTGCAGTCGATGGGGCTGTACTCCCGCAGCGCGATGAGATGTCGACTACGCCCCAGGCCAGCTTGTGTGAGGACGTGGAAGAGTTCCACGCTGACCTCCAGGGGCGGAGTGCGAGCCTACAGTTTAGGGTTTAGGGTTTAGGGTTACAGCCCTCCAGGCGCCTGCCCGAAGAACATTGTCCACAGAACATGTGTTGTTTCAGCTCTGCCGGCTCTTCCCCAATTCCGCAAAAGGCTACTCGCCAGGGCCATATGACCGCAATTCAGGACATTTCCCGACCCCTGTCCCGTCTGACCTGCTCGCCGTTCCCATGTTTCCTTAGTCATCCAATATCGCACAGAGGTTCTCTCCCTAAAGCTAACGTCATGTGCCATCCAAAGTGAATCCCCAACCCACGATCACCAAAAACACGGAGCAACACGCTCACATAAACCAACGTCGTGCCACTCAAGTTGCACAGGTATATATTTCGGTGTTCTGCCCAATGTGCATTTAAGCAAACAACTGGACACATGACGACCGCAACAAGAAACATGCAGAACTTAAGAACCTCCTCGACGCTGCGGCGACAAGCTATAACAGCAGATGCTCCAAACCACAAGCCGTCACACCCTAAACCCTAAACCCGAAACCCTAAACCCACAAGCAATCAACCTCCGGCTCACCTCCGCAACCCCAGCCAGCTTCACTGATGGCACGCCACTCAGCATCACTCAGTGCCACATGCTTCAGGTTCGAGTCCTATAAGGTTGTAAGCTGGTTGCTCCCTAAACCCTAAACCCTAAACCCTAAACCCCAAACCCTATATAAACCCTAAACTTGCAAAAGCTCAGTCCCAGGTTGATCGCCTGCGCCGTGGTATCTCCTGCAGGGCTGAGGGCTCCGTGGGCATCTGGGTATCTGTTATAGTTAACAAATATATTATACATTAACGTATATAAAATAAATCAATAAATATTAATAAATATTATATAAGTAATTATATAAAACACACAGCAATGTATTGGATCTCATGGGTCATCATGGGTCTCCCAGGTTTCCCATGACTTCGAGGCCCTCTTGCCAATTCAAAAGCTACTCTCGCCTCACCCTTAAGGCCCTTCTTGACAAGTTTCTGAACCTGCGTGGCTTGTGTTCAATGCGCGGTAGAGGCAGCCAGGGAGCACTTTGCGCGACTGAGGCGTGGGGTTGTTTAACAAAAGGACTGCCCAGGGGGCCTTGCAAGCCCAAGCCCTCTAGCACTCTTCTCTCAGATGTTGGCGCCTCTTCGCGTGAGATCTAAGAAGCGGCATACATCTTCAGCCGTGTTGATGTAGGACACGAACCTCGAAAAAATGAAGATCGAAAGTGTGCATGTTTGTTGCAACCACTCACCCAGAAGATTCGGTGGACACATCCAAAGGATTTTTGCGATCACGCGGCAGTCCGTCCTTCTGGTGACTCCTCTTGGGGTTTAGGGTGCAACCATGGTTGCAGGCAATCCACATCCTTCTGGTGACTCCTCTTAGGGTTTAGGTTGCAACCAGGCACTCAACACAAACACACAAACACAAAATGCCCCTGAAAGGGGCTTCGGGCATGGGTTCCCGGCTTCAGGACTTGACATCGATTGGTCTTGCTGTCGTTCCGGACGGTCTGAGTTCGTTTTGTCAAAAATAAGTAAACAAACTTATATTTTATACCTATACATATATATACACATGTATATACATACATGCACAAGTGACTTTCAATTTCTAGACAACATCATACCACGTATACATGTACATGTATATACATATACATATATATATATATGTATACATATACATATATATATATATATACATATATATAATTGTGTGTGTATGTATACATGTCTATGTATATGCAATGTAGATAGTATGATATCTCTGGGTTTGGGGCTCAAATGCGTTCAGCCTTTTTGGCGTAAGGCCTCGATGATTCTGAATGCTCCGGGGGGCTGCGTGCCGCTATTCTTGCCGGATCGCATCAACATCCTCAGCGCGGGCTCGTTGCTTTGAATTTAGGGTTTAGGGTTAATAGGGTTTTCTGCGAACACTCTCTGCAGCAGCAGGCTTCTTTGCAGGGTTAGGGTTAAAGGATTTAGGGTTTAGGGTTTAGGGGCCTGTGTGCTGACGTACGCATTTTGCTGTGGCATTCTGTCGGCCGTCGTACCTGCCTGGACGGGATCCTTGCGATTGTGCAGTTTAAACACTGGTGCCACTTTGCAAAGCTGAAGAAGATAGCCCCGCCCCTACTCAGCAGCAAACAGAAGCAATCTAAACCCGACATGCTAAGAGATTCGGGATTGGACGTTTGGCTGTTGCTTCCATGTCTTACAGTAGGCTCCAGGACTTTCTTTTGTGGAAGCTGCAAGACCCCAGGATCCATCTAAACGTGCGAAGGCAAGCCGCCCCTGTGAATATCTCTGCAGAATTCGGGTGGGGGGGGGGGGGGAGCCTGAAACCTGTTAGGCCGAAAGCTTGAAACCTGCTCTATGACTGAGCCAGCAAGCTAGAAGGACGGGTTGTTTGTTCGGACAAACGATAAGTTTCCCCCTCCCCCCCTAAAAACCCTTTGGGGGTTTTGGGGGGTGTTTATACTGAGGGGGGGGGGGGGGACCTTTTATAATAGGGGGAAGGGGTTACCTAACTTGAGCTGGCGCGGAGCGATGCAACGGCACGCTCGTCACCTTCGAAGCAAAGGTCGTCGTCGAGAAAACAGTGTACGTCGCCTGAGCTCGGCAGTCACTTCGGACCGAGGTTCTTGGAACTCTCACGCGTGGGCTTTTGAGCATGGTCTGAAACCCTAAACCCTAAAACCCCCCGGTGTGGCGTGTGCGCCAGTGGGCGACAAGAATGTGTGGTCCTGCATGTATTGGGGTGGCTCAAGGCTGAAGGCTTCGTCGAACGCAATTAACGCAACATATCACAGCAGCCCTACGACCGAGCTGCAAACGATGCAAGTTCAGCTGTTTCATATTGCTGTTGGCGTAAGTTGGCCCAAGTCCGAAGCCCTGACAACCCTATAGCATACGCGGCGGGACCCAATAGCATAGCCCACAGTCTGCGAAGGTCTAACTGTAAATCTAGCCCCCCCCCCCCCCCACGAAAGGCCCAAGAATTGCAACAGTCACAAGGGACTGAACGAGTCAAGGAACAGAAGGACGCTAGCAAGGATTCGGAGGCTATCGCCTCCACCTTCCTCAGGTGTCGCTCGCAAGATGATGCCAAGCACCCGGGGTCCCAAATTGGGTTTAGGGTTTAGGGTTAGGATTTAGGGTTTAGGGTTTAGGGTTTAGGGTTTAGGGTTTAGGGTTTAGAGTTTAGGGTTTAGGGGTTAGGGGTTAGGGTTTAGGGTTTAAATTTTAGGGTTTAGGGTTTAGGGTTGGGAGGGCGAGGTCTTGGAATGCTTACAGTAGGTGCTTGCAGTGATATTGAACGTCTCAAAGCCGTTTCGAACCTGCTTGTTACAGGGGTTAGGCGGCAGAATTGTTCCGATCCCAGAGACGTTCACGTGGCCTTTCCAAGGACATTGAGCCCTCTGCTGGAATAGGCTGGACGTAGCTCAAACTGCCCCGGAACCGTGCAAACCTCAGCAACAACACCTGCAGAGACCTGCAAGTCCTGAATCCGTTTCTTTTTGTGCACGTTTCAATCGAGTGATCTCCATGATCCTCAACGCACGCTGGCGGAGGGCATGCCTTGGCCATGGGCAGCAGGTTCTGCACATCTATCAGGTCTGCAGGCTTTGTGCCCCGAATCTTAACTCCAAGCAAATACACAACTTATGTCGTCAATTGCCCTTCTGCTTGTCTACTGGCTCTCAAAATTCCAACGTCGAGGCCGACCTACTGGGCTCGTACGGTTCAGGCGTGAGTGCGTAGCAGCATCTTCAAACGGCCATGCACTCGGCAGGAGTGTCATTGAGGCTAGGCTCCACATAAGGCAGTCTTTATGCGAACCCTCCGCTCCCAAAACACCCTTCCTCAAGCTTCCGATGACCCTATACCCTAAACCCTAAACCCTAAACCCTATTCCAGGCAGTCCAAGGAACTGGAGCCACGCGTGCAGGAGAACGCAAACCTCAGCCAGTGTCAGATTCCCGCGTAGGCCCTACATCATCTGATTTTGCCAGCCTTTTCAATGCGGTTTAGGGTTTAGGGTCCTTTTTGAATGCCTCGGGGACGAAATGAACCCTAAAATGGGGGGTTACATACCCTGTACTACTATAATTCCGGTTAAGGTATATGGACCACAAACCCTTGAAGGGTTCATGTGGTCCCCAAGGTACGGAAGCGCTTGGGGGCTCAGCGCAGACAAGGAGCCAATGCGGCCACGATGTCAAAGTACCTGTGCTTGCAACCATTCAACCCTGAAACCTAAACCCTTCAACCGTCAAAACATCTCCAAAAATTTGCGTTAAGCTCCAAACAACACCTCGGATAAAGTAGAACTTGCTTGTGGAAGTTCTTATACAGGAGCCCTACCCATCCTAAATGGAGGGCTGCTGGCGAGCCCTAGTGAAAGACGTGAACAACACTGCTTGTTCAGCCGGAGCAGATGTACAATCGTTGACGGTTGTTCAACAGTTTACCCAGAGTCGTGTGTACAAGTCGCTGCTGCCAGTGTTGCACAGCTATGCCCTGGTGGCCAGACCACGCTTTAGACCCTTCAGGATTCAAGCCATGTGCGGATAGCATGACTTTATATCAATTTATATCATGGTGCAAAGAAGGGGAATGTACCGTACACCTACCGGGAGGGGGCCTAAACACGAATTAAAGCTTAACACTGACTCGAAACCCTAAACTCACCATGAAAACCGACCATGAACCACACGGGGGGGGGGGGAACCTAAAACCCGCCATGAACTAAACCCCCTACAGCCAAACCCTAAACATCAAACCCTACGCCCACCATGAAACAACAGTGTGGGGGGGGGGGGGGGGGGGGGGGGGGGGGGGGGGCGAACCCGAAACTATGGAACCACCGGGCGGGTAGCGGTTCGAAGCGGGATACACCGACTTTATCCGGCCAGTGGCACAGCAATGCGGCTGAACGGATTCATGGTCCGATTAATTCGTAGGGCAGGCAGTGCACGCACTCAAGCGCCCGTGCATGCAGCATATGTGTGCCGTAACCCCCAGGAACGCTACCCATGCGCGAACAAGAACACTGGGAAGTACGCGAAAAGCACGCGTAGGGATGCGTGTCGTGCTCCGCCTGTGCAGTACACAAGAGGGTGCTGTTTTCTGTAGGTCTGAGTTGCAGGGCTCCCTCATTTCGCCTGCTACTGCTAGAACTTCGAGAAGCACAGGGCAACTCTATGGCTCAAGCCTCATCAGCTTCCCTTCCCCCTCTAAGGGCCTCAGCAAAATCTACGAACTGCTTGACAATCCCCCCGCCAAAACAAATAAATTAAAAAACATCTTCTTCCTTATGATGAAGGGCAATATAGGGATTGTTGCCTTTTCATCTTTTTGGGGGGTTCTTATCATAAGCAAATAGTACACTAAACCCTAAACTCTAAACCCGAAACCCTAAACCCGAAACCCTAAACCCGAAACCCTAAACCCTAAACCCTAAACCCTACAAATTCTTCTTTTTAAATCAGCGGAGGGGCCAGATGCTTGAGAAGAGAGCTTGGAACCGTTCCTCGGCCCGGCCTCACGACTCGCTCATCCCCCTGCCTCTCCCTTTACCTTAAGGCCTTAAGGACTGGGGTTTAGGGTTTAGGGTTTAGGGTTTAGGGTTTAGGGTTTAGGGTTTAGGGTTTAGGGTTCAATGAACCCTAAAACTGGAGTCATATACCCGATACTCCTGTAATTCCTGTGAAGGTAGAGGAGCCATAAACCGTTTTAGGGTTCATTTGGTCCCTAATTAAGGTCTGTCTCTCTGAGCCCCCCCCCCCCCCCCCATTGGTGAATGCGCCTTTTTGAGGATGCGCACGGCGTTGCACTACACTACGCTACCCTCAGCACCATACAAGCTGACGAAACTAAAGCCCTCCACCCAAAATCCTCACAGAATGACTTCCCGATTGTTGCGTGCGTATCGCAGCTCTAGAACTTGAATCACAGAAAAGGATCTCCGAGCGACGAACGCACGGGGCTGCAGCACCCCAAAATATGGAGAATGCTAAGCCCTCATACCGACAAGGACAACCTCTCCTAGCCTAGAGAGTTCGCGGCGCCAGTGTAGTTTAGGATTTCCTGGTCAGAAGCCTCCACGGGCCTTCAAAGATTCGACTCTCCTATCCCTCCTAGCGCCGACTTTCAGTTCCAGATTCGACGTGTAGATGTTCTAACCCCAAAGATGACGCCCGAAACAGCCAGGTCCGGAATCCAATGTCAGCACAGACCGCGCTTCAGGGTCTTGGTTGAGGTCTGGGGTTGGGGGTTTGGGAGCTCATTTAAGGTTTCTAAACCCTAAACCCTAAACCCTAAACCCTAAACCCTAAACCCTAAACCCTAAACCCTAAACCCTAAACCCTAAACCCTAAACCCTAAACCCTAAACCCTAAACGTCGGCCCTTCGAGTTGAATGGTTGTGGCTCCGGTGGCGGGTTTTGTGGGTTCACTTTGATCTTCTGACGGCAAAGTCAGGACCCTAAACCCTAAACCCTAAACCCTAAACCCTAAACCCTATACCCTAAACCCTAAACCCTAAACCCTAAACCCTAAACCCTAAACCCTAAACCCTAAGGGGGCTGAGGGGTGGAGGGCTGGTGTTTTCAGAAGCGCTTGCAGCACGAAGTGGGTGCTTCTTCTGTTCTTCCCATGCGCCTCCTTCGTAGGGATTGACCTCCTTCATATAGGTGTCCAGCGACCAGATCTGGCACGATTTCATGAATGCTGGCAATGAACCCCACAAAAGGCATGCGCAAGCAAAGGTCCTCTTGCTGCCTACATTGAGGACCAAATGAACCCTAAAAGGGTTCAGGTATCATATACCCTAATAAGGATTAGAGTAGTTTAGGGTATATGGTCGCAATTTTGGGGTTCATTTGGTTCCCCAGGTATATGCCGACCCAAACTGTGTTCGCAATCATCGCCCAGGGACCACGCACCCGTGATTCAGGGCCAAGGCGAGGAACACCAAGGCGGTGGAACCCGACATCGTGACGCAGGCCAGGCGGAAGAGGAACACGAATTGTGACACACATCCCCTCAGTGAGGTGAAGCTGCACTACATCCGCCAGCTTGGAAAGATTTGGGAAGCAATGGGCCTCATGAGTCTCTTCCCAGATTCTCTGAGGTCTTCCATGCACCAAAATCTCTTGCGAACTGGGTTGTTGACTGAAGATCCTGAACTTCCTCAAGCTGCTTGCCAAAAACTCCAAAGATTTTTGTCAAGGTTCAGGGAAGCGACATCGGCCATGCCAGGCAGCGTCAAGCCAGACACAAGTAGCATCGAGCAGCCAAAGGCCATGTTCGTGGTGGTCGGTGTCATCCATGTGCATCTCAGCGCCAGCAGCGAAAGGAGCTGCGTCACCTGGAGACGGGGCAGCGACCAGGCCGTAAAGGTCTTGCTCGCTAGAATTCTTTTGCAGTCTGCGCCGCCGGGTTTGCGATGTTTAGGATTCTGAGCTAAGACCACGGGTGCTTGAAGATACCTTTCTCTTGTAGATCTTCTGAAGAGCCCGGGGTCAATACGCCTACTCGGCCCAAAACCGAGACCCTGAAAACCCAAAGATGAACTTCTTCATGTGGATCCTGAACGCCTTTGAAGGTCGGGAGCACCAACGTCTAGGAATCTGAAAACGCTTGAGTCAATTGAGCTTCCAGATTGGGCTAAAGAAAGCGAGTCACAACCCCCCCCCCCCCCGCCCGGAACGTAACAAAGACTCTTTGAGATGTTGAATCTTGGTCCAGGCTATGGTGCGCAGCTACGGGTGACCTTCGCAGAAATGTCAAGCGTCCCGAGATTGTGGTGCGCTGCAGGTACAGGATAGGGGCGATAGTACAGGCCTCAGGACCCTGAACCCTACAAAGCCCTCCCAAACCCGAACCTTGAGGTTCAGAGGCCTTTGAGGCTGAGTCAAGGTCGGACCTGGAGCTCAAAACCCTAAACCCTAAACCCTAAACCCTAAACCCTAAACCCTAAACCCTAAACCCTAAACCCTAAACCCTAAACCCTAAACCCTAAACCCTCAGACGACAATGCCTGGAGCAACAAGAGGAGAACGTCGAAGAGGCTGGTGGTCCGCACTCGGACCGTGGTCCTCAGCTTCGGAATCCTCACCTTTTTGAGCCATCCTAGGTTAGGGTTGAGGGTTTAGGGTTTAGGGTTTAAGGTTTAGGGTTTAGGGTTTAGGGTTTAGGGCCATCCTAAGCATGTAGTACTCCTCGCCTTCCATGGTTCCCCCATGCTTTGCCCGAAACCTTGGCGCATCCTCTGAACCTAAGCCCGAACGTCGCTGAAGCCTGGAGCCCCCTCCGCCCCCCTTAAACCCTAAACCCTAAACCCTAAACCCTATTTTTCTGAGGAAGCCAAGACACGACCAAATGTAGAACGAGCCGATCAGGACGATGGCCGTTGCACACGCATAAGTCGACACGAGTTGCTGTGTCTCCTCGGCTAAGGGTTTAGGGTTTAGGGTTTAGGGTGATGAGGACACTGTCCGAGGCTTGCTACAGTACTCATGGGCCTGTCATTTCGTGCTTCAACTCCGCAGGCCCACTTTACAGGGCCAGCCTCTGGACTTGTGCCAAGGATGAGGCCTTCTGAGATCTACTTGGACGCCCCTCAACCAGCCTACCCTGCTAGAAAGGCATCATGCAGCAAGTGATCTCTTGTGAGCCCATGCCCCTGAATCGAAGCAGGCTTACATAAGACATAGGGCTTAGCAGAGCTCGAAGGCAAACATCCTGTTTACAAGGGGCTTTCGCCGCACTCTCTGTAAGATGCTAAGTCAAAAAGTCAAAAGCAGCTCTAAGTGGGTGCTTAAAACATCGCAAGAACCCTAAACCTTTTTTGCAAAAGAACCCTAAACCCTAAACCCTGAACCCTGAACCCTAAACCCTAAACCCTAAACCCTAAACCCTGAACCCTAAACCCTAAACCAGGCCCCAGCTTGACAGTTCTCAAGCACCCTCAGTTCCATCAAGCGTCAACGGTCAGCTTTTTCAGCGTGGGATTCTTCTTCTCGGCACCAGCCTGTCCTGCCCAGATGATGGGATGCCCCAACTGCTAACGATTTCTAAGAGCCTTCGGTGAAGTTCACGGCGAAGAGAACAGCCACTTTAACTTGCTACCTGAAATGGATAGGCTGCGGGCTCTGTGAAACTTTTTGCCACCATCAACGCTTCCATGCATGCTCGGGTTTAGAGCCCTCTGCAACGCTACCAAGCAAAGGACTTGCTTAAATTACTCTCTTTGGTTCCGCACCACAAACTTCCAACTAGGCCTGCGCCCCTTGAACATGAAAAGCTCTGAGCTTGCAACTTGCCCCTGAGGCTGTTCGCGCCTGTTCGCCGTTGATGACAAATCCTCTTCCCAAACTGGAAACACGCCTGAACCTTGAGCGGCTTCGCTGGAGTGGTCTTCTTGTAGGGTCAGGTTCAAATCAGAACGTGCTTGGGGCCATTCCCTTGGACAGTGGAATCTCTTCTCCCCTAGCGACAGTCGCTTTTCAGATCTGCTGTAGGTTTTGTAGGTTCTCGCAGCTCCCGATCTTCCCCATGGCTTGCCGCTCCATTGCATGCTCTCTTATGCTTACACGACTGTAGGAATGCAGCCGTCATTCAATCACAGCTCCCTCTTCCTCCGTTCTTTCACCACCCGCCCAATTCTAGGGGAGAGGGTGCGGCCCCATTCATCAGATCCCCGGAAGAATCTTATTGCAGGACACAATCCGAAACCGCCTGACACGCGACACTCACGCGACACTGGAGTTCAAGGCTCTCCCATGGCCCCGAAATCCCCAAACCGAAGCAAAACTCCAAGCTTGGATCTATTTCGCATCTAGGGTTTAGGGTTTAGGGTTTAGGGTTTAGGGTTTAGGGTTTAGGGTTTAGGGCGCAACCTCCGAACAGCCGCATAATCTGGCGAGCTGCTCGTTTACGAAGAAACTCCATGCTGTCTACCGCGTGGAGCACGTAGTAAAACACCGGGATCTGCAAAACCTGAGCAGGGTTTGGGGCTGACGATCCCTGTGGCTCCCACGTGGGTTCCTTGGGGACGAAATGAACCCTAAAATTGGGGTCATATGCCCTATACTGCTATAATTCCTACTAAGGTATATGAACCATAAACCCTTTTAGGGTTCTTTTCGTCCCCAAGGTTTAGCCAGCTTTTGCCATTACGGAATGTTTGCACTAGAGCAGCTACTCATTGCAAGCGTGCCGACGCCCCTATGACAGAGGGCCAGCCACCGAAACCTGCACGTATATGCACAGCTGCATATGCCAAATGAAACATGTCAGGTTAGCTCACTCAAAAAACAACTAAGCAACCACACGCACATTTTTCAACAACAACCAACAAAACGACAACCACCACCACGCAAAAAACAAAAAACAAAACTGGACCCACGATGGCCTACTATGGGGGGGGGGGGGGGCATTCCTTTTATGGGATGGGAGGGACCTTGGGGACAACATGAACCCTAAAAGGGTTCATGGCTCATATACCCCAGTAGGAATCATAGTAGCATAAGGTAATCATGACCGCCAATTTGAGTGTTCGTTTGGTCCTTAAGGAAGGCATGAACCGAGGCGCCGCCAGAGCAAGCTGGACATTCTTTTGCCCCAAGATGGTCTCCGCGCCGACCTTTGAAGTTTAGGGTTTAGGTTTTTCCCCCTGATACTGAGAGTCCTTAATGGGGATGATCATAAGAGGTACTATAATCCCTATTAAAGACTGTTCGTATACGGGGGAACATCCCAACTGAAACCGCAAGCCCAAAAGCAAGGCGCTTTGCTTGCCTCGAACTCAGGAGGGCGAGGGTGGCAAAGACTATGTTGCCGACCTAGCTACTAATTGCTTAAGAAACCCAAAAATTTGAAAATATTCTTCCTTATTAAGAGTAACATTGGGATTCTTATGTTTCATTCTTTTGGGGCTCTTAAGCGAAGTAGTAGCTAGCTCGACTGCGCTGCGCGTGCCTCCAGAACGGAGCTTCTCAAACGAAGCCCGGGATCGCTAAACTTGCTGCAACCCTAAACCCTAAACCCCAAACCCTAAACGGCTGCCCTAAGTCCGTTGATCCATGTCGTTGCGGATACATGCGGATATGTCGCCTTTCTCATGGGGAGCTGATCATCTGGGTTTGCGGATTAGGGTTTAGGGTTTAGGGTTTAGCGTTTAGGGTTTAGGGAATTCACACATGCTTCGAGCTCAACACCACCTAAACCCCAAACCCCAAACCCTTTTGCAACCAGGTCTCTTGCAGTCAGCCGGGTAAGTTGACCCTAAACCCTTTTGCATCCAGGCCTCTGATCCTAAACCCTAAACCCCAACCCCCCCATAGGCCCAAACCCTAAACCCCTTAACCCTGAATGGCAGAACGATACTGAACTTGGAGCCCTTGCAAAAATCTCATTCTAGCTGTTTCTTAGGAATAAGAGTGCCAAACAAGAAAACTCCCCAAGAATTTCATTCCAGCTGTTTCTTAGGAATAAGAGTGCCAAACAAAAAAAATCCCCAAGAATTCCTAAGAGCATGCCAGGCCGTGCGGCATGGAGTTCGTCGAGGGTCACCATAAGCCGCTTCGGCCACAGGTCCCCCCTCCCACCAGCCTTCTAAGGACGAAATGAACCCTAAAATTGGGGGTCATGTACCCTACAGTTACTATAAGCAGGTAGTGCCTTTAAAGGCAAGCTGAACCCTAAAATGGGGGGGGTGATATACCCTGTACTACTACAATTCCTCTTCAGGCATCTGGGGCCAAAACGCCCTTTTAGGGTTCATGTGGTCCCTGGGGCAGGTAACAGCCCCTTGAGCCGAAAATACTACGGTTTGAGGGTTAGGGTCTAAGGGTTTTTTTTAAGCACCAAAAATATTGCAGGTTGAGGGTTAGGATTTTAGGGTTTAAAAATACCGAACAAAATACAGCTTGAGGGTTAGGGTTTATAGGGCCTCGGGTTTAAAGATGCATTGGACGGCCCAGGTCTAAAGAATCCGGTGTAACGTATCAAGCCGACCTGCAGTCTCTCAACGCACAACTTTACGTCATCTCTATGGAAGCTGCATCGTTGTCATTGCGGGCATATGCACGTGGCCTAAGTCCAGCGTCGCGCGCCTTGCGCACCACTCAAGCCTAAGACCGGCAACCCCTGCGAACTGCACATAAACTCTAAACGCCGAAAGATTCTTTAGGGTTTAGGGTTTAGGGTTTAGGGTTTAGGGTTTAGGGTTTAGGGTTTAGGGTTTAGGCGGAGCATTGCGCACAGCGGCTTTGGCTTCATCCATGTGGCCAGGGCCCGTGGGATCGAAGGCCCGCGGAGTACGTGGATGCCTATGTCAGTCTATGTCGGAGTTACGGATAGAATCTCTCAGAAATTGTGGAGCCTCAGCACCAAGCTAGCCTGAAGGCTACCCAAGCTTACTTCTCCAATAACCAAGGGGAAAACAAGGTTTAACTTCAATTATTCCTACTAAATCAGGAAACCCAAAAAGTTTAAAGTTCACCTAAAGGCGAAGTAAGCAAGAGCTCCACAAGTAGGTCTCTGAAGAACCGAAGGTTGGGCCTTGTGCTAGCTTGCCAAGTATCTTCCTTATATAGTGGTTTCAGAGGGCCTCAGATTGGTTTAGGGTTTAGGGTTTAGGGTTTAGGGTTTAGGGGATGCATGGATGTCTCACGAGGTCTCGACCTTTGCCGCAGGGCACCTAGAGCCCGACATGGCTAGGCAGGGTTCACGGCATGCGTCAGATCCTCTCTGCAACGCTGTTTTTCTTGACCCTGAACTCTAAGACGCCTCTGAGAGAATTCATCTGCGGGTTCGCGCCTCTTCTTGAACCCTCCTAGGCTGCCCAGTAACCTAGGCTTAAAAAGGGTGCCCTTTTTTTCTTAAAGGGGTTGATAAGGGAACCTAAACCCCCCCCAAAAAGGGAATAAGGGTACTACTGGGCATCCTAGCCTCCTTGGGAGCTGTAGGACTTTAGACCCCGTTCTCCACTCCAGGATGGGCCTCCAAGAATGCCACGACGCTGTAGGCGGTGTTTGCAAAGGCCAGTTCACAGGGGTTTGGCCAGAATGTGCCCCTAAACCCGAACCCCCCCCCCCGAAAACCTTGAAGGCTGAAAATCCCCTAAGCCCATCCGCCCTGGATCCATGGCGTTAGGCCTGCACCTTGGACCCTTAAGGTTGCGCCCTTGGGTTTTGGGGACCCTTTCTGAAGATCCTCTAAGGGAATATAAGTGCCATGTTGGGAGTACGTTTAAGTGGAACCTAAGCTTAGGGGTACGAGCCCGAATCTCGATTTTCGTAGGTCCAAAGTTCCGGGCCCCTGGGCTATGAGACCCCAAACTCTTCGAAACAGTTCCCGGCGGCCAAAAACACAGACCTCCATGGCCTGAAACGACTCCTCAAAGATGGGCAGGCCTCCTGCGCCGCAGTAACAAGGTGGTGTTCCATGCTTATTGGCGGTTTAGGGTTTAGGGTTTAGGGTATAGGGTATAGGGTTTAGGGTTTAGGGTTTAGAGTTTAGGGATGATAGGGTTGACTTTATCCATCAACTCCAGAGGCCCCTAGTCCTGCAGCGCTTGGGGTAGGACTTTAGCCCATCCAGCAGGTCCATTGTGGGGGACAACTGTGGACAACCAGCCGAACTCTGGAACAACACATCGGAAACTACCCTGATGAACGATGGTCCCCTTCACCACCCGCCTGGGCCACTTGCTGTCATCTGGGCCGGGGGAACGAGCGGTCGCACCTTGCTTTGTTTATAAGTCTATTCCACCCGCGTGTCTCTATGTTTCGTCTGCTACAACTGAGAGCTTTCTTCACGGAATCGCTGTTTGACGCTGGGGTTGCCGGAGCGGAATGGAGCGGGCAAGGGAGAGGCAGCCCAGGGCCAAAGTAAGAAACAATGGTCAACGAGGCCCATGCAACCTCAAACTTCGTAACCCTAAACCCTAAATCCTAAACCCTAAGCCCTAAACCCTAAACCCTAAACCCTAGTCAGCCTTGCTGGCGGACCTGGCGGATGCTGCTTACCAGTGCACCCTGGATCTTTGTCTGAGCAACATGGGTCTCTTTCCTGTGGCCTCTGAGAGTCTCTGGACTACTTGGTCAACTACCTGATGGACGTCACTCCTTTCTGGGCATTGCAGCCCAAGGTTCAGGGTTTAGCATTTGTTGGCTTTGTTTGCTGCTTACTCTAAACCCTAAACCCTAAACCCTAAACCCTAAACCCTAAACCCTACACCTCGCTGAGGGGGGGGGGGGGGGGGGGGGGGGGGGCGCAGGGGTTCACGCATTCTCGGGAACAGGAGGGATGGGCATCTGAAAAATGTGTGCGTCTTGTGCGTGCGCAACCGTCGCCTCTGCAAGTCAAGCACTGCATCAAAGCGAAAGCCATGCATCGAGGATCTACCAATTGCTTAAGAAGCCCCCCCAAAAAATAGACAATGAAAATCCCTATATTGCCCTTATGCGGAGGATTATTTTGCTTTTTTTTGGTTGTTCTTGAGCCTAAACCCTAAACCCTAAACCCTAAACCCTAAACCCTAAACCCTAAACCCTAAACCCTAAACCCGTGAGGATGGTGTTCTACACCTGAGGCCCCCACACAGCCCCCAAGGGCGCGCTCAAAGTCCGCCTGCAAGGCCAAGGCACCGCCGCCAGCACCGCAAGACTTCGGCTTTTCAAGTGATTTTTGGGGGGGTTGAGGGTTGGGGTTTAGGGTTTAGGGTTTAGGGTTTAGGGTTTAGGGTTTAGGGTTTAGGGTTTAGGGTTTAGGGTTTAGGGTTTAGGGTTTAGGGTTTAGGGTTAGGGTTTAGGGTTTAGGGTTTAGGATTTAGGGTTCAGATGGGTTCAGGGTTCAGGGTTTAGGGTTTAGGGTGCAGGGTTTACTTTCACAAGGCCGATGCTGTTTCAGTATATCGGCTGGTTCCAAACACTGCACCCAGCACCTGTACCATACTAGCCGTCCTAGCCTCGGTTGAAACTCCAGATCCACCATCTTGAATTCAACAAGGGCCCGGCACCAAGATCCTGGAACTAGTGAATCCTTTTGCAGATCCCTTGCCGACTCTGAAATCCAGCATCAGCCCTTTAAATCGGCCCTACTGCACTATGCAGATGCATTGGCGATGTCTGCAAGGCTGTAGGCAAGCTGAATACTAATAACAATAATAATAATAATAATAGAAGAATAGTAATAATAATAATCATAATAATAATAAGAATAGTAATAAGAATAATAGTAGAAGGGCATAGTTGGGACAGATGTGGTTGGCTTCGGGAAGGCGGCCTCTCATACAAAACCTGCTCTGACGAGGACCGCGCCATGCATGAACATGAGTTTCTGGTCGACTGTATCTTACGCTCCCAGGTCTCTCCTAATGGGTTTAGGGTTTAGGGTTTAGGGTTTAGGGTTCAGGGTTTAGGGCTTCATGGCCACCCTTCTCACAAGCAAGATGCAAAAGAGCTCTCGACATCAAAACGCAAGTTCCTGATGGCACCAGAAGTGGTAGACTTGTCGAGGCCTTCAGGAGCACCACAAATGCAGGAATTGGCGTGCTTGTGCCGACCCTTAAAACCTAAACCCTAAACCCTTTGTGCTTCAGAGACCCCAGGAAAACTCGAAACCCTAAACCCTAAACCCCGCGTCTTTTCTGCAGTGCGCTCGTCGGGGCTTTCAGGCGCCAGGCTTTCGCATCTGGCGCACCAGACCTGTGACTCGGCAGAGATGGTGGGTGGCCCATACCAGGATGGGCGACTAGGCCCCAGAATCCCCATAATGAACCCTATAAAGGGGCTGTTTAAGGGGTTATAGCTTTTAAGGGATTATAGGGAATAATGGGGCCTTTTAAGGGATTATAGGGTATAATAGGGCCTTTTAAGGGATTATAGGGTATTATAGCCCATCCTGCCAAGCAATACTTGCCTTCTGACATATGCCCAGGCTTGACCCTCGAGAACAGAATCCCAGAATCTCTGGATCCTCTCGAGCGATGTGGGGCTGCCGGACAGCAAGACCTGAAGCCTAAGAGAAGCCCCCTAAACCCTAAACCCTAAACCCTAAACCTTTGAGCCCTAAACCGGAAAAGAAGCCCCAAATTGCCCCACACCCCTGAGCGCACAGAAGAAACCACAAAAGACCAAGCCACATTCAGTCGCAGAATCTTGCCCTGCTCGTCGCACAGGATCATGACCTCATTTCAAGTTTCGTTGTCAAGTAGAGCCTGAACGGAGGGTGTTCCTCATGGTCCAAAGCTTTATGTATGCCACTGGGACCCTGGGTCCTCATCTCAAAGCCGACCGCTCCCAAACCTCTTGAAGAGTTTTCAGACTCACCTAGATACGTCTCACAACCCGGGAGATCACCATGCCAACAGCCCATTAGCTACAGCACTGCGGTACACATGCAGGCGCAGGGTTAACCAATAAGTCTGTGGCGTTGCAGCTGTTGGACAGGCCGATGACAATCTGTGGCGCTGGGAAGGGGTTCTGCCGGGGGTATGGACAGTGTAGGCGCCGGCGGCGCCGGTTGATACCCTGTCTGATGAATCCTGCACCGTTGCACGGAGCAGTTGTCCCGCGTGCCTGCTGCGGATCCTCCTCCGCCTCTTCCGAAGGAAGGTGGACGTCTTGCTTGGCCCTCGGTGTTCACTTTTGAGTTGGCGAGCCTCCACCCCAAACCGGACACCCAAACCGGCCAGCATAAACGCGGGAACCGCAGCTACCTACCTAAAGCTTCCCGATGGAGCTTGGGGTTCCGCTGTCTACTAAGGTCCTTGATCAAAAAGGACGACGATCCACTTCCAGTTGCAACCTTTTGATGCAGCTGCAAGCTACGTCGTAGAATCAAAACACGACCACAAGCACAAAACAACACAAAACACATGCGCACACACACACACACACAAAACAAAAAAAACAAAAAAACAGCAAAAACAGCAAACGCGCAGACACAAACACAGAAACACACAAATACGGACGCACAGAAATACGGAAACGCAGACAGACAGCCAGACAGACAGACGGACACACAGACAGACAGACACACACACACACACACACACACAATCACATACACACGCACACACAGGGAAGGCAGCTGAGACACGGTTTTGTTGGGGTCTCGCATCCGGGCCAGCAAAATCTCAAATCAATGCCGGCGAGTTACATGCCGACCACCCTGGCCAGCAAAGGAATCATCCTGGTCTTCGAAACTGCACATTTGGACCGTGGTCGAGAAAGACACCGGTGGCATGTCCGTAGGCAGGGCTTTGCGTTATAAGCTTGTGGCATGCTGAAAGCATCGAGCTCATCATCTCCACTGCTTTCCGGAGCTTTGGGCCGTGATAGGGCCTGATTTAAGGATGTTGAAGTTTTTTTTTTGGGGCAAGGTTTGAGGGCAGAGGAATGTACGAGTGGAGAGTTGAGAGGTTAGCCAGCCATCTCGAGGTGAGTTTCGGCTGGCATGCGGTTAGCGGAAAAACGGGCCTTTCAGTATGAAATAAACTGAATCACTTGCTAGTATAACTTTGAAACGAGAGCAGCAGAAAAGATGGATGCTTCAGTTCTGAACCCCGGTTTGCAAACGGCCGCAAATCCCAAGTGGCAACAACCTGACTCGGGTTTGATCCTATTTCTCAAACAAGCCCAAACCATCCCAAACCCAAAGGCCTTTTCTCACTCATGCTCAGAATGCACACACTGCACCTCAACACGCCGTCGACACCCTGCTCTGCAACCAGCAAAGAAGGGCTGATGGAGCAAATCCTGGGTCGCCGGCTTAGGGACGCATTTTATGGTCTGGAGCAACTGCCATCCTCTCTTAGCCAGAATGCTGGGAACAAGGGCACAGGGGCCCTGGGTCCCACGTTTCCGGTTGCTACTATTCGCTTAAAGAACCCCTCCAAAGAAGGAATGCTCATAATCCCCGTATTGCCCTATTATAAGGAAGAATGTTTTTTGGGGGGGTTCTTATAAAGGAAATAGTAAGGAGACCTGAACCGCAGCTGCGGGGGCTCCAGCTGGGCAGACTCGTGGAAGAAGCGCTCAGCCAAGCGCCGACGCTCCTTCGGCTTCTGAGCGGATGGGCGAGTTCTGTCTGGCCTTTCGTGTGGCGAACCTGTGTGTTTCGAACTACCTTCAACTCCTTTGAGGAGCACGTGGTGAAGCATTTTGAGCTGACTGCCTGAGGCCCCTGTGTGTGTGTGTGTGTGTGTGTGTGTTTGTTTTTGTTTGTTTTGGTGGTTTGTGGAGTCGGAGGGAAAGAAGCAGCACTAAAGATCTTCTGGGGAAGGGGACAAAGGGCACATGCAGCCAGACCGAGTCCGCAAGCGGCCGCATGCCTCAGCTACTATTTGCTTAAGAACCCCAAAAAGAATACCAAAAAACAATCATAATCCCTAGATTACCCTTCATTTTTTTGTTTTCTTGGGGGGTTCTTAAGCCACTAGTAGTCAGTTTTGAAAGCTCGCGCAGTGGGTGGGGAGACCCCGAAGCGATGTCCGCAGGCCTCCTGGGACACGGGCTGCTCCATCTGCCTGTGCTCCTTCTCTCACGCGATGCTGAGTTTTAATGCTCGGTTTAGGGTTTAGGGTTTAGGGTTTAGGGTTTAGGATTTAGGGTTTAGGGTTTAGGGTTTAGGCTTTAGAGTTTTAAAGCTCGTTTTGGGCTTGGGGCTTAAGGTTTAAGGGGTAGCTTGTTTTGGAGGTTCGGGTGGATTTGAGGGCTTCGGGTCAAGGACTAAAGGCAGTGATTCCGCATCATTGCTGGACAAGCGGGAGTTTTGAGCTCAGCTGCTGCAACCCTCGCATCATTGTGATCTGGCTTGCCACCATTGCCGTGGTTGCGTGCACTTCTGGGTGGTTGGAGGAAAGGCGGCACCCGTATATGTTCAGGGCAGAGTTCTTGATGGAGTGCCAACCCCATGTGAAAAGGCACGGGAGACATGCTCACAGATTCAAGCACGACATTCAATTGGGTTTTCTGCCATTGCTCAATCCAGCCATGCACTTACCAGTTCCTTTCCCCTAAACGCCGAAATAGCCAAAAGCGCTCAGGAAGCTCAGTAGGGCCTTCATCAGCCACCAGTTCACGTCTTCCCACAGCAGCCGCAGGGCCCGGCGTGAACCCCGGGCTCGAACACGGCGGAAGGACTCCTGCTTTAGAGGGCTTCAGGCTTACGGGTCTAGAGGTTCTTACTTTAGGGCGTTAAAAAGATCCACGAATCTCCAGCCAAGCCCCCCATGAGGAGTCTTGAAGAAAGCCAGGGAGCAGGTGCAAGGCACGGCTTTGAAACACAATGTGATGGACGAAAATGAAGAGGAGGATGCTAACTGTGCCACAACGCCTAAACCCAAGCACAGATACGGCTCACTGCGCCAAGAGCCAGGTCCAAATAGAGGGCCAGGTCCAATTATCGAGGGTGTGATGAGCCCTAAACCCTAAACCCTAAACCCTAAACCCTAAACCCATCTCATGGCTACTACCGAAAGGCTGAGGGCCGCTGAATCGTTCATTGTCGAGATAGCACTGCCCCAATGCCCAAAGATCCTGAACCCTTGTCTGCTTTAGGGTGGGTTTAGGGTTTAGGGTTTAGGGTTTAGGGTTTAGGGTTTAGGGTTTAGGGTTTAGGGTTTAGGGTTTAGGGTTTAGGGTTTAGGGTTTAGGGTTTAGGGTTTAGGGCCCCCCTGGTTCTGAGTAGGGAATGAGGGGAGTTAGGGCCCTATAACATATACCCTTTCAAGGATTACGCATTCCTGCATTCCCTACGAAGAGACCAGCGTCTCCTTGTGGTACTCTGCGATCTTGCTCCGCACGCCAAACCTTTCGGTCCTTGCTTCGAAGGAATCGGCTTGAGGGAAGGAACCTTGGGAACGAAATGAACCCTCAAATGGGGGGGGGGGGGGGGGTATATACCCTATACTACAATTCCTATGAAGGTAATATGGGCCATGAACCCTTTTAGCCTTCATGTGGTCCCCAAGGAATAGGTCGCAAAAAGGCCAAAACACTAAACCCTAAACCCTACTATACACCCTACAGCCTAAACCCTAAACCCTAAACCCTAAACCCTAAACCCTAAACCCTAAACCCTAAACCCTAAACCCTAAACCCTAAACCCTAAACCCTAAAGGCCAGGGCCTCCCAGAGTCGGTCTCCCTTCAGGGCACCGGAGAGACGGCCGAGGGACTGGTGAAAGAAGATGAAAGAAGCTAGGGTTTAGGGTTTAGGGTTTAGGGTTTAGGGTTTAGGGTTTAGGGTGCTTAAAACCCTCTGAAAAAATATTCCTGAAAGTGAGCCTCTGAAACCCAGTAAGGGAAATACAATTACACCACCGAAGACCCCAAACAGTCAAAGGCACGTCAAAGAAACAGTGGGGACGACGGGAGACAAAGGGAGACGAAGGGAGACAAAGGGAGGCGGGGAGCACAGCAACCCGGCAAAACCCACATGAAGGGAGACAAAGGGAGACAAAGGGAGACAAGGAGCCCAGGAACCCGGCAACAGTCCTCAGAATGTCGGCAATCCTTACATGACTTTAGAACCCCTAACAGTGGACTGTTTGGGAAAAACGTCTCAAGGGCCTACCGAGAGAATATGCAACTTGCAAGCAGGACGAGGGAGGGAGCCGAGCGTGAGCCGAAACCGGGAAGTGGCGAGACACAGGAGGCGCCCTGCTTGGGAAGCTCGCAGAGGCTGTTTGCAGTAGGGTTTAGGGTTTAGGGTTTAGGGTTTAGGGTTTAGGGTTTAGGGTTTAGGGTTTAGGGTTTGGGCCTAGGCGCTGCGTGGCCAACTCAGGAGACGGCATGGCTGAGGGAGAGATGTGGGCGAACATGAACGGCAGCAAAGGAAAGGAATGAGCACAGGAACAAGAAACTCTACACCGGACTTAGCAAAGCTGTATGAGGAAAGACAAGAAACAAAACAAGAATTAGGACACAGCTGAAATAACTGACGTGGTCGAAAAAGAGAATATCAACACATGGAAACGCGCCGCAACTCGTGCAGCAGCCGCGCCCCCGCAGCGGCGGCAACAGCACAGTGCCCACTCCGCTTCCGCATTCAGTAAGTTTACAGTGCGGAGGTCGGGACAAAGATATTGGAGCCAGAACTCCCAAAAAGCCCTTAAGTAGCCTGTAACAAGCAGCAGCCTCGTTGGAGCACTCACTCTGAGTGGCGTTCTCATAATGGGCTGCCCTGTTCTCGTGGCCGTGTCTAAGGGCTGTGTAGACGTTGGTGTGGCTGTGGCACGGGGTAGGCTGTGAGCTGCTGCCGGAATCTGTCCCTCCATCCTTCTAACATCTAGGACCTAGGTAGGACCTACATACTGCAGAACACCCCTACTGATTGCTGTATTTTTGTCGCTTTAGTATTAAGCAACAGTCTGCCAAAATGACCAACACCTTTTGAATACCTTTTGCCAAACATCAAACCCTAAACCCTAAACCCTGAGTCCCAGCTGCAGCTCTCCCAGTCGTGCTTCGACGCTTGGCGCTGAGGCCACCGTGGACGCATCCTCTGGGGACCACAGACCCTTTCTGCTACTACTTCCTGTTAAGGTATATGAACCTTGTGCCGACGCGTGGGTTTTGAGAGTGTGGAAGGTGTATTGCGATGGAGGGCCTCTGAGGCAGTGAGCCTGCAAGGGGGGATCACTAGGTTCCCGAGCGTGCCCATGTTGATTTAGCAGACGCACAGGAACCTTCCACCTCAAGAGTGCTGGGAGCTTATAATCCTCCCGGTTGCATTCGGCGTGGGAGCTGAGCAGTCAGGTGGGACTTGACAGGTATGAGACCGGTGCTGTCTCTTTCTGGTACTGAAAAGCCAACGCCAAGCTGCTTTGTCGTCCCACTTTGGGTCGAAGATTGTTCCGACTGTCTTTGTTGCACCTGGCATGGGTGATGGATGTGGACGATGATGATGACGATGATGATGATGATGGCAGTCATAGGCGTAGGCCTTGCTTAAGACACATCCTGGTTCATATCCCCTAATAAGGCTTATAGTAGTACAGGGCAGGATATATGTTCCCAAATTTAGGGTTCAGTTGGTTCCCAAGGTTCTGAGCTCGTTTGGGGTCTTTACGGGAATCTTCGGCCTCTTGCAATCATCACCGCATCGCAGCCGGTCTCGCGCAACATGCGGTCCTGGGGAGTGACTGGGAGATCCCGGGAGGAGCTGATTGCGAAAAACATCCTAACGGTGAAAGAAGCTCAGGGCTGCGGGCCATTGTGAGTTTAGGGTTTAGGGTTTAGGGTTTAGGGCTTAGGTTTTAGGGGCCCACAGGTCAGCATTCAGGGGAGGTTGGAGCTTAGGGGGCTCTCTAGCTGGGACTTTGGATCCTGGAGTTTCGGGATTCATTTTGAGGGGATTGTCAGCTCATTCCTCTCAACTTCATGCGAGCAGCTACCCGTCATGATCACGCCCCTTCTATCAAAGCCGATGCCCCCCCAATCCCTGATTGAGCCTGAAGACCCTGAGAGCGTAAGCCCTCAGCTGAAGCGCAGTGCTGCTGCTTAAACGGGAGATGCCGCCACGCTTCTGCATCACTTCTGGAGAACACGTCGCCGTTCCCTATGATCGACAGCCTGCTGCCTGTGCACGCGGCCAACGCCCTTGTCCCCGAAATCTTGACCGCCTATGTTCAAATGGATGGTTGTCAAAATTATAGTCCCTTTTTGGATCTCAATTAGAATACGGCACCGAATATTTAGGGTACCCCAAAAGGGATCAGAATTTTGACAGCCACCCAAATGTACAACGAAAGCAAGTCTGGAGGCAAACGTCGAAGCCGGCAACTTCCCTCGCTCCCATCCAATACCCAGATTTGAAACGAAGCAAACGGAAGCCACATCCTGCCTTGCGAACCAAATGAACCCTAAAATTTGGGAACATATACCCTATACTACCAGAATCCTTATGAGGGGATATGCGCCCCTAAACCCTAAACCCTAAACCCTAAGCCCTAAACCCTAAACCCTAAACCCTAAACCCTAAATTAACCCTAAACCCTATTAGGCTTCATTTGGTCCTCAAGGTATCAACTGCCCTCTGCCTGCCAGCTCCTTGGCTTTCCGAATGTTCTCCCACCGTGCGGGGCTCTTCTTGGACTCCTGACCATGCCCCCTTCTCAGGGTTTAGGGTTTAGGGTTTAGGGTTTAGGATTTAGGGTTTAGGGTTTAGGGCCACTCGTAGCTCGACTTTGAGGGTTTAGGCCGACTAGGCATCCTCGCAGGAGCTGTCGGACTCGAATTTTGGGCCTTTGTAGGTCTCAGGGCCTATAGTCTTTAACCTGCTGAATCCTCAGAGCTATAGAACTCCACAGTCCTCGCGCGCATTGCGCGGATGTAAAACCACGTAGTCCAGGCGGCCTTTGGCATATCCTGAGATCTGGTGGGGGACAAGGCGTTCCGAGTAACACCTTCCTTGGGGACGACATGAACCCTAAAATTGGAGTCATATACCCTACGCTACAACAATTCCGATTAAGGTATAGGAGCCATAAACCCTTTTAGGGTTCATGTGGCCCCAAGGTTGAGTAGAAGGGTGCTGAAGGTGTTAGCTGCTCTTGTTGTTAGCCAAGTTGCGGATTGCCCGAAGGTACACCTGGAAAGCAGGCGCAATTTGCAGCCATCATCAGCCCTGACTGTGTCCGCAAACACAGCTTTTACTCAATCCTCAGCAGCAAAGTGGCACCCTACATCCTCAAAACCGCAATCTGTCTGCCCTTGGGCTCAGTCCATATCAAGGTCTACACCTTCCAAATGGATACACTTGATGCGCTTGAAAACCGAGTGCCAAGTCCTCCATCCCACACAACAAGGCTCCCTGAATCCCAGGGTCCCAGACCATATGCTACCCACCTCACGCCGCTCCTCATCTTCGTTGACGCCCAGCCGCATCCTTAGTCGCGCTCGTCTCGAGCCCGGGTGAAGTGCGCGCTTGGAAATGAGCATGTAGGAGCCCCCGCGTGGGGCCTTGGCCTTATTGCCTTGACAGCAAGACCAAGCCGGAAAGGATCCTCGTCTACATCTCTAAGTCTATAGTCTAAAATCAATTCCATGAGCCTGCTTGAGGCCAGGACACTTGGCACCAATCGCACCGATTGGCAACGAAGTCTGCGAACGCCACCTTCGCTGATCAAAAACCTCGCCTACAACACCCCAGTGGCTCTTGAAATCCGGGACAGCCGATCAATGAAACCACTGCGAAGCCCGACAAAACTCCGACAATGCCATTGGCCCCCAAAGAACTCCGCCGAACCGCTCTGCGAGACGTTCAAAGATCTCGCGAAGCAGTTGTGGACGATTGAGCATCGCGGGCCCAAGGCCTAAGTAGAATAGGACGTAAGTTGCACGTAAGAGCTTCGCGTTCGCGATTTTCGCTCTCAGGACTACTCGTCAGATGTGAAAGTTAGGACTTCGGGTTTGAGATGCTATGAGCTTGCGTTTTGTGTTTGTTCTCATCTTGTGGGCTTTAGAGGTTGCGGGTTACTAAGGTAAGAAGCTAAGAATAGTCATCCAAGCCTGCTGGAGGATATGAGCTGGGGAGCCAAATGATTCCTGAAATTGGGACCATGTACCCTAATACTACTCTAATCCTTATTAGGCTATATGAACCCTAAACCCTTTTAGGGTTCATGTGGTCCTCAAGGTATACGGAAGCCGAAAACCCTAAACCCTAAACACTAAACACCCTACACCCTAAACCCTAAACCCTAAACCCTAAACCCTAAACCCTAAACCCTGCCCAGAGGCCGTCGTTGATGACGTGGGGCGAAGGGCAGCCGAAGTTCAGGTCGATGCCATGAATACCTCACGCCATGGGTTTAGGGTTTAGGGTTTAGGGTTTAGGGTTGCTACGGAGTTCTCTACTAGTTGCTAATAAGAACCCCCCCAAAACACAAAAAAGACTCTTCCTTATAAGGGTAATATAGGGATCATTATTGGTATGATTATTGTATTCTTTTGGGGTTCTTAAGCAAATAGTAGTTCTCGGGGGTGCTGTGGCTTCCGATAGCCAAACCTCCGCACCCAGCACGCCGCAGCCTTCAGCACGCTCTGCAACCCGCTCGAATGAAGATAGGGAGGGCCTTGCAGAAGCTAAAATTGGGATGTTCCCCCTTATACTAACAGTCCACAGTAGTTAGGGATTCTAGTACCCCTATTACATTGTTTAAAAGGACTTTTTTTATAAGGGGGAACGTTCAAAGATATCAACCTTGAAGCCACCAATGCCGGAAACTTCGAGACAGCGGGCCTGTCGCCCAGTGGGGCTTGTCACTTGCGGCTCGCTCCTGTAGGCAAACCCAAAGAGCCCAATACCCCTTAATTAAGGAATATACCTTAAATCATATTAAGGATCCCTATATAGATTAAGGTATATTCCTTAATTAAGGGGTATTGGGCTCTTTGGGAACGCTTCATAGGCCCGCTTCCATCGAGTTCAGGAGAGTTTTCGTGACACAATGCTGGCGCGGAGTGTATTGAAAGGGCAAAGACGCCCCCGAGGTTCACTTTGGGAGTGCAACATGAGGCTACCAATCTTGGCCGTGCATGATATGGGAAAAAGAACAACAGAAGACATCACATCGACATTCAGCAATGAGGTGTAAGTTGCGGCATGAGTCGCTGTAGACGACGCAGCTTCAGCAACAAGGTCGCTTGGCCCCAAGATTGAGTCACCCCGCACAACCCATCCACACGGGCGCTGTGAGAGACTTTCCGCTCAAGCCTTGCGAACCTTTCCGGATGAGATTTCCCTAACAACCCTAAACTCCTAAACCCTAAACCCCACATAAACCCAATGGCTCAGGGTTCGGGGATCCTCAATAAGCTGCAAGGACTCGCTGAGCTCTTCTGGGCTGCCCACAAGGAGCTGCACACCTGTGAAGTGAAGGGGCCAAAAACAGTCTCAACAGTCTAAGCCCGAAGTGAAGTACACCTCGTTGCTGCGATTTGGGATTTGACCTGTTTAGTGCTTTTGGGTTTGGAACAGCTGTTGAAGATAGAGTGCTGTTTGTTGCGCCGGGCTTGGGTGCTTTCCAAGAAGTGCGCTGACACTTCTTCGAAGATGCGAGAAGCCATGAAAGGCTTCGATTTGGGGGGGCTGTAGGGAGACCACCCACTTTGGAGTATCCCAACTTTAGGGTCCATTTGTGACCAACCAATGCTTGCAACCCTGCGCCCGTGGAGGCCTCTCAACCACTGAGCTACAGCTGCGACACTCACAGCCTGTCGGTGTGGAGGAGTCGAAGGTGTCCATCCTGCAAACAGGGTCATGCGTCGGTAAAGGAGCAGGCTAGACTCGCTCAGAAAGGGCTGGCAATCTCCCTCCGGCCTACCCCCAACCAAGTCGCAGACCCCAAGAAGCCTGCTTGTTGTCGAGTTGTTCCGACGGAGCAGCGCTGCTGCCTTAGCAAAGCTGGGCTGCGTCAAGAGAGAAACCTCGCCCAGCAAATCCGGCAACGGTTCAGGGACGAGAAGTCATCATAAACCCAAGCCCCTGTCACGAGCTACGTGGCTCATGCAAACAAAGTTTGTGACTGAGGCTAGGCTAGCACATGACTCCCTCAACAGCACACCCTTTCTGACATCTGCCGCCAGTATATTGCACCTGGACATAGTCAGCCTAATGCGCTGTAAGCACAGTACGCACATTTTCCAAAACACGCCTTCTTCCGGTGGCACTTAACGCATTAACCATGAAACGGACGCAGCATATGCGACCTCAGAATGTGACGGCAAAAATTTGGCCAAAGTGGCACGGACCATCTCAGTCCTCACCATGCATGACAGCAGGGCTCTCGCAACAATTCTTTGCAAGGAAGGTCCAGGGCCGTTCAAACAAGATTTCGGCTGGGCTTTTGGCGCTGAAGTTTAGGGTTTAGGGTTTAGGGTTAAGGGTTTAGGGTTTAGGGTTACAAACATTGGCCGACGCACTGTACATCCTGACAAACCCCGAAGCCAATCTCATCTAGGCTCCAGGTGAAGCTGGCTCCCATCTCGTAGCAAAGGCGCCGGAAAGCACAATCCTCAGCTGCACACTTCACAGGGGTTGAGGAACCGCTCTTGCAGTTCCTGCTTTCCCCAATACAAGGTTCACTCCACGCGTGCTAACTACAACCAACAACCAAACTGCAAAGGAACATTCTGCACTTCTTGACGTGATACTGTGACCTGTTCCATGGGTGCGAGCACTGCGCGGCCTTGCGCAGCAAGGGTGGTCATGTAAAGCAAAGGTAAAGAATCACCATCAACTTTGGGGCCTGGCAAGGTGTTGCTGCATCTTCTTCACATCGATTATCCCCCCCCCCCCCCACCCGGCGTGCCCATCAATGCAACAAACACACACACACACACACACTAACTAACTAACTAACTAACTAACTAGCTAGCTAGCTAGCTAGCTAACTAGCTAACTAGCTAACTAGCTAACTAGCTAACTAGCTAACTAGCTAACTAGCTAACTAGCTAAATAACTAACTACACACTTACACTTAAACTCACACTTACACTTCCAGTTGCTACGAAACAGGGGGGGATGCAGCGACTAAGGCGGCTTAAGCATATTAGTGGGTGCGCTTAAAAGCCATGGCTAGTGGCTTGCCATAAGATCCGGCAGCTTCGTTGGGTGTGGTTCCTGATCTCATGCCACGTCCGTTCACCAAATGTCGCAAGAAGAAGACGCCTCATATGGTGGCTTCTCTGAATTAGGGTCCCTTTTGGGGTCCTCCTTGTAAGGCGGCCCCTCTCATTTAGGGTACCCAAAACGGACCATCATTTTGAGAACTCACCATGTAGTATGGGGTAGAGTGGGGGTACCCCTATTTTCGTAAAGCCCCACATGGGATTACTTCAGGAACTTAGGGGCTACCGCGGCTACCCTAAGGGGGCTCCTGTAAGCTTCGGGAAACCGTTTCTAACAGGACGCAAGGGAACATCCTGGAAAGAAAGCGCGCCCGAAAGATGGCGCGGTGACTCACCTCTCACGCTGAACTAGACGAGAGACCCCTAGAACTCAATTCTAGACCACACCCTTGATTAGGAACCCGATCCAGTAGCTGTTGCTAAAACTATACCCCTCCCTCCCCCCTCCCCACCCCGCCCCATCCCATCTCTGACTAGACAAGTTGGGCCCCCAAAACGTTCAGCCACGCGGGAATCGTATGCACCAACCCCTAAACTCTAAAACCCTAAACCCTAAACCCAAAACCCCTAAACCCCATGTATACACGAGCCTCGGAGACGCCAGCGGCCAAGCTGCCAGCGCTCCTTCTGCACCCCAAACCCAGAGACTCCCATACCCCTCAATTAGGGAACATTCCTTTAACTATGTAAGGAGGTTTAGGGTTTAGGGTTTAGGGTTTAGGGTTTAGGGTTTACGGTTTAGGGTTTAGGGTTTAGGGGCTATTATACTTAAAGGAATATTCCTGAACTAAGGGGTGTTGGAGTCCCTGGGAAGAAGAACCAACTTTTCTGCTGATGGTTTACTGCTGGTTCCTCAGGTGCATCTTTATTCTGCTATTCTCATTTGGGATGTCAGTATTTGTTGCGGCGCTGCTATTGCGGGTGTTCACGTGAAAGGCTCCAGGGAAGGACAAAGTCTAGGCATCTCCGAGACTCTAGAAAGGGTTGTGCTTGGTAGCAGATGATGAAGGAACTGCAAGAGAAGAGTGGCGCATGACTGCGTGACTTGGAATTTAAATCGACAGAAATCACCTCCCAATCTCATCACAGATTTGGTGGAGCCTGCAGCAAGTCCACTCTTTGCTGCGTTGCCTGTCGCAGCCGCTGCTTTTCGTGGGTGGAAGGGAAGGTTTCGGAAGGAAGGGTTAAGCAGCGTAGAGGATTCCGAGGTTACCGCCCCAAGCAGACTACAAGAGGCACATCATCAAGAGGCACAAAATCTATGCCATGGGACACAACTTCTCCACTCCACCCGCGGCGGCCCCCATCACCACAACCTCTTGACGGATTGAAGAACAGCTACAGCACTCAAGCAGCGCATGCGCGACAGTCCCGAGTCTTTAGGCGACTGCTACTCCCACTCCACCATGTCAGGTACTGACCTCTGCGAACATACACATCGTCACAGTGCGTTATAGTCTCTTAAAAGTCCACCAACCTACTTTCCTGCATCCACTGGAACCCGCAAGGGTGGACCTGTGCCTGCTGGCGCACGAGGCGTCTGCGCCGCCTGAATATCCTGGCAAAACCGTCCGAAGTGAATAGTTCCATGGAGAGACGAAGTAGCATGATTTTGGGCCTCGGCACCAAAAAAACTCTATGCTACAATCGACGAAAATGTTTGCATACCTGAATAATTTCGACTACCCTGCTGAGACTGAAGACTGCGCTCAGTCAGACTCTAAATCAACCCCACAGTGCAACCACGTGCCCATTCTTCATACATCTTACCTCATGACAACGTGTCGTGCTCAAAGCTATCCCTGCACGAGCTGAGCTTTAAAATGGATAACAAAGTACTCGAGTGCTGGAAATACTTAAGATTTCCAATTGGGAGAAGCCTGCACCCGAAACACGCAGCAGCATAAACTGGCCTCTTAAACAAGATTCCGGCTGCCCCTGCAACGAGTGGCCTCCTGGGGCTCGAAAAGTCTGGATTCGGGTTTAGGGTTTAGGGTTTAGGGTTTAGGGTTTAGGGTTTCGGGTTTCGGGTTTCGGGTTTCGGGGCCCAGGGCACCCCTTTCGTTCTATATGCGCTCCCGTGAAACAACGGTGCCGGTGCAGCCGCTGTCCGAAGCATTGTAAGACCACTTCAGGAGCATTCAGTTCCAAAGATGACCCCACCCCCCACCCCCACCCCTCAACCCTAAACCCTAAACCCTTAAACCCTAAACCCTAAACCGCGCCCCCCAACCCACCCCCCCCCCCCCCTAATCACAGTGTTGCCGATGAATTTGGGGAAACTCCCTGGCACCGCACCGGTCCCTCCAAGTACTGAAGCAAGGCGGACGACAATTCTTCCCAGACCTTACCTGTATTGGCTTGATGCTTCCATGGACATCTTCCGCTTTAAGGGCGGCTTTCTGCGCGCTTCATAACTTCGACTCACGAGATGTAGGAGTTAGCAAGCGGTGTAGGACCCGCAAGCATTCGAGCCATAGGCATTCAGAGCTTGTGTTAACATGAGCATTTTCCAAAATGGGGGGGGGGTACCCCTTTTATACCCCATGTAGAACAGAATGCCCTTCAAGGGACCCCCAAAAAGGGTACCCCTATTTTCGGAAACTCCCACACGAGTGAGCTCACTTCCTCGCATCCGTCGCGGCACCAGCCCGGCGCAGATGCGGCTGGGGCCGTATTCCTGGAAAAATTGAAAAACATTTCGGTACGTATATAGGCCAAAGGGAGGACTCTGAACAAGGGAACAGGACAGACCCGGAGGCACAACATCAAGAAGGCCAAGTCTAGCCACCGCAAGCCCATAACTATAATCTTATATAGGCAGCCAACGTGACCTGTTCTTGATTCTTGCCGTCTTGAGCCAAAGACCCGGGTCAAGTTGCACATGTCCGCGTGGAACTTGCTTAGGTGAGAAACCTGACCTCGGACTTTTCTTTGCAGGGGCCTCTGGCGCTATGGTGCCTTACAAAGCCCCCTCTCCGGATGGCCCCACAGACTTTCAGAAGCAAGATTGCAGTTTCACTAATTCCGCAGGCCTGTACTTTAGTTCTGCGCTTTTGCAGGTGCTCGGGATACTCTAGAGCACTTTTCTGAAGCTGAGGTAGAAGGTGTGCATGCATCCTCTGGCAGGAACAACCCCCGATCCCCCGCGACATACTTGAACATAATCTTGCTCCTACGCAAACAAGTTCAACCCCCACATAACATACTAATTCGACATGTGTCCCGGCACGTTTCATCACGCGACCGGAGATTCCAGACATATTTGCGAACACTGCTTTCCTCAGGATCCTAACGCAAAACCCGTTGGACATGCCCTCAACGACCATGCATTTCAGGCCTCCCTGGCCAAGGCCCACATCCGGCAGCGTTGGGCGCCAGCCACGAGGCGGGGCATCAGCCATCAGGTCACCCTTGTGTTACTTGTGTTTCTGGGAGGCCCTCGCCCTTAACGGTTGCCTGACAAGTGTGCGAACCTTGGCTGGTTAGTTAAGGGTGGGCTCATGGTCTCCAGGCAAACCTGAAACAGTCATATTTAGGCTAGTTAGGGTTTAGGGTTTAGGGTTTCTGGTTCAGGGTTTTTCATCCCACCGCGGATCATGAAGCCAGACCAGGTGGCCCCCTTCGAGTGCACACCCTTCAGTCATGTGGAGCTTTGTGGAGCCAAGATCAACATGGAGGGTCATGGTACTTATGAACTGTTAACCAATTACATCTGTACTTGTAACTGTACCTATAACCATATAGCGGCACTTAAGGGGCTTCTAAGTGGGTTCTAATTCTAAGTACAGTTCTAAGTGGTTAGTAAGTACCTCCAAGAACGACAGCACATGCCAAGCGCAGGATGCTCGCAGCCTAGCATTCCAAGGGCCAAAGCCTCAACTTGGGCATGTTTCCCCTTTTTAGTAACAGCCCCTTCGTAGGGACTGTAATAGGGGGGGAGGGGGGGCTCTCATGATTAGGGACTCTTAGTAATTTTAATAAGGGTCTCAAGCCTCAACCCTAAAGCCCCCACCCGCCCCTTGCGTGCCCTGTGTCGAAAAAAGTCGTCAAACCTAAAACCCTCGGCCCGGCCGCGGGGTCAGCGTCCGGGGTGGCGGCTCCCAACTCACGCAGGATCCCGGCGACCTGATGCATCCGGGTTTAGGTTAGGGTTTTTTTTTTTTAACTGGAATCACCTTTTTCGGGCTTAGGGTTTAGGGTTTAGGGTATTGCCAAAGACGCATTTTGGGCTGCGAGAAGCAGGAAGATGTTTATAGGGCTGTGATGGAAGGCAAGAGGTGGGGCTTCAAGTGCAACATGGGGGGGAGGGGGGTCGGAAAAGTTACCAATAGTATGCCCTTAAGGTCCCCCCTTGATAATTATACTATAATAGCCCCCCAAAACCCTATTCCAAATATTCAGGCCTCTACAGAAATCTTGTACCAATGCGGCAGGACTGGCCAGGAGCCTGCAGATCAGGGTGTGTCAGTTTACGAATCGGCCCTGGGAGATGCGCCAAACGTTCTTTCTACTCACGGGGTCTCGAGTCGGATTCGGGGCAGCCTCCTCCTCTTCCTCCGAGATCACTAGGTATGAAGACTGATGGTCTTTTTGGGGCCTGGTCCCATACGGGATCAACCCCCCCCCCCCTGCCAGGACAAGCTCGACAATGACGAGAAAATCCTGGGCTCCCAAACTTTTCCCCCGGCGCCGTACCGCCGCATGGCCACGGCCAGAGGTGTGCGATCCTGCCGACTTGGCGGGGGTGTCGCGGAGCAAAAAACTCCATATGATTTAAGGTATATTCCTTAATTAAGGGGTATTGGGCTCTTTGGGTCTCGTAACTTTCAACCCAAAGCTCCAGGTTTTGGTTCTCAAGCCTCGGAATATACCGCATTCGGAACACCGGGGTTGATCCAGCCGTACATCGCCCTTGCGCATGGGACAGCCCGTGCTCCAACCAGGGGCTTACTTGGGAGGTTGGGATGATGCAAGGAAATAAACCTACCTACACGAGTCACTGCCCTGGTGTCGGGGGGTGAAGCCGGGGAGTGGCATCTTGTAGGGTTTAGGGTTTAGGGTTTAGGGCTTAGGGCTTAGGGTTTAGGGTTTAGGGTTTAGGGTATCTCCTTCGACCCGGGTTTCCCGGGATGTTGCCCCGTTGAACCCTGGTCCACATGTGCAGTTCGAATTTAACGCTGCTCCAAAGAATTCAAAGTGACTGCAGGACGTGGTTTAAAAATTAATCTCCTTTTTTAATAGTAAACCCCACCCTAGTTTTAAACATTGTTTTTCCCGGACCCTCCCGGCACCCAGCCCAATACTACTCCTGTTTGAGAAGTAGGGATGGGGTCTGAGTTGAGCCATTAGGATTTTCAATTGCGGTTTAGGGCTTAAGCCTTAGAGGATTTGCTGGCTTTAGGGCTCGAGGCTCAGAGGGTTTAATTGTGGTTTAGGGCTTAAGGCAACCCTAACTGAACCCCGAACCCCAAACCCCAAACCCCAAACCCCATACTCCATACTCCCTCCTTCCCTCCCAGGCTTCAGATTTCAGGTGTTAGGGTTTAGGCCCCCCCTAATTTACAGATTTTTCGAGGCGACTTTTAGATTTTTTTTTTTGGGGGGGGGGGGGGACCGGTTTTAGTATTAGGGGAGGGGATTGAACCCTAAACCCTGAACCCTAAACCCTTTATAAGCCCTCTGCTGACCTCGCCGTTCTTGGCTTCAAGCTCCGCCCGGGCGGCGGCCAGGCGCCGGACTGCCTCCTGGGCACCTTCACCGAAATCAGGGTTTAGGGTTTAGGGTTTAGGGTTTAGGGTTTAGGGTTTAGGGTTGTATGTATGTATGTGTACGTAGGCCCGAGCCTTCCTCAGAGGCCCCTTGATGTTTGAATGAGCCTAGAAGGGTGTATGGTCCATAAGACCTGACATAGGCATGATAGTAGCACAGGGTATATAGCCCCCATTTTAGGGGTCATTTCGTCCCCGAGGCCTGTTCACATGTCAAGTATGTAAAGCTCATTTCCGAGACACGCGAAGTCTAAGCATTCTGGACAAGAGTGGATAAAAGGGCATGTGCTGTGATGTTGCAGAGGCGATCACGATGGAGCTGTGGACGTTGAGCCGTTTGAATGGATAGGGAGGAGGAGCCGACTAGCCTATGAAATCCACAATTGACCAGCGGCAAAGAATACCTGAGCACGGTTAAGAGACGGGGCTGCCCTAAACCCTAAACCCTTAACCCCAAACCCTAAACCGTAAACCCTAAACCTAAACCTGCTAAACCCTAAACCCCAAGTCCAGTGCTCACAGGCGCTTTTTGCTGTGCCGCTCTGTCTTGCCCTGCCGTGTGCATTCACACTGCCATGACCCCAGGTTGTCCCTGCAGAGAATGGAGGGTTCGAGTGAACCTCTGCAGCCTGAGCGGCGTGCCGAACCCCAAAACGCCAACTCAACCCCAAACCAACCCAGAACCTGAGTCCTTCAGCCCGCCATGTATGCCCCCAGTCCGACGTTCGCCACTCCCCCTGAACCGCCACCCCACTCCCAACCTAAATCCAACTCCCTGTTCCTAAATCCTAACTAATCTGTAGAATGTAAATAGCCCGAACCCAAGCCCTAAACGCAAAACCCAAATCCCAAAACCCGATAAGCCAACCATTCCTGTGACAAGTCATGACAAAAAAACAATGGTTCAGGATGCCGTGTTGCGCAGGTCTGGGCTTCTGGGCTCGTGGGCTCCAGAATGGCTTCGGTATCCCTTCAGGAACGTTCTTGCATCCCCGGTGCGCTCTCCAGGCACTGCTCCCGCACCCACGCATGTAGCTGCAGAACACTGTTCGACCCTAGATTCAGCTTCAGGTTCCAGTGTTCCCCCCAGACGCCTCACAAGAACCCCCCCCCCCCCACTGCAACGGGGCAACAGGGCTTAACGGTATATACTGGTTGGGCTCATGACGCCAGTGGCACTGTTGACCTTAAAAATCTTCGGACAGACCGCAAGGATCCCCCAAATCTCTAAGCCCACCCGAGAAGCCCACACCCTAGAATCCTATAAGCGTCCAGCACGGCAAGGATGCCCAGAACGTCCAGAAGGCAAGGCAATGCCAGGCAAGGGAAAAACAATCTGCGGCTCTGCAACCCAAGGGACGCTGTGGTTTAGGGTTTAGGGTTTAGGGTTTAGGGTTTAGGGTTTAGGGTTTAGGGTTTAGGGTGGTTTCCAACGTGGTTCCTGCTTTAACAGTTGTAGCACTGCTCTGGCTGGCAGGTACAGAATCCACCCTGCCTGGGTACTTAGAAAACACTACAGCCGAGCTTACCAGCAGCGATGCAAGGTTTCGAAGATGTCTTACAAGGCAAAGCTCGCCCTGAAAACATAACCTGGCCCTTTCTATGGAGCTTGCCAGAACCTTAGTTGTCCAGTAATCTGGGGGAATTAAAGGTTAACCTTTGGGATTGTAAGGGGATTCTACTACCCCAAAAAGGTGAAAGGTTACCTACCCTACTACTAGGGAACCCTCAACGCCAAAGAGCTCAGCCCTGCACCTTTGCGCAGCATGCAGGGGGGGAAAGGTTCAACCTTCTTTCGTGGGGCGCCTCTTCAAAGAGAAATGTCCGGGCTTACGGGCGAAACAAAGCCCAGTGACAACTGTCATAAACCATTGGTCAATGACATTTCGGGAGTGAGCGATGAAGATGGTCACACATTAAAGGGGGGGGGGAGGGGTCCAGGTTCGGGGTTTTAGGTTTTAGTGGAGTTTGGCCGTAGTTTAGGGCTGCTAGGATTTGGGGCTCAGGGCTTAGCGTCCCCTGGAGTTCTGTGAACGCATCGCTGGGTGGATGCTACTGCAAGCAATTGAAACAATTAAGTTGCCAGCGTCGGCACGTGCCCGGTGTCCAGGTTCCTTTCGTCTGGAAGCCCTCCGTGTGCTTTGCCAAACATGCACCATGCGCGCCCTAAACCCTAAACCCTAAACCCTAAACCCTAAGCCCTAAACCCTAAACCCTACTGGCCAGACAACTGCGGGATCCACAAGCTGGCCGACGCTGGCTCATATGCAAAGCTACAACTAAGCACTGTTTAGGGTTTAGGGTTTAGGGTTTAACAGGCTTCCCAACCGGTGGGCACTTACAAAAAACAACCTTATAACTTGAGAACCAAATGAACCCTAGAAGGGTTTATGGTTCATATACCCTAATATAATTAATATAGTAGTACAGGGCAGAAGGCCCCAATTTTAGGGTCCATTTGGCTCGGCCCCGGTTCATCTAACCCCCATCCCTCTCGCACCGCTCGAAGCCTCACAACCTCTTGGTACCTTGGGGACGACATGAACCCTGAATGAGTTTAGTTCTCACATACCTTAGTAGGAATTATAGTGGTCCAGGGTATATGAACACAATTTTGGGCCTGAATGAGTTTA